TGTTGAAAAATAGGAGCCAGCTTACTAAGTATAATATATTGAAGACATCTATTACTACTCAAAAATTCACTTCATGGAAAAGGTACAACTATATTTATTGAATATAAATCTTTAAATATAAAGTAAGAAAAACTACATTCAAATAAACTAAACATAACTCTTTAACATCACATAGCTCTTTCTAAACATAACATAAGAGAAGAAACATCCTCTAACCAAAGCAAAGATATAACTAACTAAAAACAGAAACACCCACTTCCTTCTAGCTGAGATAACAGGAAGTGACCCAACTTCCCACAGGAAGTGACACAGCAAAAAGGAATCTATTTGTTTAAATTTTCCAACATTATTCACGCAATTTTAAAATCCAACATCGCGATTCACATTTACGCGATTTTAAAATCCAACATTGTGATTCATATTCACGGGATTTTAAAATCCTATATTATGATTCATATTCACACGATTTTAAAATCCAACATCGCGATTTTTATTCACGTGATTTTAAAATCCAACATCGCGATTTTTATTCACGTGATTAGCAGCTATGAGTAACATGAATGTATTTAAACGATAGTAGTAAATCTAAAAGGCGAACACAAAGCGCATACAGTCGATGCTACCGACAAAAATAAATTCAAGTTTCAGTCAAAGTGACTAAAATTGTTAGTAACAATCTATCAGAAGATATTAAGGTGAAAGTTGGCGTCTGTTTTAATTTAAAATGATTGACCGGTAATTAATTTAAAATGATAATTAAGCTGCAACTTCCTATAATTGCTTAATTTTCTTTAATATAGTAATGATCAAAATTTTAAAATTATATTTTAAGAAAATTTTAAATTTCATTGTCTAAATGCTTCTGTCACTTTAAATACTAAACAAAAACTTTAAATACTAAATTAAAATCTCCCGGTAGAGTTGCTTTTATATACAGTAAAACTTCGTTAAGTCGTCACTCAAGGGACCGAACATTGTCGACGACTTAAGCGGAGTTAGAAATTTTTTTTTAAAAAAAGCATTGAAGTTTTTTAATGGACTGCAGTAGGATTCATTGAAAAAAATTAGATTTTTAGAATGTAATACACATGCAAATAAATGTGTAGAAAAGGAATACAAATACTTTTGTATAGTTACCACTTTTTCTTTTATTTCTGAGCATTAAAATAGCATAACATAGTGGATTGATGCAGGAATTGTTGATTGCTATTAACCTTTTCCAATATCATCAGCGCCTTGAATTCTTCCTCTGTTGTGCCTTCAATTGATGTTAAATATTGTCTAACTTTCTCTAAAGCTTCTAATGTTTCAGTCTTGCTCGGCAGAATTCCACCCGAATTCTCATCATAACTATCCTCGCTGGAACTGTGTTGTTTTTCATCTAAAAATTCTGAAGTTAAATCCTTTACAGTCGCTTGTGAACAAATAGCGATGTCATTGTCAGTATCGACAAATGCATTTACGTCATTGACACTGCAACCTTTTTCATTAACAACTTGCAGCAAATTTTCTAAGGGCTCGGGATCGACTTCTTCACAGAGGATGTCTTCGGATTCTGCATTGGCTACAAATCCCGCGTGTCTGAAGCAATTAAAAACAGTTTGCGAAGAAACTGAGCTCCAACTTCTATGCACATAATTGATCGCGTCTAAAACGGAAACTTCAAACTTTTCATTTTTATCCAATGCTTTTATCAGGTCCTTTACTAGCATTTTTTTGTACTTTCTTTTGAAGTCCCGAATTATCCCTTGATCTAATGGCTGAAAAAGTGCAGTAACATTTGGAGGATGAAAAACGATTTCAATAGCTTTTAAGCTTTCGGGCTGACTATGGACTGTGCAATTATCGACAATAAGGGCAACTTTTCTCTTTTGGCGCCAAAACTGGGAATCCAATTTACGGATATGCCGTTCCCAAATCGTTGTAGTCATCCATACATTTGAATTTGCTTCATATTCAACTGGTAGAGGTTTAACGTTTTTAAAACAGCGTGGCCTTTTGCTCTTGCCTATCACTAGTGGTTTAAGCTTTTCATTTCCCTTCATATTCGCTCCCAGCGAAAGTGTTAGACTTTGCTTGCTGGCTTTTCCAGTGGTGCATTTTTCTCTCTTAAACAATAGAGTTTTATCAGGCAAAAGATGATAAAATAAGCCCGTTTCATCTAGATTGAAAACATTCGAGGCATCAAACCTGGATAAAATGTCCTTGAGAACACTATTCCTCCATATAGCATCACCATCAACAGCTGCGGCTTCCCCACAAATCGTTTTTAAAGAAAGACAATTTCTGTCTTTGAAGCGCTCCAGCCAACCATTGCTGCAATGGAAATCTTCTATGTTCAACTCCTTAGCAATTTCCATCGCTTTTTCTTTAAGAATGACTAAAGAAATAGGCACATTTTGCGATCTTTGCATGCTTTAACCATTAAACTGAAATCTCCTCGATCTCGTCAAACTTTGATTTCCTCATTCTCTTTCTATTGTCTTTGCAGTCTGCTTCTTCAATAGTTTGCTTTGATGATAGAATATCACTTAAAGTAGCTCTCGGAGTATTGTGTTCTTTGGCAAAAGCTGTTTTCGAAACATTTGACTTTTCAAAAACTGCAATTAAGTCCTTTTTTTTAAGAGATAACGAGGTAAGTTTTCATTTTCCCGGCATTTTGAAACGTAATCAAATCACAATTTTGTAAGCAAAAAAATGGCCCTTATAGCGGGGCTTACTCGCTATGAAATGAAGTCCCACTGAAGTACGTACAATAAAGAAAATGTCTACACTCGACTGAGTCGGAGCAAAAAGTGAGAACTTTGAACGATTGGCTTGCAAAATTCCCAGAATCCAAATCCCCTAAAAAGAAAGGAATGCTCACAGCTGTAGAGCGAACTTTTAGGGTGGTCAAAAATTCCCCGAGATACTTAAAGTGAGACGGGCGGGTCTGAAAAGATAACAGAACTGTATACAAAAGTGCGAAAAAAGATAGGTTTGCCATTTTTTGGGGTGACGAGTTATACGGAGTAGAATTAAATTCGATGACGGGTAAGAGAGGGTTAGTCGGGACCATAGGAAAACGACGACTTAAGCGGAGAGACGACTTATCCGGGTGACGACTTAATGAGGTTTTACTGTATATATATATATTCTCGATATCACAGTATTACATAGAACACTCCCCCCCCCTCCTCCTACGTTGTAAAAGTTCAGCTTTTTTTATTTTCGACCACTTTCATGCCTGTATTAGTCTATTTAACTGGAGTTTTATAAATTTGAAACATTTGACCTAAATTTCATTTTGAAATTATGTGATCTATATTATTCCTTTTATTAAAAAGATACAGTAAAATATGAGGATATTAAAGTATTTAAAAAAAATTATGCCTTCTAGTTTGTTATTTAATGATTCTTCCTAACTTTAAAAAAAAAAATGATGCAAGACATTTTATAAACTATGTAATGATATTTTAATTTCTTGAATTTTTATGTTTCAGTATTTTTTTAGTCCTTTTTGAAGTGTTGAAACGAAAATAAATTATGCTGAATTATGTTATTAATTTATGCTGAATTCATTTTGTCATGTAAGTGGATCCTAAATTACACAAGTTGAAGCAGAGTACTGAACTTATAAAATTAATTTTGTTGGATATTATTATTATTTTGTAATTTTGTTGGGTATTATTTAATAAATATTTAAACGTGCATTTCCTACATTAACTTGTAAAAAAAATCTGGTGTTATTTGAAAAAGTAATTAAACGAAATCTTTGAAAAAGTAATTAAACGAAATCAAGTTATACGCATTGTAGGGAAATTTTAAAAGATGTCTGCATAAAAAATTCAATTTTTGTAATTTTTTAATTTTTATGTTAATTCCAAAATTTAGTATTTATCAACTATTAACTTATTCAGAATTGCTATCAGAGTATGCCCGACCACCCAAACGGTTAAATATTGCAAAAAGACAAAGATAATTCTGTTAATAGAAAAAATCCTACTTTTTCAATAAAGAAATTGAATAAAAACACCATTTACTTTAGGGATTATATCACTTAATAGATTTGACAGATAATTTAAAACTTGATAATTATTTTACAGGATAAATCAGCATGGAATGAAAGGCCATATTGCAAAACGCTATGGGGATCTTGTTCAAGATTTATGGAGTGGTACTTCTCGAACAATAGCTCCTTTAAAACTGAGGGTAATTCAATTTTAGTTGAAATAGTGTCTTTTTTCCCAGTATTTTTAATAATCTATTGTTTCTGTATTAAACGTTTCTGTTATGGTATATTTCATTTGTATCAAACCATTTAGCAGTGTTAATAAAGGAAATCTTATTCAATTGTGCAACATTTTAGATTGTAATAAGAAATTTCTAGTGAGTAGAGAAAGTTATCAAAACCTTAATTGCTTAATTGTGTTTCCATCTTCAATTTTAAGTTACCTACATTTTATGAAATATATTATCATATTTAATGCATTTTTCTATATTTAATCCATTTCTTTTTCCTGGCCAATTAAAATCCTGATGAATGCAGGATAAGTCTGTTTTGAAACTCTTTTCTAACAGTATGTCATGTTTATCCAATAGGACGAAGCGGAAAAATTTGAATTTTTAACTGTAATTACAGCAGTGATATAATACTTATATTTTATCTATAGAAATTGTTTAAGGATAACAGCATATATTATTTAATTTTATCTGTTTTTCCAATACAGCTTACAATTGGGAAATATGCACCACGTTTTAATGGTTTTCAGCAACATGATTCACAAGAATTATTGGCTTTTCTAATTGATGGACTTCATGAAGATTTAAATAGGTATGCATTTCAATCTGTCATTTTTTTTTTCATTTGCTTTGTTAGACCTAATAATTTATTGTTACAACCACTTCATTAATAAGCACACAATCAAGAGTTTTTTTATTTTTATTTGATTTGATTTAGCTAATTTTATAGGATACATTGTGACATTTGTGAAAAACTATGAATTTAAAAAAATGTATGTGGGGAAGTTTATTTCTGACTACGTCAACCTTCATCTATCAAAAGGTACCTCGTGATGGATTCTAGTTAACATGTCTTATATACTATTGATTTGGTATTTAATATTTGTAGTGGTAGTTACGCCACATTACTCCCCTTCCAGAATTGTATCTGTGATAGAATTCGATGAATGAATTCCACTAGTTGATTCATGCTGTTTATTTTATAAACTTCAATTTTTGCTCATTATATTTATTTTTTTCTTCCAAGCATTTTGCTCGTTATTTTTTTTTTATATATAGCTTTTCGCTATTTTTTTTTTCTATCAATTTTTTATAGCTTTTCGCTACTTTTTTATTTTTTTTTCTAGCATTTCGCTCATTATTATTTATTAACCGGGAGACTTTATTTACTTCACCGGATTTTTTTTTTTTTTCTTTTTGATCAGTTATATTAAGCAAATCAACTGTTTATTGTGGATCATCCATCACGTTAGCAAGTTCATATCACGTCCGAAGGTCACCAATGTGGGGAAGTTTATTTCTGACTACGTCAACCTTCATCTATCAAAAGGTACCTCGTGATGGATTCAAGTTAACATGTCTTATATACTATTGATTTGGTATTTAATATTTGTAGTGGTAGTTACGCCACATTACTCCCCTTCCAGAATTTTNAGATTTAAATAGGTATGCATTTCAATCTGTCATTTTTTTTTTCATTTGCTTTGTTAGACCTAATAATTTATTGTTACAACCACTTCATAATAAGCACACAATCAAGAGTTTTTTTTATTTGATTTGATTTAGCTAATTTTATAGGATACATTGTGACATTTGTGAAAAACTATGAATTTCAAAAAATGTATGACATGTTTTTTTAAAAAATAAATTTTAGACATCCTTCTTTAACCTTACCATACTGTTATAAATATTACTTCAGATCTTTTTAACAAAACTGGAATATATTGAATGTAGGAAGAAAAAATTTCTATGTATTTTAGTTTTAGAAAAAAATATATCTTGTTTCATTTGCTTCTTATGGATATAAATATTATCTATTGTATAAAAAGAATTTGAAAATTCTTAAATTTAATTAAGGTAGAAAAATTATCAAAAACAATGTTCTACTACCTTTTAAAAAAAATGTTTTTTTTCATCATATGACTAAAAATCTTTTAAAAATTTTTTTATGAATTGATTTTTATAACCATGAATTTTTATTGCTTTAATGTTTTATTTTTATCCTGGTTACTGGTTATTAAAAGCTAAGCAAAAACTTTTATCTTAACTGATTTAAGGAAATAAATTGCAAATATTTGCTATAAAATTTTTTTTAAATTATGTTTCTGTAGAAAAACTCACTATAAGCTCAAGGCTGTACAATTCTATAAAAAGATTAAAAATACACAACCGATAGTTTTCTGATGCGATATTTAAAATTGGTATAAAATATGAACACGGTTTTTCTAACAGTTCTATTTTAGTATATTTTCCCTAATTTACTGGTAATATATGTTATATGTCATGTTAAATGCATACAATTTGTGAACTGATACAGATAAGGTTCCAGATTTCAAATGTGAAAGCAGTTTTCAGTTTAATATACTTTTGGGGATTCACCTTAGCTTTTTTGTTAAATATATAGTTTGTACAGCTCATTAAAAAAATATATTGTTGCTTGCCATTAAACTGATTCTGATATCATTAAGCAGCTGATTTTAAATCTGAAATTTTTCTTCTTCTACATAATATCCAATTGATTTAACTTATGGATGTTCAGTGTAGCTTGTTTCTTGCCAGTACAGTTTCATGAGTAAGTTTTACTGATTCTCCAAAAATATGAAAACAATTAAAGGGAGAAACGTTTCTCTTTTTTTAAAAAAGTCATGGCTATATTTAAATAAAATATCAGATGATTGTTAAGCTCTTCGCGGACACCTCTACCATGTAATGTAGCCTGCGATGTCATAAGCCAGTGGTGCTGTGATCGCGTTTGGGTATGAAACCTCATTTGCTTGCCATAGCTTGTAGCGTAAGGACATTTTTAAATAATAGCTGAGCACAATCTATGTTTTTTGAAGTTCTTTGTTTACCCTTCATTAGTACGATCCGCCGTCATTGTCTAGGGGATGCCACAAGATGTTGGATAGTCGGACGACTTGAGGTGTGCCAATCGCAGATTATTTGTTCTAAGGACCTCAGGGCTTTGAGAGATGTGTTGTCAACTCTGTGGAAACGGTTCACTGAGACAAGAACAGCAGTCCCCTATCTGATCAAGGTCGCAAAAGGAAAACAACTCCAGCTCAAGATATTTATTTGAGACTTTAAGCCAAAGAGACAGATCCATGACGGTGACACAAACTGTATAATGCAACAGGAATATCCATTTCACATATAATAGTTGCCTAGTGACTTAATTCAGGTGACTTGTACGCCTGATAGTCTGTAGTCTTCATCCCTTTGACTGTGAACCACAAAAAGGACAGTTATCATGCTGCTGAGAACAGAGGAGGATCGTGAGCTGGTTTTCTTTCTTGATAAGCTCCAATTTGAACGGTACTGGCAGGTTCTCAGTACGAGGGCAAAATCTTTCTACCCTATGTGAGACTTTTTCGCTTAGCATGCGGGCCAAATTTCATCTTTATGGATGATAATGCCCGTTCGCAAAGATCTCCAATCGAAAAATATTCAATGATTGGAGTGGCTCATGACCTTAATTCGTTCGAACAGGTATGGAACGCCCTTAAATTGCAACTCGACCAGCTCTAATAATCTATAAGTTCAACGATGCCTTGGTGTAAGAGTTGGTGTGATTGCCATAGAGATTGATGAGGACTTTGCTAAATGGTATGAAATGCTGACGCAAAAGTTGTGTAGCTGCTAGAGGCACTCACACACCCTATTAGAAATGTTTTTCTCAGACTGATCAGCTGCTGTACTGGACAAGGGATCAGTTCCCTTATTTAATATATAGGCTGCAATTATTCTTGTTTACTAATATACTGCTCTTATATCATATGATATTTTGGCCATGTTTAGTTTTATTTGCTTTGTTAGTTTTTTTATTGCAAAAAAAAATCTTCTCTGTTCAGTTGTTTTCACTGAGTTTTTGAGTATGTTTTGATAAAAGAAAGGTATTTTTTCAATAAATCTTTTTTTTTTTTTTAATTTTAGAGTTCATGAAAAGCCTTACTCAGGTCTGAAAGACAGTGACGGGAGACCTGATGAAGAAGTTGCTTTTGAGGCATGGGAAAATCATGTTCGCCGAGAACAATCAATTATTGTGGACTTATTTCATGGGCAATTGCAATCTACTGTCACTTGCAAAGTGTGTGGTCATACGAGTGTTCGCTTTGATCCTTTTAACTACCTGTCTTTGCCCCTTCCAATGGAATCCTGTATACATCTAGAAATAGTTGGTATGTAATAGTTTTTTTTTACAGATGCTTTTAATTATTCTTTTCCTCAAAATTTTTGGTTTTTAGGAAGCGTTTGGTCTAACAAACTGTCATTCTTTTCTAACAAACTGCTCATCAAGTTTTTATAAATTAAGAAACATTACTAATAATTGACTTTTGGTGTCAATAGAGATTTAAATTTTTCTGTACCGAACATGCTCCCAGCAATAGTTTAATTCAAATATTGACCAAACAAGCTTCCATCCACGTCTTGAGTTAGAAATATGGGCCGTACACAGTTACAAGAGCAGAATTTTGTGAAATTAACAGGAATATCCACACAATTTAAAAAAATCAATTATCATTTCTCAAATCCCTTAATTCTAAAATTAGACGTTAAGATTCAAATTTTGGTGATTTAAAAATCAAATGTCTAGATTCATATTCTCGGGGCTAAATAATCATATGAGGCAACTGGTATTCACACGATTAAAAGTATTATGATTGTATTAATACATTTTTGAAATCCAATACTGCGATTCATATTCGCGCAATTTTAATGTCAAATAACAATTTACGTGATTCAGAAGTTATGCATTGAGTTTAACATTCACATCTTTTAAAAATTAAATATCACAATTCAGATGATTTAAAAAATCGAGCGGCGTGATTCGTTTTAAGGCGATTTTAAAATCAAATATCGTGTGATCCGTATTTGCAATTTTAAAACCAAACATTAAAATTCGTATTCACACAATTTAAAAATCAAACACTGTGATTTGTATTCCCATGATTATAGACTCGTCATTTTAAGGATTTTCAGACTACATGATGTCTACTGGTCACGTCTCCCGAAAACAATAACTACAGAAAAGGGATCAGCAAACAACGTAGATTCACGATGGAGTAGTTTCAAATCAAGCATGTCAAAAACAGATTCAAAAGAGATCGAATTCAAATGCTAAATTTGTGTGTCATAAGAATAAAAACCATGTGGAAATGGCTGAAAAGTGTGTATTTTCAACTGAATCATTACGAACGGAGTGTGTTAAAAAGTGTTAAATCAAATTAGAAAGTTTTGTGTAGTAATAACATATTGAAAACATCGAAATTTGAAAAACTGATAGATAGCTGCTGAAAAATTATAAAGTCATAATAAACTATATGATGAAATTGTCACAAATCAAGTTTGTCGAAAATGTATTGCTTAAACTTGCGTATCGTCGTAACATCGAATTAAAAATAACGGAATGTGAAAAGAAAAAAAAAATAAGAAAGGGTTTTAATCCTCACGAATTGAGCACTTCAAAAAGTGAACATTTAAATTTGAAATCCTTGAGTCATAATATCAAATTAAAAACATCAAAATTCTAGAAAGCATTTGTAACTAACCATGAAAACTATTGATAGCAGTAAAAAGGAAAAAATGAATTGCAAATTAAGCACGCTAAAAAGGGTTTACTCAAATCAGAAATGATGGATTAAATAGAATGCATCAAAAATGATATATGAAGTTCAAAACTCGTTTGTAATTATAACACTGTATCATAAAGATCAAAACTTAAATAATATAAACAATAAAGATACCCTCGAAAATCCTAAAATATGGCTTTTCGAAAATTGACCTTTTAAATAAATTTATTTTTTAATATATTGATCGCGTAATCACAATTGAAGGGCTAATGTGCAATGTCTTCTGTGAAAAAAAAAAGATTTTTCCTCACTAATTTGAAGGACAGAAAAGGCGGAAATTTACTTTAATTGAAACGTAATGCTCTAACGTATGAAATTCAAAATAATTATACTTTTGTAGAGGTAGAAAGCCATTAGTAGCTGTATAAGTACATTATTTTCCTATAATCACAATTAATTTAGCATTACTATGTGTGCCAATAATAGCTTAACAAGGATCGACCACAGTGCTGACTTAAAATATCCTCAGTGGCAGACAGATTTTGGATTAGAATTCCCTTATTGTTGGGCTAACCACTGGAGGTTTTCATGGTTTTCCTCATCATCTAATACAAATGCGGATTACTTTAATCAAAAAGTTCTCCTTAAAAGCTAGTTTGATATCGGAGCTCTCTTGTTTTGTGTTGGGCTCAAAATTACTAGGTTGCAGGGTTACACTTGGATAGTAGTCATAAGCACTACCTATTTTGTAAAAAAGAATAACATTAAAAAAATAAAATGAACACTAGACTACATGGGTGTTGCTCAAGAGCTAAAGTTGTCCGGAATTATTTAGAATGCCGGGAATATCTGTTGTCGGAAGAAGGTGTGATCTTATTAGTATATAAATTATTGTTACTCTTTTTACTGCCTCTCAACTTTTAAGAATATTAAATTCCGAGAAGGGGGCTGATCAACAGACTATAGGCTCTGCATTAATTTAGATAAGATTTTATTGTTTCCTGTTTCAATTGTTTTGTTTTTCTTTCTTCTGAAAGTGCTGTTTCTAAAAAATAGGATGTTTAGTACTTTTCGTCTTTAATTTTTCATATACTAAACTTTTTTTTTGTTCTTATGCTATACTTTCGCCTTTGATTGTTCTAATATCACATTTTATGTTCAAAAATATTTGCATTTCTACTCTTAGCATGTCTGTAATAAGTTTGTGACTATGCAATAATTTTTTTTTAATCAAAAGTGGGACATAAGACAAATTACAGTGAAACACTCGGTGTGCGCCAAAATAGCTCTGTGAAAGGGCCAAATTCGAATCGGGTGACTCAAACCACTGATTCGAATCATGTGCTTTTGATTACAGATTCAAGTCAAGAGATTCCGAACAGTCGTTCGAATTAAATTATTCAGATCAGTGATGCAAGTCTAATGATTTGGATGAAGGATTCGAATAAAATTATTTGGATTCTATGTTGTGAATCAAGTAATTAAAGTCATATGATTCCGATCTTTGTAGAATAAAGTGATTCGATCACTATTTGAATCAAATCACAAATTATGTTATTCAAATAACTCATTATGAAGTTATTCAAACCAGTGATTTAAATCGTATAATCGAATTGATACCCAACTTTACTTCCCTTATCTCCACTTTGGGAGGATTTTGGTCAAAAAATTTTTTTTGTGAGGCTTAAACTGTATTTTGCTTTATTTGTATTTCTTTAATATGTACTGTTTTTTCCTTATACAAAACCTGAAGTATACACCCTCTATTTTTTCTTTATTGTAAATTTCTAGAAATACAAAGGTAATAACTTCAGAGACTTAATGTTTTTATATCATCCCTTTATTTCAATTAATTCCATGAGTAAAATGTAATCAGTATTAGAACTTAAATTTATCGTTAGAAGTACAAAGTTTGCTTTTTATTGCATAAAATATACTGAAAGCTTATTATTTTTTAGACATTTCCCTGATCCCAATTGCTACAAAGTTTTTAAAAATGCAGAAATTTCCTATTTTTCATTATTTTTAATGGTGCTCTATTTTCTGACAAATTAGCTTTCAAATGATGATCTCTTTTGCATTTGAAAATAAACATTTACTTTTAATATTTTTATAATATTTTTTATTGATATATTGAAGTTTATTTTATTTTTCATCGTAACATTATAATGATTATTGAAAAGCAAATAGAATTCTCATTCTAATGTTTCAACTTTAGTGATACGTTTGGATGGTAGCAAACCAGTGAAATATGGTCTTCAGCTCAATCATGATGACAAATATACTGCTCTTAAGCAACAGTTGGGGAAACTTTGTAATTTAAACCCTCAGCAATTGCTCGTGACTGAAGTGTCAGAAGCAACTTTTAAGGTAGAATTCCTTGTCTTTAAGTTTATGTAATTCAATGACACATTCATGTTATAATCAAATAAATGTCTTATAACTTTTTATACAAAATTATATGAATTAATGTTACATTAAGCAAAATTAATATGAAACATATTTCAGCAATCTGATTTTTGCAAACAAAATTATGAACAAATGACTTGAATACATAAAAAGATAAAGTGCACGGTTAAAAGGAAAATATTGCTAAATTATAATATACAGTAGAGAACCTATTATCTTGAACAATCGGGACCATCGCTATTCCGGATAACTGATTTTTCCGGTTTACGGAATCGCTACAAAACGCCGTTTTTTTATTGTCAAACCCTCCTTAAAAAAAATTTTTTTAGAAATAATTTTAAAAAGAAGAAAAAGCGATAAAGTAATACACATAAGCTTAATAAGATAAAAAGGAAAAAAAATAATGAAATAAAAATATATACAGGCTTAATATAAAATGAACAAAAAAGGTAAATTGGAAGAAGAAAAAAAATGGGGGGAGATGGGCTCCATCTTTTGCCGCTTTTTTCTATTTCGTCGTTGTCTGTGTCAGGACAAAACCATCCTCTCCATTTTTTACTTCGTTATGAAATTGGAAAAATCACAAACATTTACAACGTTTGAATGTAATTCTGGATGGAAAAAAAATCTATCAAAAATTTCTGGAGAAAAGAAAAACGATTTTTTTTACTTCAATATTCTTTATTTTTTATTATTCTCAAATGAGAAGAGAAAAATCGCGAGTGTTTCTTTTACCTCATATGCTCGAGACAGACATCGTTCGAATATAATTTTGGATGGGGGAAAAAAATAGTCCTTCAAAAATTTCAGGAGAAAAAAAAGAACTCAATTTTTTACTTAATTATTCACAAATGAGAAAAGAAAAATTGTGAGCATTTCTTTCCCCTCCTATGCGCTGCGCAAGAAGGCCATCGTTTGAATAAAATTCTGGATGGGAAAAAAAAATCTTTCAAAAATTTATGGAGAAAAGAAAAAGAAAATTTTTTTCTTCATTATTCTCAAATGAGAAGAGAAAAATCGCAAGCATTTCTTTTCCCTCCTCTTATGCGCTAGAAAGACATCGTTTGAATATAATTCTGGATGAAAAAAATATCTTTTGAAAATTTCTGCAGAAAAGAAACTTAAAATTTTTTACTTCCCAAAAGAAAAATCTTTCTGCGGAAAGCTCTCTAACGTTCTGCCACATTATTAACGTAATTCTGGCACGCAATTACTATCTAGAAGAATTTAACTTGGGTTTCAACATTTCGCTAAAACATTAATCAAAATCAGAAGGAAAAACACGCATATCACAATCTTATTCCTCATTAAGCTGAGTGATTTTATTTCTCCTCTACTCCAGTTAAACATAAATTGGCAAGCAGACACAGAAACTGACATAATAAAAAGAATTTTTGTTCTACCAAGCTCTGCCCCCTCCTCACACCCCATTCAAATTGAATGGATTGAAAAATGGTCACAGTTGCAATACAGTATGGGACCCCTAATCCGGCGGCAGGACCCGAAATTCGGCACTTAATCCGACCTTCTATTTTTTTTAAAGAAATTTTTGAGAAAGAGAAAAAAAAATCAGTCATATTCTCTTTTTATTTGGAATTTTTTTCTCTTGAAGTAAGTAACAATATTTTATCTTTTAAAAATAAAATAAAGCATGAAAAAAAATATTCTTTGTCAAATAAAACATCTGTTCCTAAAGCAGTTTAAAATAAAGTGAAATTGAAAAGTAAAAACATCTGCATTTCCAATGAACAAAATAAAGAAATGCAAGTTCCAAGAAACTGATCAATCAATCTTGACAGCTGTTCAAGTGCTTTACTGGTTTGTCCCCACATTTCCCTCTCCTGTTTGACCATAAATTGGCCACACCCTGTTGACATTGAAACTACCATGTGGTGTACAAAATGAATTCTATACATTTTGTTGCTTTTTTTATTCGATTTATTTATCTTTCTATTAGTTATTAACTGTCACTTTTTTTGTTACTTGTTAACTAATTTTTTTTTCATTATTAGTTGTTTGCTTCTTTTTTGTAACTATTCATTGTTAGTTTCTTAGCATTTATTGTTACTTTTTTTTGTACTTCCTTGTTAGCTTATATTTTTCTTTTTTTTTAGAAACGTGAGCGTCTTTGAACGTTAAAACAAAATGTTACGTAAAAGAAAAAACCTCGTGCCAAAGAAGAAATGATTATTTCTTTTTAGGAGGATTCGGATTATTTCATCTTGAATTATTTCTTCTTGATTATATTATTTAGATTATTATTTTAATTAAGGAAATATATTATTTTAATTATTGAAATTTCTTATGATAGGACAGTATGAAATTCACCCCATCTGAATCTACAATAGAAACTTTGCTAAATTTATTTATTTTTCTGAAATTAACAGCATAATTGAAGTTTCGTAATATGTGGGCGTCATATTGGAATTTCCGGAAGAGATCCGAAATTCATCAAATTCCGAAATACAGAATTTTGTCGGTCCCATGAGTGCTGGATTTTGGGTCCTATACTGTACTTGACCTTGAATCATTTCCCCCCTTTCTTTGGCTGTCACTATGTTCAAAGGGGGAATAGCAGAAATGACAGATAATTTTTTAAAAAATAAGAAAAAGTAGGAAATAACAAGATTCAGAAACAACTAAGCAATCAACAGACATGATGACTCCCCCTGCTTAAAGACCAGATGATAAGAAAACAGGTGTTCAATGAGTCACCCTTTCTCACTGAGCTATGATTGAAAAGAAACTACTATGTCAGGGGTGAGGAAGGGAATGGTTGATGATATTTTGTACAAGACTCTTACTTCTCTTGACAGTGTAGGGAACTAATGATTATTCTTGAAATGATGGTAAAGTAAACATCTTTTGAAAAAGAAAGAAAAATCCTAAAATCTATGAGGGGAATAAAACTATATTTTTAAAAAATGGCGGGAAAATGTATCGAATTTCGTTCCGGTTTTCTGATTTCCGGATATGAGGTTCTGTACTGTATTACCATTCTGTGCAACATGCATACAAATTATGTGTGATATGCATACACATTATATAATTTATATTGATTGTGAACCCTACAGAGTTTGTTCAAATACATCAATAGGTATACATGCGTCCAATTTTTCCATGATGAACATGTTTTTGGACAAAGAATGCGAAATAAATTTTCATTAAAAAAAAATTGTTTTTAATGGGTGTTTTAAAAGATTAGACCAAAAAAGTCCCATTTTATATTAAAATTTCTGTTGTAAACTCGACCTCATTAACTGTACCTGGACCTGTTTCCATCTACTGAACCTTTTGCATATATATAAATAAGTTCAAAATGTACAGAAAACATGAAAAATATTACAGAACAATGAAAAAAAAGGGAAAAAGAAAAAAATAATAATAAAAATCTGGAAAAATAAAAGATATAATCTTTTCATCAGCTCACATAATTATATCCGCAAAAAGGAGTGCTTTCTAATATTGTATCAGCATAGCCAAAGCAAAATATGTCAATACAATAATGTAAGGAGTACTGAAAAAAAATTTACAACAAATAAAATAGAACGCATTAAGTAGAAATATCACATAAAATCAGAAAATAAAATGTAAAGAAAAAACAGAATAAAACATAAAGCAAAATCTATAAAGCGAGTAGCGAATTCAAATGAACTTACATGAACGGGAAATTTTTCATAACAAGATTGCCCGATTACAAAATATGAAAACAAAAGCGCAAATTGAGGTAAAAGTGTAAATAGAGGGGTTTTGTATTATAGTGCGTTCTTACTGCAGTACTGAAGTGCGCTTCATTTGTTAGTTACCAAGGATGAGTCCGAAAATGGATGTGCGTAAGGTAATATTATACTGGATAATTTAAAGAAATTGACAATTAATAATTGTAGGGCCGGGATAGCCTGGTCGGTAGNGTAGCGAATTCAAATGAACTTACATGAACGGGAAATTTTTCAAGAATGATTTAAAATATTTTCATAACAAGATTGCCAGATTACAAAATATGAAAACAAAAGTGCAAATTGAGGTAAAAGTGTAAATAGAGGGGTTTTGTATTATAGTGCGTTCTTACTGCAGTACTGAAGTGCGCTTCATTTGTTAGTTACCAAGGATGAGCCCGAAAATGGATGTGCGTAAGGTAATATTACATTGGATAATTTAAAGAAATTGACAATTAATAATTGTAGAAAATTAACCTTTATATAAGAAAAGAATAAAATAAAATAGAAAAGAGAAAGAAACATGAATTGCCTGTTTTGCACATAATTTTAGCAACGGATTTGCCCGAAATAGATTTGCACATGGCAAAAATTATATAAATTAACAAAGAAGTTTTTTAGTAAATTTATTTACAATAATATACAATTAACTCAATGATTTAATATAGAATTTAATTACTTTAGTTTGGTATCCATTGTTTTTTATCAAATTTTGAAGGAGTGTGTCAAATACTTTTTGGATAAATAAGCATTACTACATATTCTTTTAATTCTGTTCATTTGATTAAAAATGGTATTTAAAGAGATGTTCTTAGAAACATTAGAATTCCAAGTAATTAGTTTATTAATATTAAAATTAAATTCATTTCTTTTATCGTATAAATCAACAAAGCAGATATTTTCTTCTTTTATAATACTCAAATCGAAAAAACTGAAATTAATGTTATCATCATGATTATGATCTTTTTGTATTTATTTATTATACAATATATATAGAACATAGTACTTGGCACAAAACCATAATTTAGAGCATCAGTTGAAAACCAAAACATCTCATCTAATTACTTAACTGTTTTTGATTAGTTCAGTTCAAACTGTGAAATCGCTTATTGACTTAAAAGCAGAAATAGTTTCTGTTGTGTTTAAATATTTCAATAAAAAGATATATTTTTAGTTCAACAAGATTGCCATAAGATTTGAGATTAAGTTGATATTTTACATTTTACTGAGTATCAAAGATGTTTTTTATTTAATATTTATGAATCTTATTTTTCTTTGCTAATATTTTATTTAATAAAAATTTTGTTAATTACAAACGAAAGATTAAATTGTGTAGTGAACATATAATTATTTCTTAAGAGATATGCTCATCATCGCATAATTATTAAATTTAGGCAGCATTACTGCATGTCCATTAAAATCCTAAATTATATACTGGGAATGCTTAAACAAATGTTTAAATTTTATTATTTTTCATTTCAAAAGCAAAATGTGCAATAAAGATAAAATTGGATATTATTTTGTACATTGTAAGACATAAAAGATTCATACATTGAAAAATTGCACATGAGCATACCGTATGCAGCAAAAAGATATGTGAATTTCACTTCATGAATGTATACAATGTTTCTGGAAATTCCATTCGTTTACTTAAAAATAAATTAGGTGCTCATTTTTAATTAAATCATATCACACAATTTATTATATTTTACAAAGAATTATTTTTGTAACTTCATCGTTGTGCAATTCATTATACATTTAGAAGGCATAAAAATAACTAAAATAGTTTACCATTTCTTTTATTAATACTTTTGGTAATAATCAAGCAATATTTATATTTAGTATATATGTAAGTATGCATGTAGAATATACTTGAAAAAAACTCTTTATCTTCTGAAGAGTCTTTTTATGAAAAAAACCTAATAAATTCCCCTTATCCCTGAGCAAAATTGAGTTTTTTTTTCATGAAAAAACCCATATGGGCTGGGTTTTTTCTTAATAACCGAGGTTTTTGGAACCCTGAAAACTTTATTTTTCACATAATTTTAGTTTGTGTAACCAAGAACTTAGCACAAATTCCAAGTGATGTCAAATGATACAGTTTAACTATTTAGAGCACTTTCTTTTTTTTTATCATACTTGTGTTACCGAAGCATGCTTTGAGTAATCCTATACTAAATGCATCATAGTGGGAAAAGTATTTATTTTTTTAAAAAAATAAAATATTTTTAGAGCTTTTAATTTAGTGAAATACACTTTTGCTCATTAAAGGGCTGTATGTGTATGATTTTATTTTGCATTAATATTTTAAATTTTTTTCTTTTGAATGCTATTTTTTAAGAATTTGATGTTAATTTAATTTGATTAGTGCAGAATATGTTTAAATTTTGATTTATTTTGCAGTTGAATGACCGATTCTGTAAAAACACGATTTTGTTTATATTATTTAGAGAATTCTATATTTTCTTTAACTTAAATGTGCTATCCTGCATAAGCTTTTTTAAAGTTTCTGTAAATATCATTGATTCCTTTTTTTTTTGAGAGAAAGAGATATTAATAACTTTTCAGTTTAAAAATTATTAAAAATAAATAACTTATTAAACAATTATTTCTTTATTTGCACATCATTTTTATTATGTAAAACTCATACATTTTCAATACAAATATCTTATATTGCATTTCAGGATATTTATTTCTGCTACAAAATATTAATGTTTTTAACATTAGGAACTTAAGTTTACTTTGAAATTCTTTCTTTTTTCAACAATATTTTTAATCCTCTGAGTTCCAAATTTTTTTTTTTCCTGTATCAAAAACTGGTTTCTCCATGCTATTGACTGAGTGCATTGCTGGAAAATTTCTGTACAATTTTACCCAGGGATTCAATGCTTGGAGGGTCAAAGTATGGATTTCAAACTTGTCTTTTTTTTCTCAATATTTAATTTAAATTACTTTTTAGAGTATACCATTAGATGATAATCGAATCAGAATCGTGGGTGGTAGTAGCTTTTATGCTTATGAGCTTTACTTTCAACAAGATTATGTCATGGAAGAAGAAGCAAGGCCAACTAGAGAAACACATACTTTGACTCAAATCCAAAGAATGCCTTTGTCAGGTAATATTGTTTTTTTAGTTATACAGTATTAATTAATGGTAAGCATATTTTTTATCGATTGTGTGAGTACTTAATATGTAACCATGATAAGTTTGATTTTAAAAGTAAAGAATTGCCATTTTTTATCTAGATTCTTCCTCTAAAGTATTTCCTTCACCCATTCTCAAGAAAGCTCCTGCCGTCACCTTGAATGGGGATGCCTACAAAATTAGCAATGAACGAGAATGTGGTGATGGTCCAGGAAAATCTATATTTTCTGTTGGAGATTCTGACAGTGATAGCACAAATTCTCAGGTGAGTTCAAATAAGTGTCTCTTATATTTTTAAATCACTTTTTCATTATGAAAAAAAATAATATTTTGTGAAAGAAGTTACTAAATTGGACTTTTTTAGCTTTGACAAATTTTTAGATTTTAATTACAACCTGAAGAAAATGTTAATTTTAAACTTAATAGTTCTCTTTAGTATGACCTTGTTTATTGCGAAGCTGCTTATAATTTATGTCCTCTTTTACTGAGATAATAATTTAAAAAAATTTATTTTGTTTCCTTTGCAATTAAAGTAATTGGTCCCCGAACTATGGAGCACTTTTTTTTAAGCTATTTTGATTTAAATAATATTTTAAAACTTTGGCATTTCTTAATATTATTTTTTTGCATAAAAATGACAAATGTTGATTCATATAAGTGTTGCATAGTGCATGCAAAAGCATGTCAAGACCACCTTTCTATCTTTCGAATTAAAGTTTGATTTCCGAAATTTGTCATTGATTCACAATCAAAATTTTAAAAAGAAAGTGCATTAAGCTTCTTTTCGTTAATAATATATTAGTAAAATATATCGTCCTAATTTTTAAATCTTCATATTTCAGGGATGAAAGACTTCCGTGAAAAGCAGAAATCCGCTTTTCCCCTCCCAATTTTTAAAATTTTTGACAATGCTCCAAAAACATAATTTTTTGGGGTGTGTAATTTTTACTGGACCCCCATAACCGCAGAAACTCAAGCAGCCCGAACGATACTCGATCCGTACTTGTAACGAAGTTTTTTTTCCGTGCAGTAGTTTTCTGAGAGAGAGTGATTATCAGGAGAAAATGGGTAGAGTTTCGACACGTGCATAGATGCCGCGACAACCGCTGTCAAGCGGAAAGAACGAGGTATTTGGTCATGAGTTCTAAGCATTTTCGTTTCGGCTGTCAATATTTGATCTGGGGTTTTCCTCCTTCGGTGTGACGCATGTCGAATTTGCGCATCCGTAAGTGATAATTTTCTCGATTCCACTAATTCTTATTTTTGACTGTTTCTATGTTTCAGTGATGAGATTCTTCTGCGGATTCGCGGATTTTCGCTTGTTTTTCAGATTTTTCCAATTTTCCCTTTAATTTCCGCTGAAATTTTTTTTTTTTGCACAAGTTAAAATATTTTATGAGGAATTTAATTTTCCACGGAGCGAAATCATTGCAGTCCTTATTCCTCCCTCTGAAGTTTCTCTAAAAATCATTTCCTTGGGATAAAATTGGTTGACCTTTATCCAGGGATAACATTTGTTTTGTCTCGAATTTCAGCTTTTTTATAAATATCCCGCTTTTTTTAAAAAATTCAGTCGTTGAAGTGAAATAATTATATTTATTTGCGATTTTCAAAGATAAACAGAAAATTCAAACTACGTCCTAGCTTCTAACCCTTCCACATTTTTACTTATATTAGCTATTTTTTCCAATTCCACGCACAGGAAATAAGATTTTCCGTATTTTTTATCCGTCGGCGGAATAGCTCGTATTTTCATAATTCAGATGTCGCTGCTTCTTGTATTCTGGCGTGAAAAAAAAAAAAAAAAAAGAAAAANGAAAAAATAGAGGTGGATTTGCGGTGAAAATATTTATTTGCTCATTCAATTAATCTTGTAAATTTTTATTTGTTATGTCTAAACAAAAACAATACAAACAAGCCTATTAGAGATCCCAAATCCAGACTGCAAATATCTCGATTTTTATTCACACGATTTTAATATCAATCATCGATTTTTGTATTTACCTGATTTAAAAGTTTCGCATTGCACTTCTTATTAACGCTATTTAAATATCATACATTATGATTCCTATTTACGAGATTTAAAAATCCAATATCATGTTTTGTATTTATGCATTTTTAAAACCGCGCTTTTATTATCAAACATCGATTTTCATATTTACCTGATTTAAAAGTTGAACATCGCAATTCTTATTCAGGCGATTTAAATATTGTTGATTGCGATTCTTATTTACGAGATTTAAAAAAAAACAATATCGTGATTTGTACTTATGAGCTTTTAAAACCCTATGTAGCAATTTGTATTCACGCGAGCTTAAAATCCAATTTTTTAATCCATTTTTTAATCCAATTTTTTAATCCATTTTTTAAACTCGATGTAGAGTTTCATATTCACGTCATTTAAAAGCCTCATATTGGGATTTATAATCACATGGTTTGCAAGTTTAAAAATCGCACTTTTTTTGTCAAATTTTTGTTTATATATATATATATATTCTTGGATTTCCTCTTTTTTACATCCCTGTATGTTTGTCTGTGCACATATTTCTTTTCGTTTACTTGTGTCCTTTTTCTGTCGTGCATTGCAAGATTAATTTATTTCGATAGAAGAGCACAAAGTGCATGCAATCGATGCTGCCGAAAAAATTCAATTTAAGTTTGATTTGTTAAATAAAGCAGTCAAAGTGACTAAAACTGTTATCAATTATCTATCAAAGTATACTGAGGTGAAAGTTAGCTTCTGTTTTAATTTAAAATGATTGACCGGCAATTCATTTAAAATGTTGATTGTTAAACCTTATATATTGCTTAATTTTCTTTAATATAGTAGTGGTCAAAGATGTTTGTAAATTATATTTAAGAACAATTTAAATGTCGCTAAATGCTCTTGCCACTTTTAATANCTTACACCTCCCTCTGAAGTTTCTCTAAAAATCATTTCCTTGGGATAAAACTGGTTGACCTTTATACAGGGATGAGATTTGTTTTGTTTCGAATTTCAGCTTTTTTATAAATATCTCGCTTTTTTTAAAAAAATTCAATCGTTGAAGTGAAATAATTATATTTATTTACGATTTTCAAAGATAAACAGAAAATTCAAACTACATCCTAGCTTCTAACCCTTCCGCATTTTTACTTATATTAGCTATTTTTTCCAATTTCACGCACAGGAAGTAAGATTTTCCGTATTTTTTATCCTTCGGCGGAATAGCTCGTATTTTCGTAATTGAGATGTCGCTGCTTCTTGTATTCTGGCGTGAAAACAAACAAGAAAAAAAAGAATAAAAAATAGAGGTGGATTTGCGGTGAAAATATTTATTTGCTCATTCAATTAATCTTGTAAATTTTTATTTATTATGTCTAAACAAAAACAATACAAACAAGCCTTTTAGAGTCCAGACTGCAAATATCTTGATTTTTATTCACACGATTTTAATATCAATCATCGATTTTTGTATTTACCTGATTTAAAAGTTTCACATTGCAATTCTTATTAACGCTATTTAAATATCATACATTATGATTCTTATTTACGAGATTTAAAAATCCAATATTGTGTTTTGTATTTATGCATTTTTAAAACCGCGATTTTATTATCAAACATCGATTTTCATATTTACCTGATTTAAAAGTTGAACGTTACAATTCTTATTCAGGCGATTTAAATATTGTTAATTGCGATTCTTATTTACGAGATTTAAAAAAACCAATATCGCGATTTGTACTTATGAGCTTTTAAAACCCTATATAGCAATTCGTATTCACGCGAGCTTAAAATCCAATGTCGTGATTCATTTTCGCGGTTGTAATATGCGTGCGATTTAAGAATTATGCATAGTGACCTAAAAATTACGCATCATGATTTGTATTTTCGCATTTTTTAAATTCGATGTAGAGTNAAGTTCTGTTAAATGAAATTGTGCTCCTCCACCGTAGGCTGGATTCTGGTAGGTGGTTTCCACTTCCTTGTACAGTGGATTTGTATGCTGAAATGCAAAGAAATACATAAAATTTACAAATATATATATATATATATATATATACATACAGGGGTCTGTCTAAGTTTTTCTTAAAAGTACCTATTTTGTGAAAATTTTGACATAATCTGTGAAAAATTATATTAAAAAGTCAACACTAAAACATGGTAAAAATATAGATTTATCGTTTCTTAAGGGAGACAAAAATAAAATTTTAAGAAAAAGTATTTTGTGAAAATACCGTTTTTCCTAAAGTTGAATTTGTGAAACTACCGTTTTGTGAAGGTACTGCTAAACGGTAGTAAATTCGGCCTGGACAGACCCCTGATATATATATTCTTGGATTTCCTCTTTTTTACTTTCTGACTACTCTCATCCCTGTATGTTTGTCTGTGCACATATTTCTTTTCGTTTACTCGTGTCCTTTTTCCGTCGTGCATTGCAGATTAATTTATTTCGATAGAAGAGCACAAAGTGCATGCAATCGATGCGGCCAAAAAAATTAAATTTAAGTTTGATTTGTTAAATAAAACAGTCAAAGTGACTAAAACTATTATCAATTATCTATCAAAGTATACTGAGGTGAAAGTTAGCTTCTGTTTTAATTTAAAATGATTGACCGGCAATTCATTTAAAATGTTGATTGTTAAACCTTATATATTGCTTAATTTTCTTTAATATAGTAGTGGTCAAAGATGTTTGTAAATTATATTTAAGAACAATTTAAATGTCGCTAAATGCTCTTGCCACTTTTAATATAAAATAAATATCTCATGGCGTAGTTGGAAGTTATGTTTTTATATATCGCAGTATTACACAGAGCACACTCCCTCCTCCCAGTGTCAACTTTTTTTTTATTTTCGTCCACATTTTACTTACATTTTTCCGCATTTCATTCCTTTTTTACTAAATTTCCATAATCAAACAATTTTTGTAACTTGAAAAAAAAATGTGCCAATTTATTCTTAGAAATAAAGAAAACATTATAGTTCTACTTCACCTAGAAATCATTCTAAAACATTTCAGTTATAATGACTTCTTTGCTTTCTGTCTTACTAATATGTATATAGTTATATTTTTAGTATTATTGTATTCTATTCCATATTAAACATGTATTTCTAAAATGAAAGCATGTTGCAACAGTTTATATAGCATTTTAAAAAAAACTGGTCCTATTCCTTTGATTGCATAATGTTTCCACTCATTTTGATATATAAATGCTAATTATTATATCATTTTCAGATGAACAGTCCACCTGTTCAACAGTCTCAGGGTCCTTGGATTTTAGGGGGTGCTCCAAATTATACATCAAATATGTCATCTAGTATGGTTAGCAATTCATCAACTGGAGAATTCAATTCTGATTTCTATCAAAAGAATTTTGTTGTTGGTTATCATAGAAAAATGGTAAAAACTCAACTACTTTTCTAAACTTTCAAAGACATTGATCAAGTTGTAAGAGCTTAATCTGTTAATAAATAAATAAAAAAACTTCCTTTCTTCTCTAACATTGTTTTGAACTTTATAAAAGAATATTAAATAATATTATTGTTATCAAAACTCTTAAATTTTAGAGAAAATTTCATGAAATATGAGCTTATTCATTTAAGAGGTTTTTTATTATACCTATTTTTTATCTCTATGCTGCTCTTAAAACTCTTATTTGAACTTTAAAAAAAAAATTAATACCTTTACTGAAGTAATTTTTCTATTTTAACATGTTAAGAGGGCTCATACTGCTTAGTGAAAAACTGAAAATCTCAGGGAATTTAGAGCTTAAAAAATCAGGGCAAAAATCTGCAAAAGATAAAAATTTGAAGCAACTGGATATTGTGTGTGTTTGATTGCTTGCGGTAGTAAATTCTTCAAGGAGTAATAGAGATTTTGTACTGATGTTTATTAATTTTTATTTTTTATTCTTTTATTAATGTGTTTTGTTCACCAATTTTATTAGCATGTGTTTTTAACTGATATGCTGTGTATACTTTCAAATTTACCTTAGAGTTTTTCTGTGAAAGTTGTGTATGAATATTCTTTTGAAAATCATGCCAAATCCTTTACAGATAAGGCAAGATGTATATTTTCTTTCAAGTCAAAAGTGTCGACCCACCTTGTTTGGACTTCCTCTAATTCTTCCGTGTCACGAAATGACTACAAATCAAGACCTATACCAAGCAGTGTGGACACAAGTTGCTCGACTAGTGTCTCCATTGCCTCCCTCTGAAACTGCAGTATCAAACCATGCACAAGATTGGTAAGAGTAAATTACTTTTTGTTTTAGTAGATTTTCATTTATAAGTGTCAATCTCATTTCGTCTTTTAGACCATTCTGTATTTGCTTGTGCCATATTTATTGTATGCTATCATTTATAAACAATTGAGAACATTTGCATTTATGTTAATACTTTTTATGAATTTTTTTAATGAAAATAAAGTAACCAGTGACTTGTCCTTCAAACTATGTATACCTAATCGCTTGAGATGCGCTAACTTGTATTCAGACTAACCATAAAACAGACAGTTTTTTATTAAATAAATTCATGAAAACCTGAAATAATTTATTCTTATGCTTCTAGTGATGACAGTTTAGGTTATGAATATCCTTTTACATTGAAGGCAGTTCAAAGAAATGGCTATCTTTGTGCTCATTGTCCATGGTACAGGTATGTTAATTTTTTCTACCTCTCGATCTTCTACTCTATAATGTTAACTTGTATATTTTTGATGTAAACAAGAAAATCTTCAAAGAATGCATCCTCACAGGATTCCTTAAAATCGAAGAAAAATCTTTTTAGAATAAAGAGTAAACTCTTATTGAACATTTTTTTTTCACTGCCAAAACATGGGGAATCTTACATCAGTCTTAAAAAAGACTCAGCTAGAAGATATGTTTAGCATTAGTGGTAATTGTAAGCAGCCACATAGATTTAAAAACAATATTTCTATTATTTATTATAATTTCTCATATAAAAATCCTCTATTTATTTTATGGCAATTTTTTTACTCATCATTCAGTGAAATCTGTTTCTCGCAAAGTTATATATTTGCTATATCAAATGTAAAAATTAGTTCAACTAAGTTTTTCTTTAAATCTTAAGTAATAAACTTGAATAAATTTTTTGTAAATGTAAAAATTTCAATAAATACCAACAAAAAAAATTTATTTAGCCAATTGTTTACTTTAATTTATATTTAATGATGAATTATTAGTTAAGTAAATGCTATTTAATCAGTTAAATAGTATTTTCAAAAATATTAAACAGATATGAAAAATGAAATTGTCAGTAAGTTCAAACTCTTATTTGATGAATTAATATTATTTATGTACACTTGTAGGAATAAAATTGAGTTTGTTGGGGTGATTAAAGTATAAGTAATTTTATTTTAATAACTTGTATTTCATTGTTCATTTGTATTGTGCTTAATATTATGTGAATAATAAGTGGGTGATTTCTGTTGAGTAAAATTTAATTCTTGTAATAGATCTATGTGTATTGGAAAAAATCAAAATTTATAATCTTCAGGGGTCTGTCCAGACATTTTGTGAAAGGTCCGGTTTTCGTGAAATTGTGAAAAAATTACATTCTTTTAACCAGGGTCCGCTTTTATGAATTTGTGCAAATAGGGTCCGATTATTGCAAAAAACTTTTTCAATGAGTTTTTAAATTGTAAATAGATACAAGATTATGCTCGGCACTGTAAAATTATAATTAAAAAAAATTAAATTTTCAAAAATAAACAGCAATTGCTGCTTCTAAATTAGAGATGCAACATACAAATATTTGGTATTTAGCCTATACTGCTGAACGCAGAATATTCATTTCGGACGAATAATGGAAGAATCGTCTGCCGAAGACAAAACTTAATTCGTTTACATCCGTCTTTCTTGTTTTCTGCCCTGGGAAGGGTTTATTCGATTAACAAAACAATAATGAAGATAAACAAATTTGGGAAGGGCCCGATTAAAAGAAAAATCATTTTGTGAAGGGTCCGTTTTTAAGTTAAAATATTTTGTGAAGAGTCCGTTTTTATGAAAGGATATTTTGTGAAGGGTCCATTAACGGACCCAAATTTCCTCTAAGCAGACCCCTGATCTTATTTCTATTTTATATAATTATATTATTTTTTATTATGCAATATTTCTTTATTATTTAATATATCAAAAATTTAATTAAATTATTCAAATTTTCTTTCTTCCTAATGTTCTGGTTTGATATAAAATTATGGATATTTAACATATAGGGTGGCTACAAAATACTGTAACAAATATTGAATTATTTTGTTGTACAGATATTAAATAGAAAATGATAAATACGCAAGTATGATTAACATTATAAATGGAAGTTTACTTTTAAAAATTTTAATTCGAATCAACCACCATCTTTATCGGTTACTAAAAATAATCTCTTATGTCATTGTCCCATGGCGGGACCAATTATTTTAAGAGGTAGTTTGTCTCATACGTGTAATCAGGAAACTCTGAGGGAGTCCAAACTTCTGTGCTGCTTAGCATTAACTTTAGACTCTAAAATACCCCAAAGCCTGCCTGTATTGTTTTGGCTCAGTCTGACGGTGCAGAATCTTGCTGAAATATCCAATCCTTTTTGGGATACAATCCGTCAGCATTTGGCAATAAATGTGTAGTCGATACTTCCTTTTTGTAATATTCAGCACTGACTTTTACCTCGATGAATTTCAAAGGAAATTTTCTGTAACTTGACACTGCAGACCAAACCATTACAGAATTCTTGTTTTGAAGTATTTGCACTTTCAGGTATATCATCGAAGGTTGCTGAATATACAATATTGTTTTTAGCATTATAATTTTGTTCTGTGCAAACTATTTTCTCATCAGAAAAGATTGTTTTGTCAACATTTTCGTTACTGTGCTGATTCAGCATTTTCTTTCATCTTTGTAACCTTTTTAATTTTTGTGCAAATCTTGAACTTTTCTTTTGCTGTAAGGGCAAAAACCCATGTCTTCATGTAATATAACTTGCACAGTTCTCTTCTGCAGCCCTTTTATTAGCTGTGGATTTCTTTGTATTTTTTCATGAATTCTTTTAATGCTCTTTTTGTGTGAACTAGGAATGGATGACCAGACCCGGGTTGATCTTTACAGCTATTAGTATCCAATAATCAATTTATAGTTCTATGTATAAATTCACCGGTAAACTCATGATATTTTCATTACTTTACGATTCTACCTGCAGCAAATCTTTAATCAAAAAGCTGTTAACCATCAACCTTTTTTATTCCCTCTTTAAATTTATTCTAAATGTTTCATCAAAAATTGTCTGTACTTATAGAAAGTGCCAATAACGGAAATAGAGAGAGAGAAATTGTTTTACCAAATGTTATAAATTAATTCCTATTTTATCGAATGTTACAGTATTTAGTAGCCACCCTATAGTTTATTATTGAATGTTTCAAATTCTAACATTTACTCATTGTGACTTGGCAGGTTTTGCCGAGGTTGTAAAATAGAATGTTGTGATGCAGATTTCAATTTTGGTTGTGCAGTTATCGCCATAGATTGGGATCCCACTGCCTTACATCTACGTTATCAAACTTCATTAGAAAGGGTAATTACAATTTTTCATGTACCAAAACGTTGGCATTTAATTTAGTGACAATGTATGCATTGAATTTCGGCAAGAGAGATATTTTTTTATATAGGTAACAATATAAAAATTCAGGAGGATCAATGTTAGGTCAATAGTTTATATATATAATAATGCGGTCTGACCAGGCTAGGAATGAATGCATGTAAAGAGAAAATGAAAATTTTAAAACAGAGGGAAAACAAAAAAACTCATCAAAATCAATGTGCTCATCAAAACTCATTTTATATGTTAGGGCTTATAATTACCCCCCATCATATGTGTTACTAGAGATAATTTAACATTTACAATAGGGCCAAATAATTTGTTAAAAGATTCTCACGAGATTTCTTATGGGAAAAAAATTATATTTACTGCTTTCTTTAATCTATTTTTAATGATGTGAATTACCGATTGTGTGAATGTGTTTAGCACTTAATAATGATTTAAGAAAGAGACTTTAGACCAAGAAATAATATTAAAAAAATTTATAGCTTTTTTATATCACAACCTCCTACCCCAAAAATATACTAACAAAATTTGTAATTTGCTTGTATTTTTTTTCCCTGTATGAGAAACTATTAAAAGCCATAACCATTAAAAGACATTAAACATCATTAATTTTCCATTTCATCAAGCACATTAACCACCATTAATTTCAAGTTCCTTACAATAGTTTGCCCTAATTGTTTACTTTTCTGTTAGTTTCCGAATTATGGGTTGTAGTTAACAATTGTTTCATTTTATGTTTTAATTATTTTTTTTTAAATGAAAAGAAGCAAATGCTTTGCTTCACACACTATAGAATTCTTTAAGGAATTTAAATTTAAAAAATTTGGTAGAAAAATTATATATAAATTTGTTATTGATTTAGATACAAAAGGCCACATTTATTGATTTTGATGATCGATTATTAAACTTCAGTATCTTTTAGTAGAATTGAAATAATTAAAACGACCTACTCTATCTATTGCAATTCTTTCAAAAAGGTTTGTCGGTTGAGGGTATTGATTGAAGTAAGACAAATTGTTTTTTGTCTAGGTTTTTTTTATTTATTTGACAAGTATGACAATGTTTATTAAAATTTGTAATTTCTAAAATAATATTTTCCTAATAATAAACAGACGTTAGTAGATTAATAATTTTTTGAATCTCAGGATGACCAAATTTTTCATGATTAATTTTAAATTATATATGTCTTAAGAAAAGTGGAGCAACAATTTTGGTAGAATCTTTTTTCTATAAACATGAAATATTATTGATTTCAAGAAAATGTTTAGCTGTTGGACTTTGCAAATTCTCATCTAATTGCAAAATACAAATTGGATTGAAAAATGGTTTCCACTATTTATTTCAATACTAATAGTAATATTATCATTTCTTTCAGGAATAATCCTGAAATAACATGTCATCTTTAAAGTTTGAGGTGCTTTTGGTGTATTTTATGTCATAATCATACATACTCAATTGTAATGAGTCTTCCTTTTAGATGTTTTCTCAAACTAACATCACATGATTAATGCATCCACCACAAGACATTTTAATTCAGTTATAGCATAGTTCTTTTCATAGTCTCTTAAAGAGCAAGAATGGGTGCCTTATTGACTTGCACCTATAAAAACATCATTTTAGGATTTTTAAAAAGATGTTGGCAAGAATTTTTTAAAATTTCAAATATTTATTGACATTTGGAAGAAATTTTTTTTCAGAAGATTGATTAAATGGGTTCTTATTTTTGTATAATTATTTATAAATTTGTTGTACATGTTTATTGATCCTAAGAAGGGTTTTAATTTACTTAAATAGTATTATTTTTATCATGAGTCACCATTACATTGAATTCTAGTTTGTAAACTTTAAATTTTCTGATCTATATATTTCAAATTTTTTGTTTTGGGGAAGTTTTATATGCTCTGAGAAAACTGGTAAGTCTGATGTTAATCTTATCCTTTCAGTTTCAATTCTAATATTCGGTTTGTCATATTTATTGTTTGCAAAAATGTCTGAAAAATCTTGTGAAATTTCCTGAAGTTGAAAATTTTTCTCTATTTGGATTGGAAATATTATGTTTAAGTGACTTTGAGAATGTAGCCCTCCGTTATCATGCTAAGTTTATAGAATATTTGAAAATTCAAGATTATTTTCAGTTTTGCTAAGTGAATGTCCGAAGAACAATTGGAAAACGAGTTACGATTGATTTACGACGGAATCGCTGTAAGTTGAATGTGTCAGAAAGTGTTACCTCAAACTCGAAGTACTCGATTAAAAAATGTATTAAAAAGATACTCATAATAATGCATTAAAAAGATTGGATTTTAAAAAACATTTGAAAAAGGCCTATAAGAAGATAAATAATAACTGAAAAAACTGCCATCTGTTAAATTCTAATGGAGTAGTCAAAACTCGGAAGCTACAAAAAGTGACCCTTCAAATATGAACGTTGTTTTGACATTGTATAAAAAATATCAGAATTTGAAAACCATGTGAAAAAGTCCAGAAAAATAATAACTACCAATTATAACCACGTGAAATTAGGATGGAATCGCCATGAATTGAAAGTGTCAAAAAGTGATAACTCAAAATTTGATTGTCGTATTAACATAGTATGAAAAATATCAGAATTTTAATAGCCATGTAAAAGGTTAAAAATATAAATATCTTCTGAAAAAATATCATCAAATGATTTAAATAATTCACCTTATATGTAATGTATCACAAGCTAAATTCTCAACACTATCAATATTGTTAATATTATTTTCTTTTAATAATTTGTGAGATTTTGGCTTATGCGCATGAGTATATAGCACTTGAAATTTTCATTGTCAAGCATAATTTAATGTTTTTAGCACTCACTTGATGTGTAATATTAAATGCTGGACAATTACCAAAATCATGCGACAAATTACAACGCCAATATAATTTAAGTTTTTTTTTACTACTCATGGTTTAGTACTATCAAATTTTTTGACCTGTTTCAATTTTAAACATTTAATATACAACACCTCATTTTCTAAACTGTTACTAATATGTATATCTTTCAATTGATTTGTAGCCCTACAAATATAAATAACTTTCTTTGATGTTAGTTTTCTTTTGGCAAGCAATTGCCTAATCTTATCAGAACAATTTTCTCTTGATAACGCAATAAGCTGTCTTGCAAAGTTCCAGAATTGCAATCACCGGTTTTGGTTTTAAGCTTTGTAAAATATGAATCAAAAGTTTCGTGCTTACCTTGTAAACTACTAAAAAATATAGCATGTATACATCTCGTTCTGGGCAGGAGAGAAATAGCTGTCAAACTTGAGTTTTATTACTGATAAATCCTTTTGCTGTGCTTCTGATAATTCAAATGTATTGAACATCATTGTAGTATCTGGACCTATTGCAGACATAAATATCGCTACCTGGCTCTTTGCCAGACAGTGGAACAGCCATAGCATGAAACTCGAAATGCCCAGCTTACACTTGACAGACATTTCTTTGCAATATCCTGTTCCTGTGGCAAATGTACAAAACTTGAAGCCCTAGGTGGTTTCGTCACCATGTAATGTTTGCTAGCTATAATGATACCTGTAACAAACATCTTTATGGACGATGATTGGCAAACTGAACTTTGATTCCCAAACTGGGAGCTTGCTTGCACAGTGTTGCCAAATATGATGTTCCGAAACTCAAGTGACAAATACCCGCCATTTCATTTTTTTGGTTTATAATAATGCAGTCTGACCGAGCTACAAATGAATGCAAGTATGCGGGAAAAGAGAAGATTTTTTTTATTTGATCACTTTAAAACAAAGCAAGGGCAATAAAGCTCGCCAAAATCAATGCTCTTTTTTTATGCTAGGCCTTTGAAAAGGAAAATCTTACAAGTATTCTCAATCATATGTGTTACAAGGGATAATATATAAATTATAGAAGGCCAGAGTAATTAGTTAAGAGGTTTCTCCACAATTTCTTATTTCTTTAAGGGAAAGACTTATTGTACTGAAAAATGAATTAAGAAAAATAATTTTGACTAAGAATTAATATAAAAAGATTTGATAAAGCTTTTTATATGACATATGTATTTAAAATCCCGCCTGTTTTCAATGTCAAATGCATATCTTTTTTAGGATTTCATTGAGCATGAAAGTGTTGATGCTACTAAGAGATTACAAACAGAGCCTATTAACTTAGATGACTGTTTAGAAGCTTTCACTAAAGAAGAACAGTTGGGAGAAGCTGAGAAATATTATTGTTCAAAGTGCAAAGAGCATCAGTTAGCTTCAAAAAAATTGAATATTTGGCGATTGCCTCCTATTCTTGTAAGTTTTAATTTTTTTTTAAGCAGAAATTATATTTAGAGCAAATTTGTTTTTAGCAGTTTTTATAACCAACGATCTCAACGTTTAAAACTATAATGGTCGTTTTCATTTCATAAGATTACATGTTTTTTGACATTTCGATGATCTGTGTAATAGGATGTCTAATAAAAAACTTAATTTCAAATGCCGAATTGAAAAATATTTGTTTTACCTCAAAGAGAATGTAAAAAATTTTAAAACATAAAAACGAAACTAATTCTAGTTTTCTAGTTCATTTACAGTTTACAATAATTACAGTTTTCTAGTTCACAAATGTAAAGTATGCCTACACAATTGAAAGTCCTGTTTATAGAATCGTCGGGACTTTAGCAAGACCAAACAATAAGTTTTTAAGATAAACAAACACAAGTTATTCAGTAAAAAATAACAAATTAGTGATAATTAACAGCAAAGTTTTCTTAGAGGTTAAAAAATAAAAGTGGGCAGACAATTATTTGAACTTTCTCTTTAGTGAATTAAAGACGCTTTCTCTCTTTTTTTTCTTTTCTATTTAATGTGAAGAAAAAGGTGGGTACAAAATCAGGTAAAAATAACATGAAAGAAAGTCTAATCTTTTAATTGTAAATTAACTCGAATAAAAAAAAAATCATATAAAACATAGGACATAATTGAGTAGATTTTATTAATAAAAACATTTTGAATTTAAAGGGAAACTAAACTTATCGGCTGGTATTCTTTTCCAACACTGTTAATAATCAGTTTCATTTATACTCGTAGTTTATTCTTCTCAACCAAGTTTATTTTTCTTTAACTGATCTTATTTTTCAAATGGGTCTTGAAGCAGAATAATGTTTGGGTATCGAAAAGCCACAAGAAAAGAAAAGAAAAATCATAAATATCTTTTTAAACAAATGCATTAAAACGTGAGAAAACAAAAAAACTTTTGAAAAGGGAAAAAGGAAAATAAGTTTGTTTGTTTTGGTTGTAAAAATGTGCCCAGAAAAATAGATAAAATTGACATTTTCAGTAAATGGTAATGGACGTCCAGATATAGGACATTGTACTGTGTATATATTTAAAGATAATGTAAAATTATGCACATTACCTGACATAAATTGAATTAGCAACAGGAACCATTTAACTATTATCAAAAAAAGATTGAAAAAATAAATAAAATCAAACTAATCAATTGGAAAAATAGACATGCTTTCAATTTTAATTCAAGGTGAACTAATTATATTAAAATAATTATTGATTTATATTAAATGTTTTAAATTCTTTTACTTTTACGCTCTAAACTTTATATTTTTAAATTCGAAATCTGAAATTTTTTTATACTTTTGTCTTTGAAAAAAATTAAAAATTTATTTTGGCCACACATACCCTGTAAATAAAATTTTAGCTCCACTTTAAGAAATGGAAATATTTTGTGATTTTGGTAAAAGAATTTTGGTGAATATGTGACCACAGTAATGACTTTTTTTGAACTTGAAATTTTGGATTTTTGTGATAATGATGTTGTGCATTGATGTTTTTAAGGTCATTATTAGTGTTTGAAACTAATTGTATGTCTTTTATAGATTGTTCATTTGAAAAGATTTCAGCTGCTACATGGACGATGGGTTAAATCGCACAAGATAGTTCAATTTCCCTTTGAGGACTTTGACCCTACGGATTATCTGGCCCAGGTGCCTCGTGAAACAATCATCAAAGCCAGGGGTCCATCTAATAATGTGCAAATCATCAACCATCTTGATCACAATGATAACTGTGCTGGACAGTCTTCTAATCAAAATGTTCCTAGTCAAAAGAAACTTATTAGTGATAGTTTATTTACAAATGAATCCATAGAAATCTGTAATGGAGAGATTGCCACTGAATCCTCATTTATTTCTGATTTGCCAGATTATCACCAGCACAGGTTAGCTGATGCTGACCCTTTCTCCATGAAATATAGGTTATATGCATTAGCAGTAAGTCCCTCCATTTAATTATATTTTCTCTAAAATGTATTAAACTCTATCATTGCATATTTTATTTACAGTAACTTAAATGCAATCTTTTTGTGATGATTTTCCACAAAAATGTAATTCCCCTGTTATAGCAAAAATTTATAAAGTAATGGCTACTAAATTTTTATTGAAACTGTGTGACCCACCTTTTTAAACAGCTTTTATAGCTCACCACATGTTTTATCCTTATGATTCATACTGTTGAATAATGGTTTTTGTATGAAAAACTAAGCTTCAGACATGTTAGCATTACTTTGTTTTACTCAAATGATGACATCAAAACAACTCATAAACTCAGATATACAAGACAGTCACCATGAAGACATATATTAACAGGAAACAATAAGCAACTGGAATAAGAGTAAGCAATAATGAACATTAGAGTAAACATAAAAGTACATCTCTATTATAAATACTCACATATTTCGTTTCTATTTTAAATGACCACCATTTCCAATACACTCATTAACTTTACTTTTAGAATGCATGACGACTTTTAAAATTTACAATTTCTAACTTCAATTTAAATACTTTCCTACCAAAATTTAGTCATTTAAACTTTACCAATATTCCACACTAAGTTGATTTTCAACTATTCATTCCATAAAACTTATTACTAATTCAAATTTGAATATGTCAGTAGAACATTTTCAAAAGATTTCATTATTCAAAAATGCAGTTAAACTAACCTTCAAAATCTTACAAGAACATTTTCAGTAAAAAAAAAAGGAACTCCTGGTGAGCATACAATCATAGTGTTCATCCATAATTTTATTGCTACAGACAATAATTCATTTAAAAACTTCATAACCAATTTAATAAAAATTGGAATTTAATTTCAATAACAATGAAAATATAAAAATTGTGCATACCCAATCATTTTACATTGACTTTGAATAGTTAATAATTACTGTTGTTTTTAAAAAACAATGACATCTGGCAAGACAATGGACAGGCATTTGGTGGTTAAGTCCAAGGAAAGTTCAATCTTTACATGAGAAAGGGAGAATTCCTCTTTTAATATTCTTCTAGGGAAAACAACCAAACAAGAGTTTACTTCATAGGCACAGTAAAGTTCTGCCAATACTTTGATGCACTCAGCATAGCAAAGAGCCTGCGAAACAGACATCTTCGAGGCTGTTCCACCTCACTTCCAAAGCAAATTCTACAGCGTGTTTGATTCCCGTCTTCCTATCCATCTCCAGCAAACAATCCTAACTGGTTATTGCCAGTTGCATGCCTTTCTAAACAGGTGCAATGGATCACTGTATGTTTTATCCAAAATCGTTAAAATACAGAATGTGAGGCCTGTTTCATGCTGTCGAATAATGGTATGCAACTTAAAGCACTTACGTTAACTTTGTTACCCTCAAATGATGACACACAGAGCATCATCAAAACAATTCGTAAACTCAGGTTTACAAGAAAATCACAGTAAAGACATGCGAACGTTATTTAAGCATAAAAGTACAAGTGACAGCTCTATTTAAACTCTCACCTAATTTTGATAATGTCAGGGGTAGGCGTGAGTCACTTTTCTCCCTTAATGTCACTATTTTAAAAAATAGTAACTTTTATTCACTGTTTTTAAGGCTTAGTCACTTATCTCACTTTTTAAAAAAAAAATTAATTTCACATTTCCCTAAGCCCATTATATTACAATCCTCTTGCTCTAGTAAAGAAGAACTCACCCAAATGGGTGGGGCAGAGAGGAGGATTGAATATGTGAAGAAAAATAAACAATTTCCACTTTCAAATGAATTCCTCTTGAAATGTAAGAGAGCCATTCACTGTATCGAGGAATGATTTCAGTCAGCATCTATCTTAACTTTCGTTTTCTTATCTGCTGTGGAACTGCAGAACATGAAATTTTGTGTATTTCTCCTTGAACTCCTTTTTCTGTAGGGTTCATACATACCTTAAATGTGATTAATAGAGCATAATTTTGTATCATAGAAATAAAGCACCCTTATAAGTTCTTACTTTTCTTCGAAGGAGAAAAACTTAAATAAAATGTTTACTTTTATTTTTTATTATTATTTTTACCTTTTTCAAAAATTTGATTCTTTTTTAATAAGATGTTATTATGTCTTGCGAATTTGAGTAATCTCTTTTTGACACATAATTTCACACCGTTGGATTTTTTAAATTATATTTGATGTCAGTAGTTGTTAAGAATTTTTTCTGTCCTTTCTATGTGGTTTTTCAAATTGTGCTGTTTTTATACAATGTTATGGCACACAAATTTTAAATTGGAGAATTTCAAATTGATTCATCCTAAATTTACTTGGTTTTATAATAATTTTATCTGTCAAATGATGGACAAAGTTCCGCTAATTTTTTTTCACATGGTTTTTTAAATCTACATACTTTAATTAATACGATGTTTATGTTACGTGTATTTCAGTAACAACTATTTGTTAATCATTTATTCGAAAATCGTTCTTGGTCGCATATGATTTCATCGTGATTTCTTATAGTTTTATTTCCAGTGTTTTCCTTAGGCGCTCATGCAAATTTTTGTAATTTTTTCAGACCTTTCCTCTTGGTTTTTTAATGCTATGTTATTACTACTTGCCTTTTTCACCTTAAAGTTATCTTTTTTTACGCTCTCGATTTAGGGCTTATGTTGTAAATGACTGTTGTTTTCCGACAGTTTTTGCAGCATTTAATTTCGTATTAATACGATGTTACATTTTTTAATTAATGCAATGCTGTAATGACTCTCGAATTTCAGGTTTCAGTAACTACAATTTGTTAATGATTTATTCAAAAATCACTTTTAACTCGCTTCGTTCTATCGTGATTCCACTCTTTTTTCTTCCCCAGAGACTTTTTTCAACCATTTTTATTTTTTATACAATGTTATTACATATGCATGTAAGACAATGATCACATGTGTCGCACATATTTCCAATTTTGATACTTTTAATAAGTATTATTTTTATTTCCTTAATCACTTTTTATCACATTCGTTTTGTGCCATTTCGATTGTAAAGGTACTTTTTTTTGTTGCAATAATAGTTATTTAACGTTTTTTCAGTTCTTCACATCGTGTTTAAAAACACATCGTTTTTTTTACTCCTGAAGAGAAGCACATCTCAATAAATGTGTTTAGACTTTACATAATAGCAACAATTTTTTTGTTGTATACTTACACTGCTTCTTTAATATAATATTTTAAGCCATAGTAGCTAAAGTTAAACATGCAACTTTTTTTTAGGTGGTAAAAATTAGAAAATATTTTTTTTATGTTATTTTTTTAAAAAAAAATTTCCATAGCAGTAAATTATTGCAATGAACAGCTACAACAATAAATATTTCTAAACCAATTTTTTTTAAGTAGTATATTTTAAAGGCTATTTGGATGTTGCCTGAATATTAACACTGTTTTTTAAATAATTTATCACTTTTTAAAAAATTGTAGTCACTTTTTTCACTACTTTTTCTACAATGACCTGCGCTGAGCCCTGCAATTTTGATGCCAGCACACCTTGACAAAAACTAAACTATTTTGGCTATAGTACAAAGCGTAAAAAAACTGTCCATTTGCCGACTCTAGCAACTATGAAATTTTTTATACAATATAATTTAATAGTGATTGTTGACTAAAAAACACTTGAGTTTGCCAAAAAATGTTCACGCATTAACATTTTGCACTAGGTTCAAGTAGTACTTCAAAATTAACAGTTTAAAAATACTTTCAGTGTTTTAGCTAAGTAAATAAGGTCTTCAAATAAAAATCTGGAGATTAAATTTATAGAAATATTACATATTGGTATCAAAATATTATCTACTATGTTACTACAGCTTTTTGCATTTCCTATTTATAAATACATCGAGCAGAATAATATTTTATTATGATTATTAAAAAATATTAAATAATTTGTTTAAATAAATGTTAATTTTTGCATAAAAATAATATTGCACATATTTTCCTTTCTGAAGAAACTAGATGAGCTTCAAATTGATATTTTTTATGTAATCAGATTTCATATACAGACCATCACTATTTATGTGTGAATCTATTTCAATAGTCAGGTTGGAAAATTCATTTATTTATGCATTATAATTTTCTCAGTTAGCACATGAACATAATCCACAGGAACAAATTTTTACATTTGCTTGATGAACAGATCTTTTGTGTTTTACCGGACCATCTGATGCACAATGAATAGTGTTCTATGAAATGCTTTTTCATTAATTATCCACCTATGTTTAGGGAGATTTTTACTATAGACCTGAAATTGGATGGATGTGAGAGTTGACTCCTTTAATATACTAAGGCATCCTAATTTGGTGTCGCCCAGATGATGCTTAATAAATTGTATTCCAAGCAATGCTTTGTGCATGTTACTACAAAATTCTCCCACAAAGAAGGAAGTTAAAAAGAATCATTTTTTCAAAATTATCAGCACTTGGTGACCTAATACAGACTGTGAGACTGGTTTATGGATGAATTCTTTAGACTTCCTGTCTACCTTATCTCCTATTTCTTCAGAAATATTGCTATTAAAAAGCAATTCAAAAATTGCTTTGGTTTGACAGACACACTGTACTCATGTCGCAGCCATTGTTTTAACAGCCTATTGCTTGGATCAATCCCACCTAATACATTATTTTTGACATTGTCTCAATCGAATTTTTGGATAATTTGTAGTTCCTCTGAATTGCCTTACACACTAACCTTTCATGTTTAAATATTAATGAAATCATTGTTTAGTTACATGGAACAGCATGGTGGTTTATAACTATAGGACTTATTCTGTAATGTTGAACATAACTTAAACCCTGGGACAGTGTAGTGTACTTTCAAAAGAGAAAAATTCAATAATATTATGTTTTTACACTATATGAAGGAAATTTTTTTCCTCATGGCTAAACTATTCACTAGACACAGACCCTTCAAATTTAAATCTATGCAAATTGAATCATTTTTCTATAATTCATAAAAATTAGGTTTTCATTAGTAAAAGGTATTTCAAAATCTCATTTTTATTTCAGTGTCATTCAGGTATCCTGGGTGGTGGCCATTATGTATGCTATGCATACAATCCTAATAATAAGTGGTATTGTTACAATGACAGCAGCTGCAAGGTATGTTTGACATCTCTCTACTTAAATGAATAAAAATCATCTTTGAAACTATTTCACTTTATATTTATGCATAAAACTTAATATACTGTTGACTTATTCAAAGAGTTGAGGCATTAATATTTAGTGAATATTCAGATTGCCTTTTAAAATATAACTTTATTTTTAACTAAACAAAATGGAGGATAGATAAATAGCAAAAAGAAAGTGAAACTTATTAAAATGTATACATTACATAATTAAACAAAAAAAAAATTTTTTTTTTAATTATGTCTATAGGTGATATTTTAAATTTGGGTTACTAATATTTAACTGTTATTTTCCAAAAGTAAGGCTGCAATGCTGCATATAATCACTTCAATTGTTTAAAGGCACATTAAAAATTACTTACTGGTGCGTGCCTTATTTTTTGACACTGTCAAAGCACTTCTTAAGTTTGGGTACGAGCTTTTGTATTCCATAGTCATAGAACTGTTGTGGAAACCACATTTCAGTTTTGATCTCATCATCATTGTGAAAGTTTTGCCCAGAAAATAATCACTCACTCTGTGGCTAGTCAACAAAAAATAAGAGGTGACTAAAACTTTTCCAATCTTTTTTTTTATAAAAATCTTTTAATGATAAATGTAAATCAATGTAGAAAGACTCTGGGAAATAGAATTTTCATTAAAGTGTTTCCATTCAAAATTTTGATCCTTCTTAATCCATCAATTTTTGATGGAACGATTTGCGTATTTCAAAGTTGTTATGTATGCATTCTATAATTTTTCTCTCCAAGTCAGTGTGTTCAATTAAATTTTGTCACCTATTTTTGTTAACCTTTTATAGCTGCAGATTATTTTTAATATGAATTTTTTTTACAAATATAATTTTACCCAGGCAAAAGAAGAAAAAGGTTTACAAAAAAGGGCTATTAAATGGGAAGGATATATCAGTATTAGGTTTGAGTGCCTTCTGAGTTACAAGAGTCATTGTTTGAATATAGTAGTGTGTCTCATCACCAATAACAATGTGCTTAAGAAACTCATCATCTGCATAATGTGTAAGGAAGTGTGTTTTCTTTTTGTGTATTTTCCATTAACATTTTTGGATCTGGTTCCCTCTGGTACAGTTTCATAAAGAGTTGTTGTAGATGCTTCTGGTATGGTTTTATGCAAATCTTTTAATGTGAAAATTTTTTGTTAGAAAAATTTTCTAACAAAAATTTTTAGTTTTGTTATGAGATTTAGAAAATTTCCTATTCCTATTCATGGTGGGGTAATGGGAGCCTGCAGACTTTAGCTGGGCATATTGGAGTGGTCTTCACGCCTTGGGTGGCCCTACCAGGAGTAAAACTCCCGACGTACGCTTTGCGCTGATTCGTACGCTGTCCCGATTAGCGCTGTTCAGCACTTGGCTAGCTGGCACAGAGTGAGGGACAATACTAGCTTGAACATCCTTTGTAAACTTTTACACCTCTCCAAATATTGTCGAATTCATGTACAATGGATACCCTCACACGTAGATATATCAGGCAATGAAATGGCAGATAGTCTTGCAGTGTTTTCATCATAGAAAAAAAATGGGTGAGAATTTCTCACCCTTTCTCAAAAACATGGTGAGATTTCAGAAAGTTAAGTGAGATTTCTAAAAACTGAAAAAATACAAATAGACTTGGAAAAAAAAATTTTTTTTTTTGTTATAATACATTTTTAACGTCTTCTATTTTTTAAAGCATTGAATATTTTTGCTGCATCATCATAGAAGATTTTGCCTTTACTAGGTATTTGTCCATCTTACATTAGNTGAGATATTTCTTATATCAAATCTTCCATGGTCAACTGAAATGCTGTTTTTCAGTAATTTTATTGTATAAGATGAGGTATTTCCAAATAAAACAGTAGTAAATAAAATACGAAAGAGTTGTTCATAGATCTCGTTTACTTAAAGTTAATTGTACCTCGATGACTATAATCGAAAGGTCCTTCTTTCATTGCAGTGTCGGGTAGGTCTATATGAAGTAAGATAAAAGATTTCAAAGAAAGGCAGTCGGAAAAGAAGTCTCAGTTATAATAAGTAGTTTTGGGATTTATATTGGGTGGATTATGTTTCTTTTTTCTTATAAAATTATCTCTCTTTTTTTTTAAACCCATTTGAGGTTGCACCTTCTAAAGACATAGGGTGCATAGCATTTTGAAAAAGCGCTTATATTTTATTTACGTTTTTTTAAAAGCCTTAAAGGTAATTTTTTTATATTCAGGGTTTGTAAAAAGCAGGGTTCGTCAAGTGGACCCTCTTTGAAAAAACCCACTTGGAACGATAAATGTGTTTTTTCAACAAAAAAAAAAAACTTTCTTAAAACTTAGCGATGCACATTTACTTTTATATAATTTATTGTGCAGCATAAATTTCTCAAATAGAGTTGCATGATTTATATATTAATAAACAGGTTATTATTATTAATTCATATGCTTAAAAAAATTGAAAAGAAACAATTTTTTTTACTAAGTGATGCAATAACAGATTTAAACAGTTTTATTTTCTGGCCTTAAAGAAATAAGGTAAAACCTTTTATTAGAGAACTTTTTAAAAATATTTATCTAAAAATGAAATAATTTTTCTAGGGTTAATTATTTGAAAAAAATGGGACAAGTAACTGATACTCTTTATAATTATACGTAATTTTAATTTCACTTTCTATTAATCTTATTATAAAAACATGGAAGATCATTAAATATTTATTTCAGTTTTTTATTAAAGTCAAAAGTCAGATGAAATTTTTGTTTGTACCGATTATAAATATTTATAGATTCTAATTTTGTAATGGGTAATGTATATATATATGTTTAATAAATATGGTAAATAAATGTGCATGAAAACAAAAAGATTAATAAACTTGTTCCTTTTATATTACTACATTTATATTTTATAATGCTTGAGGTAAAAATTGTGAAATGTTATATACTTAACAATAAAGAAGATTCAAATATGTATTAGTGATAATACATTATTTAAACTTAATATAAAATACATATAGCAAAATTAAAATAACTTTTTAGATTTATTTCTATTTTTAAGCTTATACAACACTTTTTAATAAATAAAAATAGTTACACAGTAAAACTTAAAAGTTTGTGAGCACTAAATGAAAAAACCCAATTTCCCCCTGGTTTTTTCAAATAAAACCCAATTTTCCCAGGGTTTTTTCAATAAAACCCAAGTGGATTGGGTTTTTTTCTTAAATACCCGGGTTTTTTCAAACCTTGGTAAATAAGTGCTTAATTTTCTATCTTTTAAAAAGATATTTTTTCTTTGCCATATCGATTGTCCTTCTAAATTACTAAAAGTGCATGATTTGCACAATTTTCTCTGTAGTATTTATGAGAAACTAGTTAATTTATCATGATTATATAAAGTTTTTTATGATGATTTTTTTAAGTTTATAAATTAAGAACATTGAACGATAGAAAAAAATTAATTTGAGTAGTGCACAGATCCTACTTGCGATTATATTTTTTGAGTGCTTAAAAAGTACTTAAAAGGTGCTTATTTTTGTTGAAAGATCTGGCTACACACCCTGCGATAGCTCATATCTTAAAATTCGGTCATCGAGTCAAATGTATGACCCTTTGCGAATACCTTTGGGGTAATGTTCTCGAGCAGAGAACATTACCCCAAACTAAAAACATTTTTCTGTTATTCGCGTTTCCATTCACAAAATAAGGAATCACGATCATCCACGACAAAAAAAAAATAGGTTGAGAAATACCACCCCTTAAAAGTGATTTGAGATATTACGTAGGAGATGGTTTTTAATTGCATATTTAATTAGATATTTGCTTACGGCATTGTACGGTATATGATTGCGATATTATTCTTGAAGAATAGCATTGTACCTGATCGGAATTAATTCCTCAATTTATCAATATTTTTTTTAATACAATATTAACTTATGTGTGGGTTGTTCATTGTAAAGTAGAGCGTCAGTGATCATAGGTTAAAGTGACCACATTTTTTCATCATGAACATGAAATCTACCTTCAGAAAAAGCATAATTTTGTTGGTTCACAATGTAGATGGAAAGGGTGAATATCCACTGGAGGCCCACCGTTTGCATTACAGAATACACTTCAGATCTGACGGAATACTGAACTGAAGCAGACATGCTGCTCTAACAAGGCTTACTATAAAAATAACGAATGACCTTGAGAGATAGCAGCAGACTCCTTAACTGTTATCTTTACTTTCTGAAAATGCCACATAAATAATTTAGTCAGGTCTAGCTGTAATGATTTTGTATAAACAAATCATAGCTGTGCATGGAAGAAAGAAAAAAAGTAAAGCAGAAAATTTTTGAATTTCTATAGTTAGCTAATTTTTTATTACCAATCTTAAACTTGCATTGCCACCTGATTCGTGTGTTACATCTACCCATTACTAATAAAAAAAAACTATATTTATAGTGTCAAAAGACAAAAAAATGCTTGATAAATATCTCAATAGTTACCTAATACTGTAAAATCTCACTTTTCCCAACTGGACCATTGCCTGTACGAATTATCGGATCCCTATTCATATTCAAGGTATTCTTATCTCATAATTGATTGTTTAGTTGTGTCATAATTGAATGCATACCTGCATAAGTTTTGTACTAGAAATTCTGTTTTTATAGCAAAAAGGACTTCCATTCTCTGTATGCTTATCACAAATTGAAGTTTTATTCACTTGATGATCAAATTATATGTAATATCTTTTGAACCATTTTATGCATACCAATGATTTTTGAATTGCAAATTTAAATTATACCATAGTATTCTGCAAATCTGTTATGTTTTCTATCAAACTATTATTCTTATTTTAAATTGTGAATCGCTACTAGCCTAAGGTTTTCAAATTGTGAACTTGAAGACTGTTATTCTCTGTAAAATTATATGTATTCAAATTATCAAAGGGTCACGCATTTAAATGGTCTTCACTTTAAATGAAATCGATATTTATTTTACTGACTCTATTCTTTTTTTAAAAAGTAAAATCAATTTTCATTTGCTGGGTTCTATTCTTTTTCAGAAACCATAGTTTTCTAGTTGTGTAATTTCATGTTAAAAGATGCGTAACTGGATGATTTTGCATAATTTTATTTGCATCTGTTATAAAAAATATTTCTAAAAATTGTATTTTGAAACCTTACAATTGTTTTTTGTTTTAGGAAGTGCAACGTGATCAAATAGACACAGACTCTGCCTACATGTTATTTTATGAAAGAGAGGGTATTGACTACGAGCAATATATGCCAGATGTTAAAGGTAAAGTGCCAGATACTAGTGACATAGACGCTGAATTTGAAACAGATTTTCGAAAAATGTGTAGTCTTTCATAAATTGAGCTTTTTTTTCCTCCCCAAGATGACATTTCTTATATCTCTACAAGACACGTAAGCTCTCACATCAGACTGAAAAATATCCAAAGCAATTTTTGTGTTTTATTTAAGTCGCCAACTGGAGGCAAGAATCAGCCGGCAATTACCTAGTCCTGAGAAATGTGCATCATCACATTATGCCAAGTAATTCTATTTCAATGTTGGTTTCTGTATAAATTGTTTTTTTTTTTCTTCTAACGTTGTGATGCATCTTTGCTGATATGTCTTGTTAAATGAATAATTTTGCTATTCTGTGTGATAGTAGTAAGGGATATTCATCATGAAGATGCTATTCATTTCTTTTGTCATTCCATATGTTTTTCTTTCATTTCATTGTCTCATTTGAAAACATATTTATGAAATATTTGAAAAAAAGAATGACCGTAGTATGTTAGAAATGAAACTACATAATTTATACAACTGTTTTAAATAAATGAGGCAAAACATTTTTGCAAAGATTAAATTAAAGGTAATTATTGATTAATAATTGAAATCTAGATTTGATTTTCATTTTAATAAAGACACAAATTTTATTACAATGAAATAGAAAACTGTGTAATTTATTGATTTTGTTACCAAATAAAATCTATCTATGGCACTATTTAAAGTATAATGGTTGATATAAATTCTTTTTTTTTCTCTCTTTAATTGTTAAGATTTTAACTCTTGAATTATTTCATGTTATTATTTTATACTAAAATTTTTTTTCTTCATTATTTATTGATAAGAGACTGAATGGTAGAAATATTATTACAAGTTTTATTCCTACATTATTTTTTCTTGAACATTAAGGAGATCAATTGCAGAAAGCCTTTTTAATTTGTTGACATTATTTTTTTTTATGTTTGTCATAATAGGAATAAAAAATGTTTTCTATAAATAAGTCTGTATAGTTTAACTTTTTTGTATTATAGAGATTACTTTCAAACCTTATGTCTTATGATTGCTATTTTAGACTTACTTCATATTTATTACTTACTGAATGCTAGTTATTTTTGATTAATCACTTTTTTTAATAAATGTTATTTAAGAGTTAATTTTCTAACATACTTAGGTTGTTGAAAAAAGGAAAAAAGAAAGAAACTTTACATTTCATACCTCTGTATCATATGTTATTTAAATTCTTTTTTGTTACTGATTTAAAGAGCTGCTAGTCAGATAAAAGTTATTAATAATGAAATATCCCTTTATATTGTTTTTACTACATTTTCCTTGAAGTCTGCTTGAAACCACTTCAAAAATTGAACTAGTCTTATGTATGTTTCATTCAGTTCCCAATATTTTATGATGTTCCAATATTAGCTAAATATTTTAAAGGATAAATTTAATAAAACTTGTCATTCTTCATCTTGTACATTGTATGATAACATACATAATTTTATTTACAAAATAATTTATTTGCAGTCTTTATATATATTTTTTTTCGTTATTTGTCTTTATAAACAATTTTGAATAATGTTTCTTAAAATACAAGCATTAAATATGTTGTTTTTTGTAAATTATTACCAAATTTTGAAATGTGTAATGTAAATTGTATAGTTCAATGATAAAGTTTTAGTGCTAAATTTTTAAGCATAGTTGTTTTAAAGGGGGGGGGAAATGAATTTATTAAGTATTCTAAAATTTTGGATAAAAAATAGTTTGTTAAAATAGGGGGATTGTCTATTGCGATGGACAACAAAAGGATTAGGTGGATCTAAGTTAGAGAAAATTTTCTCTTTTATTTCAATATTTTATTTTTCATATTTAATTCGATGTTTTATTCGTTTTTTTTTTAAATATATATTTGGTCAATTTCATCTTAAATGAAAAACAATGTACGAATAACAAAATGCGTATAGATTATACCAACTAAATATTATAATAGTTTTCTATTCTTGGTGTGATTGATTAAATGAAAAATACTGAATCTTTATGTTGTAAAGTTATTCATCATAATGTTATTTTCATAATTAACAAGCTTAGTTAATTCTCCTTTAAAATATGTACTTTTTTTATCACATACTGAAAGTATAAAAAAAACATTGCAACTGACTCCTACTCATATATATAAAAAATAAATGCATTAAACATCATAAAAAGAAAATTTGCATCGGTTTTAAAAAAAACTATTTTGGAAAGGTATGATTAAATGCTACAATTTCTTTGAAATAATCTCAACATAAAAATATTTATATTTGGTTGGAAGGTTTGAAATGATGTATATTTCATGGTGCACTGAAACTTTTTGTGTTGAATCTTCATTTGGTTTTTAAGCGATTTTGATGAGTGAGTTATTGATTCCAATATAAGTATTGGTGCAAATTACTGTCTGTTTACAAACATTCTACATTTTTCTAGTAAAAGTGCCCTTATATTATTGTGCTATTCTCAGGTTAGCCACGAGTTTTTCTTTTGTATATAGCAATGTAAACACTGTGATTCTACTGAAATTCAATGTATCCTTTAGATAAGACAACTTTTATGAAATGACAGATATTGTTTCAAAAATTTTTGACTATTCGTCTAAAATAGTTTCCCTAGATTTCCCATTGCTTTATTCTTTTTTAGTTTTATCAAATCATTTATGTTGATAAATATTTTTCCTTCTCTTTTGAGAAAATCTTTCATAAATAAAATGTAATTAAGATATAATATTTGTTTTTTAAAAGTTTGAGACATGTATTCAGTTGTTGTACATTGAAAATTCAACCACTAAATTTTTTTTATACAAAAATTTATTCATCAACTCTTATTATTTAAATATAGTTGTTTTAGCTAAAATTTGTTTCTTGAGCATAAAACAAAATATATTTTATCCCTGAAAACTAAGAATTTTATAAAGATCAAACCAGTTTCTATTTTAACGTTTTAATTTCATAAATGTTTTTGGAGCAATTTTCTTCGTACTTTTAATGCATGTAAATAAGACTAATCTGTATAATAAAGTAAAACTTTTGTTTTTAACTGATAGGCTGTTATTTTAATTTATTTTAAATACCAGTTTAATTTCGACTATTATATATTGTATTGATAGAATTTCAATCAAAAATGTTAAAATACATTTATAATTACTCAAACTTTTAACTATAAATTAGTTTTTAAATTGAGAGAATACTTCTGTATTTCTCAATGTAATCAAATAATTGCCCCTAGCCATTCAAGGCTAATTTAAGATGCCACTTTCCACGCAAAACAGCTTAGACACAATTAGAAAAACTTTCTACTTTAGTTATTCTAATGATCATTAAAATTTATAAGTTCACAGTTATAAGATTTATTTTCTTTATCATTTTTGTGGGCTTTGCAATGCTATGCTCATTTTTATGCTACGCTATACTTTAATCGCATTTGTCTTGTTATGTTTGGAGAAAATAGCAGCTTTAAAGTTCTCGTATTATTAACAAAAATTTGTGATAGCAAAGCTTTCAGTATATTAATTTTTGTCCTAATTTTATCATCTTGAAAAATGAATTTTGCATGTACTATTCTTTAGGGTCAGTTTTTCCTTTGTCCAAATATACTCCATTTGCTAATTGATTTGTGATTATTTTCAATGGTAATTATAGCAAAAAAAAATACTTTTTTTCATTGTCTATTGCTCAATGTGCAATTTTCTTGAAGCTGACACAAAACTTACCTTCAAAAGTAGTTTTGTGAATGCTTTTATACAGTACTCCATTTTTAAGCGTGTAAAATCATTTTGATTTATAATAATTCAAATTCAATTAAAATTCTGGAGAGAAAAACAATTCAACATATCGTTTATTTTCCTCAAAAAGTATAAAATTTGTTGTTTGCCAATTTTCATCTAAAAGTTTTGTAACATTTTTCATTTTTTCCTATCAGATACACATAAACTATTTAAGCATATTGTTTATTCTACCTTTAAAATGTGTGTGCTTTATGAATGAAATTTTAATTTTTCGGTCTTAGGATTTTTATTAGTATTATTCATTTATAACCAATATAATAATTGTAAAATATGAAACCTACCCTAGTTTTCAAGTGATCATTTCTATTTGAGAAAATTTTTATATAAATTTGTTTAATGTTTAGTAATTAAAAACAAAATGTCATAAAAAATATTTCTGAATTTCTAAGTGAGAAAATATTTTATAAAATGATTTTTTAACAAATGTTTCGAGATAAAAGGATAAGACTTGAATTTGCAGCTCTTTAAAATTTATATATTTTGTCCTTTGCCTACCTTTTTGCGTTTTTTTTTAATTTCCTTTTTTAAACATATATTAATATCGCTTAACCGACTTCGCAATACTTTTCAATTCATGTTTTATTACTATTAAAATAAGTTTTCTATGTTACTCTAGTTTTTGTTAATTTTTTAAGTTATGTACGATTGTATAAGTTGCAAAGATGAAATACCTTGCCAAAGCAAATATATATATTATAGAAATATTGTTATGTTTGAATTGTTCTGTTTTGTTCTAGCTTTGTTATAGTTATTTTGAATAATGTCACAAATTAGTGCCATGATCTATTACTTAGGTAATTTTTTTTCTTTCTTTTAGTTATTTCTCACATTAGCTTTTTGATCTGATATTTAACATAAATTGTAACTCTTTTTTTTTTTTCATTGCTAACTTTGCAATGGTTCTATTTTTTTCAATACAAAATTGCAATAGTCACTTAATTTGTATTTATTTTCCTTTAACATTATATATAAAATATTTGTGTGTATGTCTGTATACATGATTGTTGAAAGTGCAGTTTTTCTAAGTGTGGCTTGTAAAAATGGAAATATATATATTAAAACTCATAACGAATGTTGATCATTCCTTATGTACGTGTATATAACAGAAAATGTTATCTTGCCATAGTGATGTGCATTGGTTATCTTTTAAAAATATTATTGATTTTGCAATAAAATTTGCTAGAATGTTGTTTAGAATTGTTTAATTTCACAAACATACTTTATTTTCCTGTTCTCGGTAATCACAGTAGTGCAAGTGGCAAAACATGGGTTTGGAGCAGCAAAACAAAGACTTGGAGCATATTTAATAACAAGAATTTTTAATTTTGCTCATTAATAACATATCTTATTTTTTACATATTTTTGAAGGTCCCTGCATAAACAAATAAAAAAAAATTTTTTGGTATCTTCCAGTGCTGTTAAATATTCTGCTATCCTCGACTTAGCCTCAGATAAGAGGATTTTTCCGCTTTCTATAATCGACGTGTCTTTATTATTTAACCCATCTATAATCGACGTGCCTTTATTATTTAACCATTTTTTTCAGCTGTGACTAAGAGATCCTGAGAAGCAAATCAATTTCAGCATCTTTCAATCAGTGGTGCTCCTTTGAGTCAGAAGAATAACCTTCTGGTTCCCCCATGTAACCTTGTCCATTCATCTAGCAACAAAGATGCCTCTTCAGGTTTTATAATGGATGGGGTTACTGTTGCCAGATATCTTATTGACTTAATAGAAGTGTATTCCATTCTCATTACAGGATGCAAAACTTTAAGATGGTACAGTAACCTGTTTCAGGGCTGATTGTGCTCCCGAAAAGTTCCGGATTTTTCGCTAACAGTGATCCGGAAGTTTCCGGAGATCAAAGTTCCAGACGTTTAAAAAAATCATTGATCACAGAATTTTCCGGTAATCAAATTTTCAAAGGTGGAACTTAAAAACACAGTTTTTTTTATTTGTTTGTAAGGGAGAGCCAGATACTTTATAAGCTTATATTCATAATTAATATTCATTTTTTATCAGTAAATAGTTGTTATAATCATAAACTCAAGAAAGAAAGACATATTTATAAATTTTAATTACTTCTCCAGGTCATCATAGGTATGTGTGAAATTTTAAATATATTTAAGTAAACTAAGAAATATTGAGAAAAAGGAAAAAAACCTTCTTTAAATTTTTTTAATTTAAACTTTTTTTTAACTAAAAAAAAATTTCCGGAATTTTGACTTGGGCTCACATGCTATTCTCAAGAGGCAATGCTTTTAATAACTTTTTTGCGCAGGCCAAGTAAAAAGACCTGGCACCTAAATACATAGATTTTTTTTCTGAAGAAGATAAGGATGTCATCGCCTTTGTGGTATCTAGCTTCAAAAAACGTCCTAACAATGCTTTAACTAGAGACAACATTTCATTAAACAGCAAGTGAATCAATGGTGTGTCAGTTTGGAAAAGACCTAAAAATTTATTTAATATAGCCGAAATATTTCTTTAAAAAAAGAGCTATTGGCAATTTAAATAAATTCAGTATTGAGTGGCGCATACTATTTTTTAAATTAAAAATTACTTTATTTAATTCTGTAAAAGGTAATTCAAAACTCTAATTTAACTATTTTTTAAGGTTATTGAGTGTATTTTTCTTAAAATTTAAATAAATGTTATTTGTAATACAGGGTGGCCACCCACCTGGAGAACCTTGAAAACCTGGAATTATCAGGGAATTTTTTTTATACTGGAAATATCAGGGAAATTTTGCATAAAAACCTGGAAAAATCAGGGAATTTTAAAGAAAAGCTGGAAATTTTTCTTTGATAATTTTTTAATTTTACTATTTTAAATTATTTATTAGTTTTCTTAACTTAAATTATTTCATCCATTATACCCACTTTTTTTAAACGGAAATGTATCGCCAAACAGTTGAAATGTCATCAACTCAATGAACTTTGCTTGCATCAAAATTTGCTCCATTACAGCTCTGTTAAACTAGAATGCCACATAAAATTCTCTCACAGTTGCTAAACGAATGTAGAAACCTTTGACTGCTATGGGACTGTGCAATTTAGAAAAGGTTGTGGTGGAGGTGGAAGAAGGGATTAGGATATTAGCTTTTGTTTTTAAATTCTGTCCTTGGGCTGAATCCATTTATGGCTCAAGTTTGTTCCGATGCTTTGGTGGTAATTTTTTTCTATTTTAACTAAGTGTTTTTGTATTTTTAACTTTATAGAATTCTCCAAAAATTAGTTGGTTTTAATTCAATAATAATAGATTTTATATTGCACTATTTTTCTGAAAGCTTTTGTTCTCCCATTCAAAGAAATCTGTGAATTATTTTTTCTCAGCAAACCAACCAATCACAACATTTTTTTTGCAATCGCTAACAGCAATGCTTGTCGACAAATTGTTACAATTTTTGCATTAAAGATAATTTTTTCAATTTCATTTTAACCGTTTATAACATATTTTAATTTTAAAAAAAAAGGGTTTTTAAGAACTAACTATATATTAATATTTAATTTTACTGTTTTGTTGGTCAATATGTAATTTTTGATTNAAAACTCGGTTAAAGCGAAGAGTTTAAAAACGGAAAGAAAAAGAGAAGGTATATATGTAATATATTTAAGAAATACGAAATGTATACGAGTATACCACATACAATTCATATTATAATTAAAAAGCTTACCTAAAAACATTTAAAAAGCATACTTTACGAGAATTAAATAGTTTTTTACTTAAAAAAAGTCCTTAATCGTTTTTCGTTCTACGTAACTTTGGCGCTTTTCTGTAGTAATGTTTCGCCCTTTTTAGGAATAACAGGAAGGCTGGTGTCGCTTCTTTTTGTTGTTCTATATATTCAATAGTACATTCGATAGCTTTTAGTCCATCTGTATGAGAGATTTTTATATGTTGATTTTAATAATCACTGTCTTCGTCATCTTCGCTAGATTCATTATCATTATCGACGATATTAACGATAATTTCATCAGACCAAGTTGTTGGATTTTGTTTTTCTGAGTGTTTGGAAGATAAAATTCCGATTTTTTTTTCAGCGATTTTTTTAAAAATAAACTGGAACAAAAAAATCCTTGAAATATTTGATAGCTCGGTTAAAGCGGAAACTCGGATAACCGGGGCTCGGATAATCGGGACTCTACTGTATATATAAATATTTAATTTTACTCTTTTGTTGGTCAATATATGATTTTTGATTCCAAATTTTGTATTAAAACATTAAAAAATAAATAAAAAATCTTGCGAAATTGTCAAAATAAATAATTTTTTTCAAGATGATACATTGAAAAAATAACATTTTGAATAAAATATTTTATAATATAGACACTTTTCTTGCACACATCCTACACTTTATAAGAAAAAAGAAACAAAAACCTGGAAATTTTAAGATTTTTATCTGGAAAAATCAGGGAAATTTGAAATCTGATTTGCGTGGCCACCCTGTAATAGTATATTCAACGAAAGATTAATATTGATCATACCGAATTTATGAAAATATGTAAAGAATTAAGCAAATTAAGAAAACTTTTTAATAAATTTATATTACAATTGCAAATTAGTGAATGGCCCCTTATAAATTTTTATTAAAATTTGTTACCTAGTACAGTATTTTTTAATGAAATATTAAAAAAATTAAATAATTTTTAAATGAAGCTTAAAAAAATTTGTCTTAAGTAAATTATTATATTGTCCCTGCACTCATAATATTTAACAAATCTGTGATAATTAAAAAAAATTTTATCAATTGTTTTAAATCAAATCATTAAGAGATCAATTAAAGTATTTTTGAATGACAAATCTAAAAAACATAAGATTTTTTGCTGCATTTAAAACATTGAAAATCTTGCCTTTAAATATTATTAAGTTTTTTCCTAAAACAAATTAAGAGCATTGAAAATTTTGAAAGTAATAATACAATAATAAAATGCAAAAAGTAATAAAGTAAAATAAATGTTTAAAAATAATATGCAATTAGTGGATGGTCTCTCAGATTAAAAATTTGCATTTAAGAAACTCAATTCCTATCTTTATTAAATGAAGCTTTGTGATTCTTGACTGCTCTGAGGATCAACATGAAAATATGTACTTAGTGAATGGTCCTCAAGTTAATTCAAAGATCATGGTACTAATCTATAAATAGAATAGCACAAGAAGGTTATTTGCATGCCATTGACGATGGCACTTCAATAACGATGAAATTAACAAGAGAAATACAATTTTCTTTTGCTATTAAAATTTGGCAATGTTTAGCTAGTCCCTGAAAATTCAAGAGAAGTTTCAGTTCCATTTCAGAGGAAGAAAATGAAGCCTGAAATTGAGAATATCTTGCAAAATGAAGTAGAGTTGCACATGAGAGGGCAAGAATGCCTCCCAGTGAATCCAAAGCAACCCCCCACATGGTAAGTAGCTTGGTTGCCCCAAAATTGTGACTCGGCGATACACAGAGGAAAATATCCTTTTTGGCACAATTTAAGACAACTACTTCAATTTGGAGCACCAATGTAATCAACAAGATTTTGATGTGAAAAATGCTATTATTACCTTAATTCTACCATTTATATGCTCTTTGTATTTTATTGTTAAAATTTAATGACTAAAAAAATCTCCATATTACTTGTCATATTTACTGATGATGACTGAACAGATAAGCTGTTTACATTTTGCAGTCACCAAAGTTCAATACTTTTGCATAGTGTGACTTTTTTTATTGATATTAAAAATGCAAAATTTTACAATTAAATGATAAATTACTTATTAAATATTGCATAAAATATTCATATGTATACATAAATGAAAAATAAAATGGGGTCATGAAACTTATATTAAAACAGGAAAATGCTGTACAGTTGACGATTGGTAATTAGTTAAGAATAAATGTGACACTTTGAAAAAAACGAGAGATGTAAGAACAAATCTTTACACTATATACAATGCAAATTTATTCAGCTATTACAAGCAATAATTGTAATATTTGCACTTTTTTTTCTAAAGGTAAAAAATATACAAATTTGGAATGAACTGTGAGTCTCGTTCCACTAATTTTTAGAAATCAAAGCACTTCTCAATCGCGCTCTGCTTCATCCTTTGCTTTAGAAGAACTAAAATGAAATAAATGTTTCACTAATATGAATGTAATAATATATATATTTTCTATGGTATAAATAGCATAAAGGTCACATTGTATGTGCACATTGAAGAAAGTTGCTGCATGAACCATTTCCAAACTAATAACTAGTAATACAGACTGAACAAAAAATATATATGCAAAACCACAAAATAAATTATTAAAAAGAAAGGTATTATTTGACACAGATACTTTATGTCCAACTAATAAAGGATATATATTACATATGACTGATAAAAGTGCATGAATTCAGAAAGCTAAGAAAGTAATATGCTTGTAGCCAATGTTATTAATGTTTTGCTGAATGTTCAAGATAAAGTGAATAGTGAACTCATGGCTGTCATGGAAAGTAACTTTTGAAATCTCAAGCATCACAGCACTTGAATATTTAAATGAAATAAATGCATAATTTTAAAAATATCTAAACAGTGTGAAACAACCATTGAAAAATGTTCTACCTTGTGGCTGACGGCTGCTTTCCACCCCCTTTTTGTAGCTTACTTATTCTTGCAGCCCTTAAGGATGAAGTAGGCTCATTTTGTACATCATTGTATTGTGTAGTGAGGAAGGCCTAATGACATAAAAATAGATTAAGAAATCAGTCAACTTTAGGTAATTCATGTAATAAACTAAATTTGAATAAAATGTAAGAGCATTTCTTTTTAAAATGCCAATTTTTTTGACATAAGTAAAGAAAATATCAAAATAAGATTTATAATCATGTGCTAAAAAGTTTGAATATTAAGGGTAGTTTTTAATGACACGAAAAAGTTTATGCACAAAACTAAATTTATCAAGCTGTTTTAAGAATTTCTACAGCAGCATTTTATTAATAGTAAGAATGTTGTGTTTAAAATAAGTGGATTCATGAAGAAGCCCCCCCCCCTAAAAATATTTAACCAAGAATGCATTTTTGCCTTTGGTAGTGGAGGCTAAAAGATTTCTTTAGAATCAAATGAACGAAGAGTCTTTCAGTTTTAGCCTTTTAAAACGCTAACGTAACTGAACTAACTATCTAAATGTTAGAGTATTTCAACAAGGTAATGTATTCAAAGTAAAAAAACATAGTTTTTGAGAGTTAATAATTATTTAAAATAAGACTTAAAAATTTTTACATATAGTTTTGAAATTTTAAAAAAAGTTCAGCTTCAATCACTAGTTTATTGATGAAAAAAAATTTTTTTATTGATAAAAGAAAGAAAGATTATTGTTGAATTTATAAACTTAGAAAATAAATTATATGAAATTAATATTTTTTACAAAAAAAAAAAAAAAAAAACTTATAGCTTATCAACAGTTAAAACTTTTTTTAAAAAAAAAAAACTGATAAAAATACAAATATTCTGCCTCAGATCAAATAATAAAATCTTAATAGCCTCTTACTTAGATGGGTGTTTGTTCACAAGAGGCACAATTTCAAAGTCTTCTTGAAAAAAAAAATCCCTGAATTCCCTAAAATTTTACTGATACAGTAGAGAACCAATTATCCGGGATGCTCCCGGACCATCACTATCCCGGAGGTCTGAATTTCCCGGTTTATTGGACTGACCAAAAGGTGTCGTTAATCAATGTTTTATCAAACCCGAATTACAAGGAAAAAGTGGAAGAAAAAAATTATGGTAGAAAAATAACATTTAAAAGAATAAAAAAATGTGCAAGTTTAGACAAGAAAAACAAGTTTAAAAAATACAAAATTCTCATACTTATTTTTTTAAAATAATTACAATTCATAAATTAACTAATATAAACAAAACCATTGATTAAATAACGTAATATTAATCTAAATTAAAACAACACTTGAAAATTATAGAACTGAAAGATAGTTAAAAAAGGCACTAGCATAAATATTAAAACCCGGAACAAGACAAGATCAACGGAATAAAAAAAAATCTAATGATAAAATTTATGAATAGAAAGAATTTATTGAGTGTGAAATTTATCGTGAAAAGAAGATTTTTAATTAAAGCAGATGTGATTCCACATCAAGAATTCAAAAGAAAAAGATTTTATTTTTATTAAGCGATGTCAAATATATAAATATATTTTTCTCTTTCATCTTCTGTTCACTGATATGCATGTTCAATACATTTTCCTCACCCCCTTGTAAATCAAAGAGAAAACAAAATCAGCATGCCACTCCTTTGAGTTTGATTGACAGCTTAAAGGAGAAAATAAACATTTGTCCCTTCCCTGCCTCCTCTTGATCTAAAGATCTTCAAGGTCACGAAAGAAATGATTCTCTGGGTAAACGGGGAAAAAAGTTCTCCCCTTTCTCACATTTTCCTCTACTTAACTTCAAAGATGAGTCCAATTTCAGCTTTTTTTCATAATCGTTCTAGTTTAAAATGGCGGGAAAACCAAGCAAAATTTTTTCTGGTTTTCCGGTTATCTGGATACCGGATAAATAATTCTCTACTGTATCATGCTTACTCCAGCATTTATTGAGTTGGAATAAATGGCTTATGAATAAATAACGCTGGGCAAAATGGTATAACAAAAATTTTATTTTAGAAACATAAGCCGGAATAAGTATAACTTTTACAGATTAGTATAAAGTTTCATCAAAAATTGTCAATTCTATGAAAATTATAATTAGTTGGAAATATTAAAAAGAGGATACCTTTATTTGGTCTATAACATCTGACTGCATTTCTACAGCCATCTTATAAACATCGTGATCAGAACTATTGTACATAATAGCATTTTGGAACATCAGAAGCATATCACGGTGGAATTCATCTGTTGTTCGTATCGTACCATTATCAATGTTCTTCTTAATCAAAGACAAGTCCATAGGTCTAAACATTTCAAAAAATATTATTCAGTTTTAATATCCCCCCACATAGTTATAAAAAAACTCACCTAATATGGAATGGAATTAATGGGCAAAACTTTAAGACGATGCATTATAAGGGTTGAAAATTGTATTTTAAAAAAAGTCACCTAATTGTAGTATAAAATTACTATTTCAATAATCACAAGAAAACATAGTAACAGTTTAACTATGCATGATTCCATAATTTGGAGACACTTCCAATTACGCAAATCTTTATGAAGTACTCTATTTCCCCTCAAAGTTTGGCCCATGAATTCATACACAAGGTATCTGCTACATTTTAGATTTTTAAATTCATGATTTTCCATGATTAATTCCAAGAATTTTTCATGACTTAACGAAGTAGACAAAAACGCAACAATAAATTTAAAAAAGCATTATAATAACAATAATTGAAATGATAGGTATAACCAAAACTGTTATACTCTGTATCTTCATATTTATAGATTTTAAAATTAAAAAACAGTTAAGAAAGAGTTAACACAATAAAATAGCTGAAAAAAATATGAAAGCAAATAATTTTTTTCCCTTTTTTTTTTTTGCAGAATTCTTTTCTTGTTCATCAGAAAGGAAAGAAATATTCCTGATTTTTCTGTTCTCATTTTCCGAATAAAAGAAACTCACCTATGACTGGTTTGCTTAAACTAGAATTTTAAGTTGATAAAATTTAAAAAAAATAATAAAAATTGTTAAATCACAGAAGTTTAAAAGATAATTCGCTCTAGAAATTATGTTTTTTCTTTCACTTTTTGAAAGAACACCATAATTTTTAAAGAACATGATAAAATCATTTTATATTCTAATAAAATATGAGGGAGTGGTGATTTTTGTTAGGAATTCAGATATATTGGAATAGGATGAAATTGGGGGGGGGGGATTTCATTTTAAAAATTAGATTTTTCGGAGGCCTAAATACATGACTTTCTATGATTTTTTTAAAAAAATGGTAAAAATCATGACATTTCATGACAAATTTTGTTCAATACTGAAAATTATGACTTTCCAGGTGCGCGGATATCCTGCATACATATCAAATCAAATTTTATTGTAGAAAACACAAAGTAAAAAATATACCTGTAAACAATACTTGAATATCCAGGAGCAACATCATTTGTTACTTTTTGAAGAAAAACATTTGCATACCTAGATGAAAAAAATTTCTCTTAAACACATATGAATAGTAGAGATTATTAACTTGGATACAGCGGCACTTTAATTAAGTTTGAATATTCATTCTCTTAATATCAGATGCTAATAAAATAAAGAAAAATAGAATATATAAAATCTCAAATAATGCACAAAGCTGGAAAACTTGACTCTATAAAAGGACATAGTTTCAGAATAGAAACTGTCATTTTTAAATCCTTGTATTTTTGAGTGTCTGAATGTGTTTAAAGAAATAGGTTTAAGAAGACAATGATATAAAAAAAGATAATGGTGATGAAATAAGTTTTTAAATTATAATACAGTGTAAAGTCGCGTATCCGGAATCGGTGGGACTTCCAGAAGTCCGTATAATAGATTTTTCCGTATAATAGACCCCCAAGGTAAACAAAGCTTAAAATGATTTAATAAACGATCTAAATCTAAGAAACAAAAAATAAATAATCATTATTTTTAAAGGGAATAATGTTCTAATATTAGAATATCTAATCAATAAAATATGAAATATTAAAAAAAAAAATATTGCTTAAAATATGGAAAACAAAAAAAATATTGACATATGAAAATAATAATCCGCCATTTTTAACTAGAATGATTCAAGCAAGAAAGGGAAATTCCCGTCATTCATTAAGGTGGGTAGGTGGAGGAGAAAAATTCATTTCCTCCTTATTTGTGAAAGAAAATAAGTGTAAAGAGGAGATCATTTAAGTTGAGGGTGGGGAAGTAACAAATTATTGTTTTCTCTCCAATCATTGGCTATCAATCAAGCATAAAGGCGGGGCACGCTGATCGGGTTCTCTTTATTTTTTCTTCTATGACTGAAAGAATCTGCTAAAGAAAGAATGTTACCCCCTTTTTCCCCCCGCCTCCTAAATATTACATGGTATGGGGAAGAACGAATGTTTTGTTTCTCAAGGACGTATATCCTTTTAGACCTATTCAAATTTTCCATTTTGACTCCCCCTCCACCTTAACGCTTGCCCTGTTTACCCTTTTCCACAGTATTTCTTCTTTCAATAAAAAGGTTCCAGGAAATGCCTCTTTAACTAGACACCTGCATGGGAAAGGAGGGGGGGGGAGGGGACTCAGTTGCGGTCTTTTGAAAACAAATTTCCCTCTTTTTCCTACATTCCAAGGGAGGAGCGTCACTCAGTGATCTTGGTAGATCTTCACTTCCCCTTTCTGGTGACTTATGGGTTCGATGCATAAATCAGAGGTTCAGTGCAATCTAGAAAAAGAGAAAATGTGTCAAAAGATCTTTTATTTTTTTAAGGAAAGGGGAAGATGGAGAGATGTTTGTTTATTTCGATTGTTAAAAAGTGTCCCGGAAATCGACCCTTCCGGGAAAGGGACGTCCGGATATGGGACATTACACTGTAGTTATTTTTCATAAAGAATGAAATTAACACTATAGAACATGAAATAAACATTATGCAAAATTTTAAATATGTTATACATTATGTTAAAAATATAAAACATAATTTATTTTGGAAGCAATATAAATACCAAGAATAAGGATGAAAAACATTTTTAAAAAAAAACTTATTACTAAATTATACAACCCAATATTATGGATAAAAAATTTATGATGTCAGATATTAGATATTTAATAATGTAAAAAAATTAAATAATATATAATAAAATTTTTAAAAAAAACTTAAATATATAAATTATTTTAGCACATTAGTAGCTACACAGTACGTTGATAGATAGGATCTCACTTGTCCGAAGTGCAAACTTCTTGGACTCCTTTGGATGGCTCGTATCAGAATTCCTAAAGAAGCTTGGGAGATACTTCGACAGATGTTACGCGAGCTGTGCAATTTGCAATCTTATTTTCTTAAAATCGCAGAATGTATTTCATTACATGTTTTAAGTAGCTAAGCTAAGTTCATAGTTTGAAATATATGTTAAATAAAATAATTTACCTTTGTTATATAGTAGTATGTTAAATAAATTAGTTTATCTTTGTTCCTGTCTGGTACCTTTTAAATACCATCTGAAGCTATCTTTTGGAGTCCATGGATAAATATAACCAGAGAACCGAGCCTAGCTTTCTACTACAACAAATTGGTCTTAAGATGGTTGTTGTAGGTCATTTACGTCACACTAGAGCTGCACAATGGGCTATTGGATGTCAGGGAAACATCCCTGAGGATGATCCAAAGACATGCCATCACAATTTTGATCCTCTGCAGGGGGGATGGCACCCCCGATTTGATAGACTGACAACCTGCAAGTGAAGTCTAGCACTTTACGGTAGCGCAGTTTTAACGAGGACCCATACTGCACACCCAGGGTCCCTACACAGACTAATCCAAGTGGTCACCCACCAGCACACTGACCGCAGCCAGTGATGCTTAACTTCGGTGGTCTGCTGGGAACTGTGTCTTAACGATCAGTCCAGAAGCCCTAAGATGAAAATTTAGTATTTGGAACAAATGCAGTTGCTGAATAGAATGTTTAAAGAAACACGTTTTTTCAATTGTTTCTTTCATTCTGAGGAATTTTGGTTAGGAATTGAAAGTTTATCTTTGTTCTTCTGAAATACCTTCTTCATTTAGAGTCAGTGCAAAGGTGGACTTAGGAAAAATATAGCTTGTAACCAGAGGAGCATGCCCAAGCCTACTATACGTTTCTCAATTTTTACATAGTCTTTTACTTATCATATAAAACAATTTTTCTAACACTTGAAAGTTTTGATGATTTTTTTATTTAATTTAAAATAATTACTATTGTTAAAAAAAGGCAGCCTTACTCCATATTCTATGTAAAAAGAAATAGTTTCTTGATTATTAGACTAAAAACATTGGACTAAAGTGTACAAATCAGTTAATTAGTGTTCAGTGGTTTAATTTTATACATCTAAACTATATTTATGAAAAAATAGAAATAAAAATGTATAAGTTTGAAAATATGTGAAGCAATTACTTATGACAAGAAGCTTCTCTTAATACTATATGGATTGCTTTTTTCCAAGCTTTATATTCAGCAGATTCTCTTTCTTTCCTAAAGAAAGAAACTTACGTAAAATAAAAAGTCATAAAAGAAATAACAAATGAAAAAAATAAAGGTCTAACATTATATGTATAACAATATGAAATTTTTTGGTTTTGAATATTCACCTCAAAGCAGATATACAATACTTGATACAAATTATATACTTAATGATTTTTTTTTAAATATATACTCTTCATTGAATTTATATAATACATTGGATACTTCATATAGAATATATTTTTGACTTAATTCAATGAATCGGTATTAAAAATTTTACTACCAAAAGCCAGTTCCGTTTATATAGATGATAACCTGAAATATACCAACATCGCCCAAAATTTTTATTTTGCTTAAGTTTTATTTTTGGTTTCTAACTTTGGTCTTTTGGTTTCTAAATTTCTTTATAACGTCTCTTCTTAATCTGAAATTCAATTTATTCCCTTTTTTTTTTATAAATCTTCAATAATTTTATCATGTTAAATTTACATAATTTTGAATTTTATCATGCTAAATTTCAAATTGTAAGATGTCCCCCATTGAAAAGATTAATTCAAACTGACGTTATTGTGTGTATTTTTAATGTTTTTGATAATTGCTGCTAAAAACAGCATGTTTGTATTCAATTTGTGCCAGAAAAATAAAGTGTGCGCTTTAAGTATGTTCATATGCTGCCTATTTCACTTTTCAACACTTTTGGTGAGTACAATTTGTTTATTGCCTAATCAGTTTCATTTTTTAGAATCAGCGAATTTAACATTTGGGTATTTGTTCGTCATTCAGTTTTCTCTAGGCTATTTATATCATTACATTTTATGTTATGAGTTGTTCATGCAATTTGCTCTCAGTCAACCTCACTCGATTTTACTAAACATTTGTTTATAATTGTAAAACTGGATTGACAAACCAGCAATTTTACTAATGACTATCAATTAAACTTCATGTAATTTCTGTCATCAACTATTTTCGGGCTTATTAATGAGTTATTCATAGTAACTTTTGATTTCATTTGTCTGCTTGTGAGTGACACAATCACGGATTTCCATAGTTATATTGCATGATGCAATTGTTTAAATATTTATTGGCAATATTCTTTAGCGTTATTCAAAACAATGATGTATGCATACACTAAATAATATTTGAGTATTTTTTTTTGTTTTCACCCTATCAAAAAATTATTTATGTAATAATTTTGCCACACCTAATTCTTCAATCTAATTCTTATCTGTCATCAATATAATTTTTAATTCTAATAAACCAGAACTGTTAAATAAATGTTTTAAAATGAACATCAAAACAAAGCAAAAAATTTTAGGCATGATACAATAACAAAACAGAAATTTACATAAATAGTTTTGCATTAATAGCAACATAGTATAATTTAAATTATAAATTTGTGTGAAAACAATGTTTTTGAACCAAATAAAGATGACTAACATTAAGATGTTTTGAACAATGAGATACGATATGAAATATGTAAAATGATATTTGCAACTTACAACATACAGCTCTATATCGAAGGGTAGAAACCCCAAAGAAGGCATCATAGACATTAGAAGATTAATTGGATATGCATCTCAAAAAAGGCATTTTTGTGTAGATATGATACTACAGTGCAGGAAAGAAAAAATACAAACCTTTCTGATTAATTTTGATCTGATTTTCATGTTCTAAGATTCAATCTAATGGCTCAAGCAGATGACCTCAAATATGCTAATTAATAAGTGCAGATGATATGTTATGAAATCAGACACAAAACCGAACTTTATCTGAATAAACATTAACATACGATTTTTACGACGGATTCAAATTTCTGACCCCCGGAATATAGAGGGTAGCCCCAATCTGGGAAATAGGGTCCCAGTAGTTTGGTCAGTAGAGCGCTCCTAAGTTTGAACCCTTTAATACTAATTTTACTTTTTGTGTATTTTGCTGTATCTCAAAAACTTTTTAACCAAATTGAAATTTTTTTACTCACAATTATAAAATTACATACATTATAAAATTACATACATTATATTCATTTATTCAAACATAATTCCATGCAAAAAATAGCTTTCAGTAAATATTTATTATTTTTCATTATTTTATTTAAGAATGATCGAAAAAAGTTTGAATTATAAGATATACAATTTTTTGCATCATTTTAACGAATGTATTTTTATATCCCAAAATACAAAATTTGCGCAAAATCAGTCAAATGGTACCTGAGAAATTTAAGTATCTGACTTTTTGAAATTCAATTACTCAGGAACAATGCAACCAATTTCACTCAAGTTTTGTATTTTGCCATATAAAATTACAATTTTCAAAATGATAAAAAATTGAATACCTTACAATTTAAAAAATTTTCGACCATTTGTAAATAAAATAACAATAAATATTTACTTAATGCTATTTTTTGCATGGAATTATCCTTGGATAAACGAACTTTATAATTTTAGAAAGTGTTTTCTGTATCTTAACTGAAAATGTACAGACAGTGTTATCATTAATACATCAAGTGTTTCTTAAAATTTAAGTGAGTAAAAATGTTTCAATTCGCTTAAAAAGTTCTTGAGACATAACGAAATACGCAAAAATTAACATTAAGCTGTACAAACTTTGAAAGGGCTCTCCTGGCCAAACTACTAGTACCATATTTCCTAGATTGCAGCTATCTCTCCCCCCCCCCCCCNNTTTCCCCCCCCCCCCCCGAGGATAAGAAACCTGAATCAGTGGAAAAAATTGTATGTTTATTCAGAGAAAGTACATTTTTGCGTCTGATTTAACTTAAAATATTGTTTGCACTTATTAATTAGCATATTTGAAGTCATCCCCCTGCGAGCCATTAAGATTAAGTCCTAGAATGTGAAAATCTGATTGTTAGATCAAAAGTTATTCAGGGTGTTTTTGTTTTTTTTAGCGCACTGTACAAAAAATTGCACACCACGCTGGTTAGTCCCAGAATAGTGCCCTTTTTTTAGCAAATTGAGCCTCAATCCAGAAAGTTCCTCATTATTCCTTCCAGGTAAAAATAACAGTAAAAGAAACTACAATCAACACAACTTATAACGATAAGAATTTCTTCTTACCTTTTTGTTCTTGGCAGATGATCAGATGTACTTTTATTTGTACTAACAGAATGACTGTCCCAATTATCTGATTCATATTCTGATTCTTCAGAGCTAAAAGTATTCAGAACTAATTATTAGAAAAATGTAAATAAAGGAATATGAGATAAATTTAGAAAAATGAGCACAAACTGACAAAAACAATCCTGTAATTTAAAAAAAAAAAAATTAGTGTAACATTTTTGAACATAATAATTTTAATGATTATTTCAAAACAATTTTTTAAGAATAGCTTTTCACAACATAAGCAATTAAAAAAAATATTGTTTCAAACAATTATGGGAAGAGGGAATTACAAAAAAAAATATCTCAAAGTTTAGTAGAACACAATAGGCTTCACAAGCCAGGAAAACTTTTTATTATAGCATAAATGGCAAATTATTTACTTCACATTTTACTCTCCCTGTAAGCAATATTTAAAAAAGGAAAAACTTCATTTAAAGGAATACCTTTGTGATATATGTTCCGAGCTTTTCGGACTGACGCCATGGAACCAATCTTGTTTTCCAAATTGTGAAGTATCTTTTTCATCCTTAACTTCACTTGCTTGAAGGGGGGAGAAGTCAGTCGATCCTTGCAATGATCCTTCCATATCGTCCACTTGCTCAGAATCAATTGCAACTGATGAAGATAATCGACTATCTGTAATTTCAACTTTACACTCGGGCAAATTCTTAAGATCCTTTAAAATTCAAAATAAAAAATACATTAATATCTATTAACATTGCTAGTATTAAAAGTTACGTCTTTAAACTTGCTTAGAAAATAAGAATCTGGTTTTCTATTATCACTTAAATTAATATGAATGGCTTGAATTATCTTATTATAAGAAATTTGACGTCTGATAATTGATACTTTCTTCAGAAAATCTTTCTTTAGAAAGTTCCTAACTTGTAAAGTGCATACCCTCCAACTTTGCCCACCTAGCCATCAGTAGCACTCACGCAACACACATTTACGGCATCCCGCAATATTTGCTATGCTCATATTGATACTTAATTATATTCACTTATAATTTCAAAAAGCAGTTGATAAATATAAGAAAATAGATTTTGAAACAAGCGTAAAACGTTATTTCACATTGAGAAATTTTTTAAAAAATTAAAATGCCATTGACTTTTAAAAAATCATGTTATTTAGATAGTACAATTTTAATTCACATACAGGAAGGTACACTTTTCTAAGGATATAAAATTATTAAATTGCAAATGAAAGTTTATTGTACATTTATACAAATTTCAAAGAAAAATAATATAACATCTCAGTAAAATGCAAAAAGTGAACTCTCCACAACTTTTTCTCTACATTCATTCAATTGTTACCAAATTTTTTTCACTTATTTTATTTAGGAAGGTCAGATTCTAAGATGTTTCCTATTAAATACTTTTTACACCAAATTTTAAAACAATTAAATCAAGAAAACAATTGAATACCAATTTATTGAAAGAAAAATGGAATATATAAATGAGTTTCTTCCTAATAAAACTTTCAGAATTAGAAAACAATATTTAAAAACTTATATCATCTAAAGCTTACACATTAAACTTTGTTCTTTAAGAGGAATGAATTTGTATAGACATTAACCAATAGCTAAATTGTTTCAAATCTTTGAATTATCTATTATAATTAAGGAGTAAAAGCATTAATTAAGAAATCTAATCTATAAGCAAATCTGATTTTAATTAAAAATACCCTTAATTACAGAAACACAGTATCTAAACCTCTCTATGCTTTTTCAGTGATGAATAACAAGCATTTTTTGCTCTTTTTAACTCATCCTCAGTAAATTGTGCATTGTAACAAACTCCCATGCTTAATTTAGTGATTAGAATTGATTCTAATGTTTTGGTACTCAGACTTGAGCGATTATCAGTTTGATTTTTACGAATCATGCTAAAAATTCTCTCAGATCCAGCATTACTATGGGGAATTGACAGAATTGAAAGCATTATTTTTGACAAAGCCACATATCTCTTTATTCCATTGTTATCCTTTAACTGGCTAATTTTATGCCATGCCTCATCTACTCTGGTATGATTTAAAATTTCAGAAGGAAAATTGTCTGCCTGATAAAAGGCAAATTCTAACTCAAGTTGATCAATGTCAATACCACAATTAAACAAATCATAAAAATACTTAAGAGATGCAAAATTTGCATTCTGCCTATTCAAAATGTTTGCCACAGTAGCATGCTTAAGAAAATCATCCTCTAAAGGAAACTTTTTGAGAATATATTCACATGCAGTGACAAAAAACTTTCGCACTGCCAAAAAGAACTCAGTTGTTTCTTCTGGCGTCAGATCACTCAAAATGGATCTAGCACTTGATCCTATTATAAGAGACTCATCAGGTTTTTGATACTTAGGTTTCTGAAATTTCGCTTGTAACAGAGAAGACTTGGATTTGCTTATGGTAGAAGGCGAAACAAATCGTACAAGAAGCTCATAATATAAGCTCATTAAATCATCATACAAAGTATGGATAGAAGGTTGCTCTTTTTGCAGGGCAACATTTACCTTGGTGAATACAGGCAATATCGATGTAACAAAAACACAATATATCTTTGTTTTGTTTGATTTAAGTAACTCTTTTATTTTTTCTGAGGTAGCATTCTCTTTAACATCAGATTGTGAAAAAAAAATTAGCAATGGGTCCCACTGCTCAACTAGTCTCTTTAGAGAATTTTCTAAACTTAACCACCGAGTTGAAACATGTTTTAAAATCTTGTGAAGTTTCACATCACATTCTATCTGACAGTTTTTAAATTCATACTTTCTTTTACTACTCTTTTCAAGGTAGTAAAAAACTTTTATCACCAAATTCTCCACATCAACGGGCAATGATGCTGTAGCTTTTTGAGCTGCTAGATGAACCAAATGACAAGGGCATCCAATGAATTTTATATTTGGTTGCTTCTGTTTTATATAGCTCAAAACACCTTTATTACATCCAGCCATTGTGTTAGCATTATCAGAACTGAATGCTATGCAACTCTCCCACTTCAGTAGATATTTTTTAAACTCTCCATCAAGAAGTTGAAAAATTCCCTCACCAGTGTTGTTAGTTGATTCAGATAAAGAAACCAGTGATGATACGATTTGTCCTTTTTCTTCATCATAATAATTAAAAATTAAAGGATATAGCTTTTTATCTGATATGTCATTGCTTCCGTCAGTGGAAAGAGAAAATAATGAGGTTCTGAGCTTACTTAGAGTACTCTCTCTTATCCCCTCAGCAGTGGAAACAGTTATTGCCTGGGTCTTGGTATGTCCACATCCATACTTTTTTGCAATGTCGGAATCTGGGAACATTTTTTTAAATAAGGCGCCAGAATGATCGGAAGCAGATAGAGAAATATTGTGCTCAATTAAAAACCGTACGAACAATACTTCAGCTTTAATCACACCATTTTCTTCTAATTTTGAAGAATAAAAATTGTTAATAGGTTGCTGATGCACCTGTGCTTTTGCAGTAGCACAATGTTTAGGACTGATCACGTGTCGGCGACAATCATCCAGTCCACCGTGAACAATAGAGAATTCCGAATTACAAATAGTGCATTTCGCAAAGCCTTCTTTTCCCGATACTAAACAAGGAAACTTTTTAGTACATTCCTCTCTAAACTTTTGATTATTCTTCCTCTTCTTTCGTAATCCATCATCATTAGAAACCTCCCGATCCTGATTAGATCTTTTCAAATAACGATCCATCACAATAAAATTTAATAATACTTGATAAAATACACAACTTAAAAACTAACGCGATAAAAGCTGGATGAAAAATAATCTAAAATTTCAAACAAAAACGTAGCATTCTTTTAACATCGGAGCAGTAAAATTCAAAGTTGTTTTCAAAATTTTTTATTGAAGTCACTTCACTTCACACGGTGTAAACCAAAAAACTAACGCAGTTTCTCAAAGAACAGCTGCATTCAGGCAGATTACAATGGCCACGCCGATGAGTAACCCTTCATAATCACGTGGTTTCTCCCGACCAAGGCTAACAACTCATGACGTCATTTTCGGCGATACGCAATCAGTGACGTCACCACGCTTGAAAGACGACAACAGCGGGAGCGGATAGATCGGACAGGCGCTTTCGTTTAATCCGCAGTATTTTACTATTCACCCGTAGCTCCGTAGTTTACCTCCAATTTCCGTAGCAACTGCGGAAATTCCGTAGCAGTTGGAGGGTATGACACTGCAGAACCTCTTATCAGAAAACCGGAAAACCAGATAACCGGAATGAAATTCGGTACCGGAAATTATTTTTCTTCCATTAAAAAAAATGTCTTTTCCTGCAAGATTTTGAGCCTATTTTGTTATTTAGAGCGTACGGTATATCGAGTTGATGAAAGAACTGATTTAGAGGACGGATCAAAAGCCGTTTGTAGACGAATCTCACATAAGCACAAATAGCTTATATATGTTATTAATGTTAATAATAACATTAATAACATATATAAGCCTGTATATAATTTTTATTTCATAATTTCTTTCCTTATTTAAACTTAAGTGTATTATTATTTATCATTTTTTATTATTTCTAAAACTATTTCAAAATAATTTTTTAGTTTCGTTTTATAAACATTAAAAAAACGGCATTTTGTAGCGATTCAGAAAACCGGAAAAAATCAGTTATCCGGAATTGCAATGGTCCCGATCGTTCCAGATAAACGGTTCTCTACTGCATCATAAATGAGTGTAATATTTTATACCATCATATTATTCACACATTTAGTAGCAGTTGCTTCCTGCCAAATGATCACTAAAAGCTTTTTCTCATAAGTTTTTAAAACTATTAAAAGACTTAGAACTATTCTATATACATTTTTACAAATATGTTATCAGAAAAAAAAAATGGTTTAGAAGTTCCCTTGTTATGCATATAATAATTTTGGAAATTTTTATCTTCAGTAACAATATAATAAATTAAATTTGTTACTTCAATGTATTATGCTATTCTCAATGAATGTGATATTTGCATTTTTTAGCATTTTTATTCTCTCATTTAAGGCAATTTTAAGAATTGTTAAGATTTTGTTATTTTTTAAAAGTTTAAACATAGGTTTAGGAAAGAAACATTGCCTGATCTTAAAACCTTTTTTTAATTATTATTATTATTAAGAAATTTATATATATTTGTGTGTGTAATCAAAATTTGGAATAAGGTATAACATAAAACGTTCAATAATTGTGTATGATTTTTAATATCTTTAAAAAAAAGTATGAATTATTTTAATAAGCCTTATTACCTTAGCAACAAATTACTCAATAGAAAACTCATTTTATATCACACTCAAGTGAGAAAATGCATAGTACTACTTAAAAACGTTACCTTCATAATTTTATGTCCTTAAACAAACGTGTAAAATGCTTGTAGCCTACACTAATAAAGCATTTTACTTCAACTATATCATTTAATTAATTTCAAAATTTAAATTTTAAAATTTAAATATCAAAATTAAACATTTACAAAAAGGGTTCTGAATTTAATGTTTAAATCTGCATGCTAAATACAAATATAAATGAAGATTTAAATAGTTTAATGAATTATTATTGAAAGGAGTTAGCTTTTTTCAATGCACTTTAATATGCAACATATGTTATTTTCAAATTCACATTTTATCCACAGAATATGAGGAGACACGTAATACATACTTTGAGATCTGAATCCTTTTTCCATCCGCTTGAAACAACATCTTCAGAGTCTCTGGAGCATGCAGAGAGATCATCAAAATCTGAACCCGTTAATTTTCTTACTGCAATACAAACATTAATGCTGTTAATTTTACAAGAGATTAGCAACTTTACCAAGATCAAAGTGAATGCAAGGTATATGTTATTTTTAAAAATATATAATTTGCGAAACATACAATTAACTAATATTATAGATTAAATAAATAATTTACCTTTTTTAAGAGATGTATTACTTTTACTGGGCAAATGCCTTTTAAGCGGTGGTTTCTTTTTAAAAGTCTCTCCAACCTTTAAAGACCTTTGATTCATTTTGCCATTTCCTGAAATCTGCAAAAGAATTTTTAACTTATAATTTAAAAAGAAGGAAAAAATCAACAAAAATAGTGACAATCACAGTGAGTCAATGCATGACAAATACAGTAATTTATACAAAGCATTAGTTGTGTTGAAAGAGTAATAGAAGCAGAATGAACAGAACATATAAAATAGATGTTGAAGAAATACTTTAAAGCTTAAAAAACTGATAGCAATAAGTTTTATTGCTAAATCAAATAAAAAAAGGACAAATATTGAAATTTAATGTTTTAATACTGACATTTAGCTTCTTTTTTTCTTAGAGGCAATTTTTAAATTACATTTTTAAAAACATCAAACACAAGATATGCTAGATTCAAAGAAAACTTATTTGCAGAAATCTGGAATATTTACAATAGTTAAGAGCAATAAATAGTTAAAAGTAATCAATAGTTAAATTAGGTTTAAACTTTTAAATGAAGTATAAATTTTTAAATTAAGTTTTTTAAAAAGTATTATTATAAAAAGAATAAAGAAAAATTTTAAATCATACAATTTATGAATATAGGGTTTTTCCCAAATAATGTACTAGGAAAAAGAAAAATTTTGTTTTCATTTTTGATAATTATTAGGTGATATTATCATGAAACTTGGTGACACTTTGGCACTACTTTGAATCAGTTTCTTCATATCCAAAATGAAAATGCTTAAAGTTCTAAATATAATAAAAATAAAACAAAGAAATACATCAAGATAAATTTTGCTGTTTCATCAAAGTTTTCCAATTCCAAGGTTAAAAAAAATTTAATTTGAAACAAGCCATGTTAAAGACAAGTACAACAATGAAATATATATTTTTTTATTGTGTTTGAAAAAAAGTTTTTAACATTTAAGGTTGACTTGTTAAATAGAAATTTTTGATCCAAGGACATAAAATTAACCTTAATAAAGAATCTAAGCAAAGATCAACTAACTTTTGAGGTGTCTGTTGATTCATCCCATTGTTTCAGCTTATCTTCAGTTAACATAGAATTTGATGCATCGTCAGAGAACACCACATCATCATCACCACCTTAAATACATCATAAGTTCATTTTTCACTTTTTAAGAACATAGTTACTTTAAAACATTGACTGGATATTTGGTTACACTAAAATTTACGTATTATTATTGCAAACAGTAATTAATGCAGTTAATACACATACTTTAATGACACTGAATAGAAATGATATGAGTAGCAATAACTGTTCATTTTCCAAGATGATTAAATTGCACAATTATCCACAGTCTTTAGTTGAATCATATTAAAAAACAATCAATGCTATTATTAATACTGATTTCTAAGACATTTTTTCCCATGTTTCTTTCAAATAATTAAAATAATAAAAGTAGAAAAACTTCTCTTAAATTTAAAGCCTTTATTGCAAATATTTTCAAACTGGTTTTATTTTGTAATGAGATACAGTTCACTTTTATAGGATCAATATCAAAATTCTAAATTATATCATTAAAAGCAATTTTGTTTTGTTTAATCTTAATAATTTTCTTTGTTAATGAGTGCTACCTTTTTTACCAGCACAACTTGACAAAGAAGTTACAAATGCACATGAAAGGAAAAACAAAAACTGCTTTCTAATTGCAAAAACCCCATCATAGGTCTAACACAAAAATATTCATAAATACAATTATTGGATGAAGTTAAGAGAAAAATAGCCGTAAAATTGTGAAATATTTTTCAGCATACATTATTACTTCAAAGATACATTTTTTTTAAAAAAAATACAATAAAGATAAATTTCAATAACATACATAGTCTTTTCTGACTAATTAAATTAAAATATAAATGTCTAACTAATTAATGAAAAAACTCGTACTTACAAGTTAGTATTTCAGTGCTTTCTGTCTTGCTTTTGATAGGTGATTTCTTATCCAGAATTGAAGATTCAGTATTTGAAATAAGCGTTGATTCTTCAGAATCCTAGTATAATATATTGTGTAGTATTGGAAAAAGTATTAAAAAAATTTAATATCATCAAAAATGAGACTTCCTTTTCTAAAAATGTTTGGTCTAATTTTTATTTATTTATTTTGTATCTTTGAAGATGATGAATGAAAATACATATCTCATCATATGACTCATTAGACATGTTGCTCTTTTTTTTTAAAAAAAAAAATTTAATCTCAATTACATATTTTCTGTTTCTTAGTAATTGAGAAAAAAATTGCACAAAATTATGATTATTTATTTTCTATGTACTTACTGCAATTTAAGTTACAAGAATTAAACTGAAAAAAATTTACTGCTCCTTAGAAATAGAATCATTAATATTATAAAAAAAAAAGAATATAAAGAAGTTGAAAAGGAAGAATTTTCATTCAGTAAAATTTAAAGCTTGTAGATAGATCAAAAACCTTCAAATAACAAAAAAAAACTTCAGAAACCATATAAACGAAAATGAAATAAAAAATAAAACAAATTTTTTAATCAATATAAACTTATGCAGAACAACTTTCATTATACAAAATAACTGAGATCAGATTGATTTCAAATAATCAAATTATTTTGATCATAGGGGTAATATTGTTTTTTAAAATATATTGATCATGAAAGTCAAACCAAATTAATATACTAATAATAAAGAAAAGACTGACTTAACAACCAAAAATCCAACACTTAAATTTCTTTAGCAAAACCAAATAAACAATTCATCAACTAACAAAATGCTTGTAACTCACATAAAATGAATGATTCTAAATGGTTATGTAGTATCATGAGTGCTTTAAATTATGAGGTGAACTTCCATATATGTTAAACAAATACCTTTTTCATTTGTACCACAAGACAAGGATCATATTTATTTGTTAAATCAGTGAGTTATTATAGCTGTAGATAATTAGGAAGATTTTGTACAAATATAAAAAGTTATAAAAAATATTAACTACGCTAAAAAAATCAATTATATTAGCTAAAGTTATATTAAAAAAAAAAATCTGAATCAACATCAGTTAAAAGGTATTCAGATAAAAAAAAATCTGGCTAATTGAGGTTCAACTGCATTTAATAGGACACCCATATAAATGAAATAAAAATTTTTGTAAGAAGAAGTTTGCTTACTTGGTTGGAGAATTTTGTTTTATCCTCAAGTCTTTCTTTTATTCTTGATCCATAGCACAAAGTTGATGTTTGATAACCAACTGAGTTTTCTTCAGCGCTTTCTGTGAATTCATATTGATCTTTAGGTTCAACAGGTTTTGGAGGCTTTGAACCACGAATTTTCTTGGCTATAAATTTTTTTTCTCTTAGCCAAAATCTCAAATGAATATTAACATAAAAAGAATTTTTATCACATTTTAAATATAAACAAATTTAAAAAAAAAATTTTTGCTAAAAAATCATTTAATTTGAAGAGAAAAATACATAAAAGATAAATCACAATGAATATTGATAAAATTTTGTCAAATTGAAATAAATAAATAAATGTATGATCAGCAAGAAATTGGATATTAGCAGCAGAAAAAGATTTCGTTAAACAATTTAAACCCATATTAAAACAAAAAGCAATAAGTAGAATTAAATTCTAAAAAAAATTCTTCTGAATATAAATGGGTCATTAATAAGAAGTTGTCTAATTAGAAGGCTTTGCATCTTAAGACAACAATCATAACTACCAAATAAATATAGCTATGACCAAATAAATTTATATGAGTACAGCCACAAATATTTGGAGAAAAAAATGTTTTTTCTTTTAATGAATTTTATTCTAGACATGCTTATAAAAATTAAATGCATCTCTTTTATTAAAAATCAGACACCTGATGAAATCACTACTAACTTGTAACTAGGTCTCTCAATGAAACATTTTAACTTAAATAAACAAACTAAATTAGTATTACTTAAAATATTTTAAATAATTACTTAAAACAATTTAATCATAATTTCGAAATTAAATTTTTTTACATCTCTAAAACAGTTGAATCAAAGATCGGTAAATTGATAATATTTAATTTGATAAAAAGTAATTTAATAACAAATAATATTTAAAGTGAAATAGTAATAAAGAAAAACACAATAAAGAAGCTAAAATATTTGTAAAATAATTTGCGTTTAATTTTCAATAAAAAAAACTGGTGATCAAGTTATGTGAGCGATTAATATCGACACTATTGAAACTTACATTTTCTTCCAGAACGTCTAATAGCTGAATCATCTTCACTTGTATCCATTTTTTCAGGTGAAGCATATTCAGCTTTTTTGAATGACTCATCTTTTTTTTCTGATTTTGTATCCTAATGTCATATTTCAAACAACACATTAAATAAATATTAATTACATTCCAATGAATACACTTAAATACTGCAGTTACATTGGTTTGCATTAAAAAAAAATTATTTTTCATTCACAGAAGGAAAAAAATCTCTTGCATTTAAAGACAGTATATTAAGTAAAACAAAATCCTTGTGTGGAAACTCAAGCAATAAATCAGCAGCGATGGCCACAAGGTTATACAGTATAGGATGCACAGTACAGATACTAATTTATATATTATTCATATTTAGTTTTTTGAACTAAGATTTATAATTAAATTATCTACTAAACAGGAATATCTCACTTTTAAACTAATTTAAGAAAAAACTTTGAGCCTACAAGAATTGCGATATAGGATTTTAAAATTGCGTGAATATTAATCACGATATTGGATTTAAGAACATGAAAATACAAATCGCAATATTGGATTTTTGAATACGAATCGTGATGCATGATTTTTAGATTCCGTGATTACGAATAGAAACATAGGATTTTTAAATTACGTGAACATGAATCAAGATGTACAATGCACAATGAGTAACTTTTATATGCAGTAAATACGAAAATCGATATTTTACATTAAAATGGAGTGAATCTGGATTGCGATATTTGCGGATTCCGGCATATTTTCAAATATTAAAAACGATAAAAAAAAATCAATATTACAGATGAGTAACATGTATGAAAACGTCTTGTTAACGCGAATTAGGGAAGGTTTCAAAATTTTAATTGTAGAACCTAATTCTTTCTTGAAATTTTAGATTGTGGTGAAAATTTTGTTGGATTATTAGTTTTGATTTGCAAAAATCTACGAATCAATGGTCTTGAGATACTTGTAATTCTCAAAAAAATCACATGCCCTGCTCCTAGCTTCTAGACCTGAAGGAATCTGGAAAAATCCGGAATTCTGGGGTACATCCGGAGTACTATCACCCCTGCTAGATGACACAATGAGTAAAATTGAATTTATAGAACTATTCCAAAATTGAAGGATTTCAATGATTTTAGTAATTTTCTTCTTGGAATGTTATTCTCTAATTATTTTATAATATATTTTTTGCAAACTTTGTATTAGATAGGATGAGTTGCTTGCATCAGTTAGGGCCACTGCAATCAACTAATCAACCTAGCAGCTCAATTTAAAAGCTAATGTGTTAATAAGTCTCATTAAGACATAAAAAGAGATTGAAAACTAAACTTTTTATAGCATATGGACTAATTTCAATGTGCTCTAAAAACTTTTAATGTAAAAAATAGGACTCAAATATTAAAAAATGAGAAAATTTGAAATTTCAAAAATCACTATTTAATAAAAAAAAAAACATTATATTTTATATAATAACTCTAGTTTTAACCTAACATATTGAATCCAAAGAAATCCACTTCTTAAAAGGAGATATAATATTCTATCTTTTAATACTCATTTATACATAATTTTGCTTAATTTAAATAATACAAAACTACAAACCAAAAACTTGTCAAGCAGTCCATTATCAGAATCTAAATTTGAAGAAATTTTAGGCAAAGGACTATCAAGGTCAGTTTTCTTTTTTACAGGACTCTCAGGTTCTACATTAATTTTGGTTGATGTTGACAATACATTAGTTTCCTCTACTTTATCTTCTGAGGATGGCGTTTTCTTGGGAGTCCTACTCTTAAATATTTTTCGACTAGTCTGTAAAAAATAAAGTTAGGTCAGAAAAATAAAAAAATAAAAAGAGAGTCATATTATAACAGGCAGGAGAGATAACAGGCATTTGAGTTTCATAATTTTTGAAAGCTAAACATTAATAAATTATAGAAAATTAAGATAAGATCACCAATTTCTTTTTTCAGAAAAATACTTTTGAAATAATGCCTAATTGAAAGATTTTACATTTTATTTGCATATAAATTGAAATGAAAATTACAACACAAAGATATTTTTCTCAGCGGTAATTTATGTAAAGAAATCTCACAATTTCCAATTATATTCTGATTGCATAAAAAAAGTATTTTCATTGATTAAAAAATGTAAGATAAAAACAAAATATTTTGTCTTAGACACTGTCCCTTAATATTAAATTCTTCAATACATGTATTTTGAATTTTATATGTATTGAAAATATCACAATTAGGGCTGGACGATATAGAAATTTCTTAAATCGATATATTCAACCCTTTTATATCGCGATATTAGGTTATATCGATTTAACAATCTAAACGACAAAACTAAGAANCTAGGGTACCCCGGGGCGTGACTCCCTGTATTTACCTAAAGAAGGTAAACCCCCTCAGGGGATATTTTGTCTTAGATAGTGTCCCTTAACATTAAATTCTTCAATACATGTATTTTGAATTTTATATGTATTGAAAATATTATCACAATGTTTCATATATCATTATGAAAAAAAGTTGGTATAAAAGACTCTACAACCTAAAATGCGCACAAAAACTCCCTTTTTCGCATTACAATGCTTTTTGCAATAAGTGATATGCCATATTAAAAATAGGAAACAATAAAATATATTAGCAGTAGTGGTGCATCAAAAACAAATTAATAAAAAAAATGGAAAATCTAAAGAAACAAATTGCCCATAAAAAATAATAAAGAAAAATGAAACACTAAATAATAACAGGCTTTGTAGTCTTTGAAAATAAAACAACATTTCAAAAATAATAATAATAAATTTAAAAAAAAAAGAAAGAATAAAATTAGGAAATTTTTTGGTGTGATACATGCAAACTATTAAGATTGGAAATCAAAGGGCTAAAAAATAGCATAATCCACGGCAAAGGGCTAAAAAATAGAGTATTTAGCCCTTCAAAGCAGTGGAGAGACCCATTGCTTTGAAAAAAAAAATTTTTTTTCTTTGTATATTTCTCTAATTTTCCACAACAATAAAAAAAATTAGACAACATTCAATGTTTAAAAAAAAATTAGATAGAAACAAGTTAACTAAAAAAAAATTTTAAAAAAACTTTAAGAAAAAATGAGATAGGGTGAGAAAACTTGGAGCCTGAATTTTCAACAGCAAAAATGCTGAGTTTCTTTTTTATAAGATGACTAAAAGACAAAAACATGATGAATGATGAGAAATCAGTGGACAATCCTTAAATTTGAACTATAGTACTTTTAAAATAAAAATATGATGTAAGCATTCCATTGTGAGTTTTGAAATACATCAAAATTATACAATAAAATTAGTGAATAACCATTAAATTAAATGACTGTTTAAAATAAAATAATAAACGTTAAAAGGGTGGACTGTAATCTGAAAAAAAAATTTAGATAATGAAAAATTTTTTTTAAGGAGTGTGAGTAACTTTTAGCCTGATAAGTTTTAGTGGAAATTTTTTTAAAAAACAAAATTAAAGGAATTTAGAAAAAAAAACTTTTGTCACTCTGAAGAAAGAGAGACACCCCAGCCTCTACTTTTAAAAAAGAAGATCTTCACTGTTACAACAACAGAAGAAAATGCTAATAAAAGTAACAAAACTAACACATAATGTTAAGCCCCTTAAACAATATCAATAATCACAGATCATTTTAAACACAAAATGAATGATATTTATAACAGACAATAAACATACAATAAATAAACTTTATTTTCTAGAATAGGAACCACAATAGGATAGTCACATCAGTATTTAATTTTTATATGAAGCATATTTTAGAGTTCAGCAAGTACTTCTTTTATTAAAAATTTTAGTAATTACAAGTAGTAGTATTTTAAGAATTACAATTTAGTATACCTATATTTTTAAAAAAAAGAAACAATAATGCAGAAATAAAGTTTTATTTATTATTTTTTTTTTAATTTCTTCTTCAGTAGCCAATATGTGAAACACCTGCTGTGCATGACCTTGGGGTCAAGTGCCTGCTGCTGACTTATGATAAAAAACAGGTGTAAAATGACACAATTAGAAAATGTAAAAAGGATGAGGTTCATTAAGCAAATTTTGTTCCAATACTGAATCATCAGCAATAATTCATTCTTCTTAGGAAGGGATTTTTCTCTTTAAATCCTTTCCATTTGAAACATGTTTTGGACGAGTTTTCTTTTTTCTTCTTCCACATAGAGAGTTATTAAACTCAACTGATTTTTTAAATTCAAGTTTTAATTGAAATCGTGCACTCTAAAAATGCTGAAAATCAAGACAAAGAAGGGTCTTCCATTACATTGACCACTACATAAAGTCCCATTTGCTATTCCATAGATGTAATGTTATTTAATGCTAACTGGAACAGCCAAACTGAACCATTCATTCAAATACAGTGACTGAAATTTTGTTTAATTTTTCTATATTCCCAGAAAATCGCTCCAAAAATAGAAAGACATTTGTGTGTTTTCAAAACTAATATTTTTTCCATTGAAGAGTTAATCAATAAAAAGAGACTAAAAAAAAAAAACTATTTCTATTGATGTTACAACTCAATAAACACCTTGAATTCTCTATGAATAAATAAAGTGTGACCTATTCTAAATCTTGGAGGTCCTGAGTGTAATCTATGGATAAAAAACTTGGGGAAAATAGAGCCATTAGTGAGAATTTAAAGAGTATATCGCAACATCATTTAGAAATCAAGAGTTTTTTGCAGTTTGCATTTTTTGTACTGAGTTTTTTTCTTTTCAAAGGGTTCAAAATCTATTCATCAAACATATTTTTCTTGTTTAAAAATTGAATTCCCTCTTTTTGTGAAGATGTGGTTTATTTTGGAGTTAAAACATACCGTGTTATTCGCATTTGTCTTTATTTTAGTCTTATTCGTTCTCCGGACGAACGTTATTAGCGAAAACAGCTGCTCCTAGCCAGTGTAATACTAGCTGAAATAAAAAAAAAATTTCAAGCGAAGTGAAAGAATAATACAAATTCTTGAACTCAACATTCTGAAAAACACATTGTTCACAATAATTAAAAATAGTGATGTAATTTAAAAAGCAGATACCATAACATTCCAGGACATCAATTTCATGATTCAATCTGAAGTTTATGCGCAACATTAAAAAATATCATTAAATAAATGTATTTTTAGCTTTTAATGTACTATATTAAATAAAACTTTTAGTTTAATGACATCTGTGCAATAGTCAGTTTCATAACTCAATTTAAGCACATGTTTTTGCCAAAGTAAACAAAGTATTTCTGAAATCTAAGTAAACATTTGGACCAATTTTATGTAGTCACAATATAGCAACCTCACTTTAATTATTATATCAGGTGTAGACTGTGTATACATTTAAAAAAAAAAAATAAGCACATGAAAATACAAAAGGGAAACAGCAAAATTATTTTTAATTTATTAGTAAACTGTACTACAATTAGTAGACTGTATTAGAAATCTTACTTAAGACTTGTTTCAATTATTCAATATTGTTTGAATTGTTGAAATCATGCAATGTTATCTGAAATTTAAAAGATTTTTTTAAATTTATATATAGGAGTATTCCAACTAAACTCCTATATAGCTTGCTTTCATCCCTTGCAACTATGTTAAATAAAATACACTTAATATTTATTATTTTGTTAATATTTAATAAAAGATCAACGAATTTCAATAGTAAAAACATTAAATAATGTCTAATTAAAACACATTAAAAAAATTCTAACAACTTATATTTCTATCTTTCATTTTACTTTCTGATCAAGATCGTAATTTTCATTCATTATGATACCTTTACTATGTTAGGAGCAAACATTTGTTGCTGTTCTGAAGACAAATAAAGCCATTCAATTTTAAGCATTACTTCATCTAAATCATTATACTTTAAAACTAACTTGCTTTTCCAAACTTGTTTCAAATCAAACTAAAATTTATAATGACATAATGAAGAATAATAAAAAAAAAGTAAATATTAAATAGAATTATGCTGGCAACAGGTGGGGAAAATGTTACTTTCATCACTGAATTTTAAAAAAACTTTTAAAATCAATAAATTTCAAAAGTTTTTTTTTATGCAAAACGTAAGTCTAAAACATTATATGGTAATGTCTGAAATAGTAGGCATTTATGAGACTAAGTGTGTAAAGAATAACTTACACCTGAAACAAAACATTGAAGTTTTAAAACCTTTTTTAATTCTTTAAGACAAAATTAGAAATTATAACTAGCTATAATAGTTATTATAGCTAGCCTTTAAATTCACTGTTTGTTTCTTCACAAATGTAACACACTTTTTAAAATATTTTAATAACAATAACATTGCCATTTTTTTAAAAATGAGATTTAGAACAATTTCATTACAAAACAAATTTAAATACTAAGAAATGTTTAGCACTTACCTCTTTCTCATCATTTTCTGCTTTAGAAATCAATGGACAATCATCAGTAAACAGACTAAGATCAGGTTTAATGTCTGCTAAATCTTCTATTTTATCCAACTTGATGTCAGACAATAGATCTGGGGAAAAGTCATCACTGCTGCTTATTGCTTCTCTCTTGTTTATATTTGGTTCGATTTTGACACTAGCCAACGATGACAACTCTTGTTCAACTATTTCTATAAATAACATCATTGTTTATCTCTTATGGTAATAGTAATAAGTTACATAATCTACTTTTACATGTAATGTAACATATTTAGATCAGAACTAAGATTAAATAAAAATACAAATGTATACACTAAACTTTCAATTCATGATTAGAGTTAGATGAAGAAGTTTTTTTTAAAAAAGGTATATTGATTTTACATTGTCTTTGAAAAGATCAGAGCAAGTTTTTTCTTAGTAAAATTAATAATCAAAATAAAAAATTAAAAAATAGGAACAATTTTAAATTAAAAAAATAATAAACAAGAAAAATAAATATAGAAAATAGTTACCAAAATAGGACAAACTGAAAACAAATTTTCTTCCATGTTTATTATTTTTTATCAAATTCTTATCAAATGCATAAAATTTTATGGCTTTTCCCAGTACTCTTTGACTTACCACGTCCGTAAACCACCCAGTAGTAAAATAAAATTGCTTTATTTTACACTTACTTTTCATGAATATTTCAGTATGAAATTTCCCTATTTATCTAAGTAAATTCGAAATATTTGGGAACAATATTTTACAAAGTTTTCAGGGAATTAACTATATGTAATTTAAATAATAATTGCTTAGTGATAAATGTTTTTCTAATTAAGCTGCAATGAAAAATAATAAAAAAATAAATGAGACTAATTTTTAACTATTACTATGTTTGTTGAAAAAGCAATGATTCTCAACTTCTTTTTCTTTGTATTATGTGTACAGAGTTTTTGAATACTTCTTTCTCATGACTTTCAGAAATTAATATCAAACACATAAAAATGTAAGCATGTTTACTATATTTCTCTTTATCATTATTTGTATACTATTATTTAAACTGGTTAAAAGAATGTGACTAAGCATTAATTAAAAACATTTCTGAAAGAATTTAATAAAGCATTATTTTCTCAATGAAAAAAAAACTTTAATTTTTTACTACGTTAGTCAAAAATAATAGATTACTGACGTCTTTCTTTTTTCAATAAGATCTCGGTAGTTTTAAAGGAAACAAACTTCACTTTTCAATCCGTATTGACTTCAAATCAAAAGCAAGAACTTCAAACAAACAAAGTTATAATGATACATATTAGAACTTATAAAGTTGAAATCTACTCAGTAGCATAAGGTAAGCGAGTTAAGTTAATCCTTTTCTTTTATGCAGTCCTAAATCTGCAATTTCATAAAACCGTCTAATTAATAATAAAAACATACTTTTTTCTCAAGTACTCGAAATAATAAATACTCACAGTGGTGAAGAACTAAATTGATTGCTTTCTGTAATTAAAATTTTCTTCTCTCGGTTCTACCCCAAAACCAATGTTTAAAAATATACAAATTATTCTAAAAAGGAATACCGTTTGCTATTAAATTGGAAGAAATTTTAAAATGAATGCTTTTTTTTTGTGATAAACAAAACTAGTACCAAAATTTTAAACATAGCAATAAATAGTTCTTGAATGATTTTAAAATTAATGTCCCAAAAGTGAAATCGACAGAGCGAATCAGCACTATCTTCCGAAATCCAAATTCGTCTGCCACCTCTATGCAGTCAGAATGATATTATTGTTGTAAAAATTCAGCGATGTACAGGTAGCAAATATAAGAAAAATTATACATTAAAACTTAAAATGTATACATAAAGACTTTTATGTTATTTAAATTTATACAATGATACTAAAAGATTTTTTTTTTCATAAAAAGAAACTTATAATCTGCAGATGCTGTCTGCCATGTTTTATCACTAACTTGATAAATAGTGTAAGTTAAACAATTTATCTATTAGTTAAATTGAGTTCTTATAAGAATGTCCCTTCTGTGCAACCGCACTCTTTTCAACTTAGAATTCTATACACTATTAATACATTTTGCTACACAGTGAACACATTTTTAACAGAACTAGAATTAAAATATGATTTATAAGTAATCTCTGACCTAATTTAGCTTCCAGTTCAGCACGCGTCTCGTTTTGTAGGCTCTCACAAATTTCCTCTAATAGAGCAACATCTTTCGAACTGTCCATCGATTCAATTTTTACACCGAGTGTCGATGATTTAACAGTAGTACTTGCTACATCAGCTTTTAGAGTGGCTTCAGAAAAAGTTGCAGGTGCTTGAAGTTCTGTGGTGAATTGTAAGGAAGCAGGGATTTTTTCAGCAGATCTTCTAGTAGGAGAAAACTCGAGCGGTTTCAGGTCGGTCTGTTTTGGGGGACTGATTACTTTAGCTGCAGACGTGAGAGGAGGATCAAGAACAGGAAGGGGTGGCAATCTTCCAGGTGTACTGGGTGGCATTTCAAGAAGCTTCGATAATGTTGGTGCTAAAAGAAAAAACAAATATATTTTGATAACGGACGTTATTTACTGCTCACAAAAAAAAATAATATTTATTTATTTGGAGCACCTGAAACATAGTTCAAATGAATAAGACAGTAAAGTTCTTTACAAACAAATGACTCCCACAATCAAAGGCAAAAAGTTAAAATTACTAATAAAACTAGAATGGCAGCAAAATTAATAGAGCCAAAAATGAAGATTAAACAGTTATATGCACTCATACTGTGTTTATAGCATTATTTAATCTTAAATTGGTAAATTTTAATATTTCCCCAGAATCAAATATTTAAAACATTTTTTTCAAGCAAGAACTAAAATAAGTAGAGTCAAAGAATAATCATCTGGAATGCACAAGAATTGGTACATTTTGGATAGGCAAAAATGAAATTCTAGGTATTTGGATGTCAAGAATGGCTAAATGAAAACATTGTTGTAAAAACAAAGGTTTATTAGAAAGGACTCTTAGAATAAATAATAAAGTATAGAGTAAGTATGAGCAAAATATAGAGAGAATTAAGGTAAAAAATAAAATATTTTTAAAGGAATAAAATATTATAATATCTGCTGATTCATAAAAAAAAGTCAAAAGGATGATAAATAAAAGACTGAAAAAATAGCTATAAAAAACTGAAATAGCATGATAAATTGAAGACATAGAGAAAAAAAAATCGCTCTGCATATAATTTCAATAATTGCAAATATATATTGGAAATAATAACATGCAAATTTATCAGTAACTGATTTGTGATTTTTCATTTACTCGGTACGGATACACAAGTACTAAACCAGAGAGCCTGTCACCATGTGTAATTCTTAAAAAAGTTTTTAAACGTTTAAAGGTTAAAAATATTTGTTTCTCAAAGAGTACTTCCACAGCAAGAGAATCAAATATCTCTAAAAGTATATTACAACACCAATAATATACAAATGTTTGGGAAAACATCTTTAAAAAATTCTTTCAATGCATCTACTACATTTATTTTTTATACAAAACATTTATAAAATATTTATATTTTGTCAAAGTTTTCTGGACTAAGTATATTTTTTAAAAAAAAGAAGAAGAAAAAAAGAAAGAAATGACTTATTTTCAAATAAAAAATAAAATGTACATTAAACATTTAGATTAAAAGATAAAAATTGTATAAGTGGAAGTGGGATATAGCCTTGTTTTGAGGCTAAAAACTGTAGGTAAGTCAGTAAAATGAATAAGTTTCATTAATCAGTGGTTACAATATTTATTTTCAAACATAGCTTACCAAAAATTAATCAAAAAAAGTCAGCTAATACATTAACGTAACGTTATTATTCTATTTTACAGCAATTGCTTTTGTTCTATAAAATGTTAAATCATTTTTTTCTTAAGAATGAGACATAATTATATTTATGCATTATAAAGGCATAAAAAAAAATATTGTTTTTCTAGATGGCATTTGTTTGGGTTTGAAAAAGCCCAGCCCAACTGGGTTTTTTCAGAAAAATTTTTACTCCTGAGTTTTTCAAAATTGCAAAATTAGCTTCTAACATGTAAGCGAAATGTTTGGTAACTATTTATCACTTGTTTAGTTGCAATGTAACTATTTAGGAGGTTTCAGATTGCCAAGTAATTATTTTTATTTCTTAATGACGAACAGATTGTTACATAAAAATTTACAATTATTTCATGATCCTCAAATTTTTTTATTGCATTAGCATAGATTTTGATTACTATGAGATCAGCTTTTGGTTACTATAAAATTAGTTCAATGTTCTTCTCCAAATTATAGTATTATTGTGTAAAATTAATTCCTTATAGTAGTTCATGTTCATGATTTTAATAAATTGATGACAATAATTAAATTAATGACATAATTTACAATTATTTCACTCCTGAAGTAAATCTATTACCTACTATAATTTTTTTTTTTAAAAATGAGAAAAAAAAACTTTTAAAAATTGTTTTTTTTTTTTTTCAACTGGGCCCACCCAAAGACTCTTCTTTGGCAAATTCTGATTTGTATTATGCATGTATTTAAAAGTTGATGTTTGCTAGATGGCTTGAAAAGTAAATTATAAATCACATATTTGCTCTTCAATTATTATTTATTTTTATATAGCTCATAAGAATTGGTTTTATTGAGTGTAAGAAAAAATTGCACTGTTTTACAGTTGTTTGAAAGGTTCATCATCTTGAAAATGATAAACATTGAAATAAAACAACAGTGGAAATAGAAAAAAAAAATTTTTTTCAGGTATAAGATGTTCATTTTCAAAGTATTTAAAAAGAATAGTTAACAAAATTTTTCTACCTAATTTTTCATAAATTATGAATTATAAATGAAATAATAATAAAAATATTCCCTCTCCACAGTATAAAATGCAGCAACACTTTAAAATGCTTATCTTGCCTCTTTTTTTAAATCCATTCAAACAACAGCAGAGGCCCACGATCCGCTCGCCAGATGGCATTTACGGTAACTCTATTTCAGATGGAAAATTCTTCGCCCCCCTCAGATTGCCACTGAATCATTCTTTTGGAAGCGTTGGGAGTCTTCTTGCTGGTTTATGGTCACTGATATCAAAGTATGGTTCACGGTCATTTTCCCAATATTTACCGTTCGGATAATGGGAATTTCATCTAGACTTAAGTTCCAGGTACAGTGCCCGCCGCTAATAAAATCACCGGATAATAAAATCAGCCGCTTTATAAAATCAAATCGGCAAGAACCGAATCGTTACAATATTAATACATGTTAAAAACATCCTTTAATAAAATCAATGCCGCCGCTTTTTAAAATCAAAGGTGCAATATTTCAGCTTTTTTTGTTCGAATTCTTATCTTACTTTTAATTGAATGAACCATAGAAGGGAGAGATGCTTCTTTTGTTATCCATCTTAACAGAAAACATGAATAGATTTCCAAAAACTGTCTGTGCGCATGTTCCATATTATTTAAGCCGTTTGAGTAAATTATAGTTAAAGTTAGAGCATATATCATTTTTAAGTTCGTTTGGTGTTAAATTTTATCAGCATGCCGAAAAGAAAGGATTTGAGTCTTAAAGATAAATTCGAAGTGTTGCAAAACTATGATAAGCTTCCTAAATGTAGTCAACGTGAAGCTTCAATGGAGATGGGGCTCATAACTGTTTCGAAGAAATGATCAGCAAGGAAGAAAATGAGATGGACGAGAATTGTTCACGTTATGTAGCTATTGACGATAACCAGCAAACATCAGGAGAAAAATCTGATTCTGAAATTGTTATAGACATCAAAAATTGCAAAATTATTTCCCATCAAGAAATGGAGGAATCAGACTCAGAAGATGAAATGAACTCATCAGTGCCATCTTCAATGGAAGTCAGAAAAGCACTTGATGTATTGCGGCAAGCTTTGAAACAAAGAGGAGGAATATCGAAAACTATAAAAACTTCTATAAACTCTCAAATGATGTTGAAAAGTTAATTTTAAATACTGCAACTCAAGCAACCATTGATCGGTTTTTTGCAAAACTTTTGTAAATTTAATCTTATGTTGGGTTTTACTTTATTAAAATAATTAAATTAGTTAAAATAAAGCATTAATGTGGTCATTATTTCAAATTTTAAAGTGTGTGCATTTAGAATAAATCGCAAAAAAATATATTTTTTTTTTCAAATGTTGAATCGCCTCTTAATAAAATCAGCCGCTTAATAAAATCAAAAGAGCATAAAACGAAAGTGATTTCAATAAACGGCGGGCACTGTAAAAAAAAATTTAATGAGTTTTTAAAAAAATTATGATTGAATAAATCTTGGAAAGCCCAGCCATTAATAAAAATAAAAGAAAATATTGATTTTTTTTTAACTGTTTAAATCAATCCTTTGTAAGAAGCTGATGTAACATGCAATGACAATAATTCACCTCAAGGGAAAACAACACATTTTATCAACAAAAATATGTATAATGACTTACAATTAATAAATCAGTTAGCAAAAGGGTAACGTACCAGAAAGACAGGCTGATGATGTTGCAGGCTGGAATAATGCTTTCCTGGTTTCATTGGCCTCATGAGGGAAAAACTGATGACTTAGTGATTGTGAAGAGGTAGCTAGTTGTTGAGCACTTGCTAAAGCATTTGAAGGATTGAAAAATGGTTGCGGAGAAGCCTTAGGGGATACCTTTATATAAATTAATAATTTTAATGTAAATAAAACTGTAAAATTCGTTGTTATAACATAAGCTTTAGTCACAATTCAAAAAGAAAAATATATACTTTGGAATAAATAACAAAATATAAAGATTGGTATCAAAATTCATCGAAGAGAAGAGTAAAAAAGTTGATACTAAACATTCAGGATATAAGTGCTAAATTGGAATCTTATCATTTATGTAGTATTTTCAGTATATTCCAGGATTGGCAAGATTTGGATACACTGCTAAAATCAACAACAAAAACAATGGTTCTTATTCTCCTGTCTAAAATATATTTTAATTTCAAAACCTTTCTGTCAAAGCTAGATTTTGTAAAAGTTTCAATGAAAAAGACAAAAACATTGAGAAATTAGCAAAAAACTATATCATAAAATTAACAACTTATTAATTAAATTATTATTAATAAATGAGAATCTATGCTCTTAAAACATATTTTATAAAGAACAATTTAATTAAAAATCCAATCCAGACATCATTCAGGGTTGGGTTTTTATCAGACATGATAAAAACTATGTTTTTTACCCGCAAAAACCACGGGAAAAACCTGGTTAATACTAACCCATGTATATTTATTTACAGATATAGTGGTCAGTTATTTATATTATAACTGATAGTAATATATATTATTTCTGTATTATAGTTAATATTAGTAATTAGCGAATATTAATTTATTAGACAATATATACGTATGTCAGCAAGTAACAAAACACTGGACAAGTGATTATGATGTAAGCTACCTACTAAATTGTAAAACTAATTTTTCATGCTGCCAGTTGAGGCAAATCTTCTCACTACAGAAAATTTAGAGAACTGATAAATGTATTAGATTTTCAATTTGAGCCAATAACCAGTAATAAAATATTAAAATTATAGCTATAAATTACATTATTGTTTTATGTCATTATATGCCATAACTTTATTACAGCTGCATTTATATACAAAAAATAACCATGAAGCTCAAATAAGCAGAACTTTGAAAATTTTATTAAAAAAGAATTAATATTAATAATAATGATATTAATAATTATTATATTAATAATAATTATTATTTTATTATAAATAGTAATAATTTTTTTATTTATTTTCTTCAGTAGTGATAAGGATACTGTAAAATAAGGAAATTAATAAAAGATAGGTAATATCTTTTAGCATTTATTTTCATAAAATTAGATTAGGAAAAAAAATTATTTTACTTATTTCAGTTTGTAAATGAACTCAATGATCTAAATTTTTCAAAACAATAATTTGTTTAAATGAATTAAAAAATAATTTTTTATAGAAGAAGATTTCAAAAATCAGAGGTACAACAAAAAGGAATATCAATGATGTAATCATTAGAAAGAAAAAAAAAATTTATTATCAAGACCACTAATAACATAAATACACAAATGTATTATTTTGGCTAAAAGTTAGATTAATTTATAAATCAATATATGATAAGCAATTAAAAAAATTATTTATGGCAAAAATATACCTCATAGTGGTTTCAATAGAAAATTAGGAGGAAATAACACAAAAAATCAAGACAATATTAGTGTAGAATATTCTTTAAGAAAATAGAAAGAAAAAACAACTAAGAAGTTATAATTTACTAAACAAAACATCTATCTAAAAGTTAAAGTTTGCTTAATGAAACATTTTTTTCTCAACTTTATCCAAACTGATAAATTAAAATGTTATTTCAAATATTTAATAAACTTTCTTTTTAATTTCAGAATGACCTTATTCAATAAAAAAAATCTATGATAGTATATACTTTAATATGATATCCTATCATATTTAAATATTTAGATTAATGAAAAACTTACATAATTTTGTGGTCACTAAACTTAAAATAATTTTTATTAAGCTTGATAAGAATTAATTCTTTAACTTCATAAAAATTTTCAATATCTACATATTTAAGAATAAAAAAAATAAATAAAAAATATATTTAACATTCTATTATTTTAGTTCATAACAGAATATTCATTAATAACTTTTAAAAATTAAACTGATTGCCACAAATACAATATGAGTTTGGATGATAAAAAAAAACAAGTAGTAAAAAGCGAACACACCCATTTAATATCAAATTTTGTTTTTCCTTAACACTCTATTCCTTTCTTCACATTATACTTTAACTAGCATTGAAACTCAAGCAATAACTAACAACAAATTGCCAAAACATAAAAAGTATTTGCAAGATGCTTGTATCGTGTAACTACCTGTCCATCATATAAACTATATGGCCAGGATTTAATTGGTGAAGCAAAGGTTTGTTAAAAACTGATGACCAGGTGTAAACTTCAAGGAGTCAAATTTAAATTTTTGGAAGCAAGCACAACTAACGATTGCTCATTTCAAACCCAGATGATAGCTATTTTCGGTTGATATTTATCCGTTTTCGGCCATTTCAGCTTGTTTGTTCTTATTCTGATAGTCTTCATAGAGTGTTATTGTATTCTATCTATCTATCACACGATTCTATTGTATATCCAGCAGATCGTTTTGTTTTGGCGGCAATTATTTGTCGTTTCTCGACTATTTCCTCATCATTTTTTACAATTTTGATATTTTAAGACAATGTTATGGCTAACAAATTTAATCTTTCAGTGATCACTTTTCCATAAAGCAGATTGCATCCTATATTAACATTAATTTCCAATCGCTTTTTTGCAGTTATTAAAGTCACTTTCCGTTTCTCCAGACATTTCCACATTGTTTTTAAGACCCCAATATTTTTAATAGATCATTTTTACAACATGTAAGATTTTAGAATTCACACATTGTGCTAATTTTAAACCCGATTTAATTTAATGTGCAAATTCAACTGGGGAGTTATTTTTAAGTTAAGCTCTTTGAAAAAAAGATTTCTTTGTAATGATAAAATTAAGAAATTTGTATATTTTGGATTTCTTAAAAGCTATGCTACTTTTTATTAAATACAGTGCTTTTTTTGTGGTGGGTGGTCTTTTTGAGGGTTTATAAATTCCATTTGTTTACAATTTTCAGCTTTTATCGCCCTGCTCTCTTTGGGTCTAGAACAGGGGTTTCCAACTGGCGGCCCGGGGGCCGCATCCGGCCCGCTAAGCCTTTTTTTTTTTTGCCCGCGAACTAAAATATATTAGCTGTCATTTTTTTGCGGACAATTTTCGTAAAAAATCTATATGGGTTTAAAATACTTTTCTCGTTAATAAAAACCTAATTTCTTCGTTTCTGTGAAATTTAACATACCAACGGTGCAAAAAAAAATTTTACTCAGGTTTTGCATCCAAGAAAATATTTATTCAAATACAAAAACAATCGTGTATGTTGCTCTTTTTTATTTAATTTTTTTTGTATTTTGCGAATATAATTTAGCATGTGCGTATCTGAAATTTCCTCCTTTCCTATCCGATTTAGCTTTTTGAAACCACTCATTTTTAATGAAAATATTTACACACACATTTGTAAATTTAAAATATAAATATCTATTCTCTGGTGGTTGCAGCAGACAAACCTCAATTTTCTCATTGAATATTTTGTGTGCTACTATGTAAGTTTTAATACCTTAACAATTAGATATCTGTTGCACATTAATTGTTTAATACATAGGTGCTCACTTGAAAGTTATTGTAGCCCAAATTTTTAATATTTATGTAATATTTTTAAAAATATTATTAATAAAAATTAAATATTTTTAAAAATCTACTTCTTATTTTAATTTGTAATTCAATACTTTTGTTTTGTACAACTTAATAAAACTCTGACAGTAATATTTAATGTGCCTTCAAACATAAAAGAGCCCTACAAAAAATTTTGATAAAGTTACGGCCCGCCACTTGATTTGTGTTTTTAATTGTGGCCCCCGGCCTCATGTAAGTTGGAAACCCCTGGTCTAGAAGGACCCCTAAAAGTTATTAAAAAATGACAAACATTGTAGCTAAAAATATTATTTTAAAATTACACCTTGCTGAACCATTACTGCAACTAAGAAAAATATTTCATTCAAGACATTCACAGAAATAGCAGAAACAATAAGAAAAATTTTTGAGGATGCGAAGAATGGTTCTTTTTACAAAACAGTTAATACACAATGGGAAAATTTTTTTATAGACCGTAAAAAACCAGGGAAAAAAACAAGTATTTTCCAAGACGGTGAAAACCATGGTAAATACCGCAAAAAACCTCACATGGTAAATACCATGCGACACCCTGATCTCATTACTGTGAAACATCTGCAGACCTAGCAATAAATGATGGTTCACTATATCCAAAAGATTATTTAGAAGTATTGTTGGAACTATTAATTGCATTAATACAGTGTTTGGTTTATAAATTATTAATTTTGAAGAAAGTTGCGATTTTTGCACTATCAATTCGCTCTCCCATGCGCCTGTTTATAAACACACACATTATTCAGTCCAGCAAAATGACTCATTTTAAACACTTTTTCATTTCTTCATTTTTAATAAAAAGTCATACTTATCTACTTTTGAACCTCAACTAAAAATTTTGTATCATTTATTCAAAAAAGTGTAAAAAAAGACTGCCACTATAAATGAACTAATTATTTCTTAGTTGTTCACTATAAGCATATGATTAGTTAAATAGCAGTTCAGATGCTGAAATAGTTGTTCATTTATCTCCTTAAGGTAGACCTTTTATTTCTCTTAAACTGTTCAAAACTAAAGATTATTGTCTAGTTTTATGCAAAATAGTTAAGTAAAGGATAAAAACTATTACTGAAGTGGAGATTATACAGAATGAGATGATATAATGAAAATATAAATATTCTAATGAAGCTGTTATTTTTAATAGTTGACGTTGTCTTACAGGGTGCGTAGCCAAATCTTTGAATCAAAAATAAGCACTTTTTAAAAACTTTTCAAGCACTTTACAAAAATTTTTAAGCACTCCAAAAATTCATATTCAATCAATGATATTACTGAAAAACAAAAACTTTTTATAAACAGTTTTAGCGTTAAAAAAAACCCAAAAAGAAACGGGCGTAAATCGAAACAATCAGTACTTTCCCACATCACCGAGTGAATTCAACTTGACCCTGAACTCAGAGCAAAAGTACCCTTACCCCCCACGTCAAAAAAAGTGTAAGAAGTAAAATAAAATAAACAAGAAAAATATTAAAATAAATTCAAAAGAAAAACATTTCATAAGAATCTGATATTCTCTATCCGAATTGGAGCACTTGGGTTTCGGTTTCAAGAGTGCGGGCATGCGTAAGTCATAACGTGGGTACGACATGAAGTCCAGCTGAATGATTACGTAGCAAACTCCCCATTTTTCGTGAAATGCATGGGATCTACCAGATATCACTGAAGGGAGAGAAAAAATAATTCGAAAAAAAAAGCACTTTTTAAAAACGCCAGCTGAAAAAAGCACCTTTAAAAGCTTTTAAAAACGAAATCCCCGAAAAAGCACCTTTAAGTACTTTTTACAAACGCTATGCACCCTGTCTTATTATGAAAAGAAGTATCTGCCATTGTTATTTAGTTTATGCAATCTATTTTACGTATAAATATATATTACACATAAAAAATTATAAACATATTCCTAAAAATACAATGCTACAGCAGAACTCCAATTTTATAGTGTCTGTTTCGTACATTATCCTGCTTCCTTAGTCTTTTTCTGCAAGTCCGGGGAAATTGCTGATATCGATAATGTTAAATTATGCAAGATTTTACGTTACCCTTTATTAAAAAATCATGTTTTATACTTTTTTCTAACAGATCAAAATCCTTCTCTCAAGAAATTTCACACAAACTTTTCTTGCTTAAAAAAAATAAAAAATAAAAATTATTAGCTGTTTGTAGCTTTTTTTGACATTCTTTCTAATCTATCTTGTCCTGTGAGAGAGGATTTCCCTCTTGAGTGGAAATCAAAAGGGTAGCGGTGGGATGGGTAAAGCACAGGAAAAGTAATTAAAGGAAGCATGAGAGCTTAAACTGGAAAATTTGCGAGTGGAATTTTCTCCAGCAAAATTCAATCTTTAAATCTAGGAACTATCTAATAATTTAAAGAACAAGATTACACTAAATGACTGGTAATCATTTCTTTTTCTTGATTCCAGTGACCTGCAAGATGCTTCTAAAGCAAAAACAAATGTTCTGGAAGCTCTAAATTTGATTTCTACAGTGTTGGTCAGTTTTGCCTAAAATACATTACAAATGGGGTTAATAAAGTTTCTCAGGGTTTATTGCTTCTCGGTATCCAACTGGAACATAGGCCCTTCAGAATAAAATTACAGGTCTGAAAATCTTTTAAAGTCGATGACATGTATATCCACTGCAACACACATCCCACTACTTTTCAATTCCTTTAATATCTGATTGAATGCCTGCTCCCGAGGATAGAGATGAAAACAATAAAGATGAGTTATTTGAGGTTTTGGGCGCCAGAAAAGACTATAATGCACCACGAACTTGGTTTAAAAAACGAGCACTTGGTTTAAAAAAGAGGTATTAATATTTTAAAAGGTAAAATTAAATTAAGGTACAAAATCCAATGTCCTTAAGGTATAAGGAATGAAGATGCGCAGGATGTGTTACAAAGAGTTTTGGAAAATAAATTCCACCCGCCTTACTCAAAAGTAGTTCGCGCATTACGAAACCTGAACTCTATGATTTCAGATAATATAATTGAATTTAAATTCACATTTCAAGCTAAACTAATTCATGTTGAAAGCTTGATATAAAAAAAAAAAAGAAATTTCTTACATCTTTGGATGCAATGGAAGATGGTGAATTCTTTAACAATGAATTCAATAAAGGTGATGAGGATGGAGTAGGACGAGGTGACTGTGGTGCCCGGGGGGAGACTTCTTTAGATTTTAAAAATCCTAGAATATCCATTTCTGATTTTGAGTGGTCTCCATCACCAGACTAAAATTAAATCATCAATTCATTAAGGGCTCCAGTATGAAAACATTGGTACAGTCGAACTCGCTTATAATGAGCGCAAAGGGACCACTAAAAGTTCATACATACTTACTAAATTATAAATACAGTACTTATTTTATTTATTTTTTATTCATGTACAATACAAAAGACGTTATTTAATTTGTCTTGAATGGTCTTATCTTCTATTTGTTGTGTTATTGTTCTTTGAATTAAGACTCCAAACATCTCATTAGCATCCCTGCTCTTGAAAAGTTCAAGCGTTTGCTGAATATTTGACTCATCACCAATTTTCAGTTGTCTCCAAAATGTTTTAAAAAAAATCAAGAAGGGATGAACTAATCTGAAGAGGTGAAAGTACATGGAAATTTTATGAATCATTAAAAAATGGGTTCGGGGTTAATTTTTGTTAAAGGAGAGCTATGCTCCAATAGACTTGCACTAACTAAGTTATTTTCAGTTTCTTTGTTAAATTCATGTTCTCGTTAAACCAGGGCTTGTTATAAGCGAGTTAGATTGTAGTTAACAATAAAGCAAATAAATAATATTATTCAAAGAATGACTCAATCTTGAATCTTTCTTTACTGTCAAAAAAAAAGAAAATTATTAAACCAAAATATAAAACAGAATAGCAGAATTAGACCAAAACATAACATGAAGTATTAAAGCAACAGTTTGGAAAGCATGCCCAATTTCAAAACATTAATTCAATTTGTTATTTAAAACAAATGAAAAAAATAGATAAGCCAAACCAAACACTCTTCAATAACTTATGCATATATGGTTTTCATAAATAGAACATTAGCAGATGGACAAAATGTGGTTTTTTTTTTAAATGGTATGTTATTATTTTGTTATTTTAATATTATTATTTATGCTAAACCTATAGCCTCTGTTTGTTTTTACAAATTAGACAACTTCAATCAGCTAGTATTCCTTGTATTTGAAAATACTCATTTAATTTATGCACAATAATCTACAGTGTAACACCACATCAGATACTATAATAATGAAGTGTTTAAACATGCAAGTAATATGAAATAAGAATTGTTCTTGGATCAGCCATTATTGGTAAAATTCAGATTATTTTTAAAAAAAAACTGTTTTAAACGATTCTTTACTGCACATTCATATACATTATTAATTACGCATTATTTTTCGAGACAAATCTGCACCTACTAGATCAGCCAAAATATTTATCATAGTAATGAAATTACAATTAACTTTTTAACATCAGTCCTGGCATTTTTTAAACTTTAAATTGCAGTCTTAATCCTACATCTGAAAACTAGTTTTCCCTGCATTAATCAATGGAAAAGCAGGGTATAGCTGGAAACATTTAGTAAAATTTCGACACAATGCTTTGAGGGTTAAGTGAACAAATTTATTTAAATTTTTTGCTAATTCAAGACATCATTATTCATATTTCTACTCTTATATGCAGTGGACTACTTCTGTATACAGTAATTACTCATTTCCGAAGCTTAAAATCCTTGAAAATGTTATCATAATAATTTAACTAACATTCATTATTATTTATACTTATCGAAATGTGATACATGGTAGCTAAGAAGAAGTCGAGTATTGTCCTTGACATACTGCATTACTATACAAATTTATACAAATATTAAAATATTATTAAAATATTTCACAACACTCTAAAATTAAATATGCATGCATGAATAATAAAATTTTTACTCTACATTTAAAATAAATATTTTATAATAAAGTCTGTATTCATGAAGTGTAAAATTTTTAACAATGGACAAGACAAAAAAATCATGTATTAAAATAACAAAAAACTTTACTCAAATAATGGACCATTAACAAAGATTAGAAATCAAAAATAGTCCCACAATATCTAAAAGTAAAATAAACAAGCATAAAATTGGCAATATGTACTAACCAAAATCAAACTAAAAAAGCATAATCTTAAATTACAAGTCTTAAATTATGTTAAGTAATATAAAGTGAAACTTCCCACAAGCAACCACCTCACATTTCATCAATTCTTTGAGCATTGATAAGATTACTAATACAATTTACTCATAAGTGCATGTTTACAAACTAATTACAAATGCATAAATAAAAACTTCGTTTCTTTCGCAACAAGTTTTTTGTGTTCTTTATGATCCAACAACGCCTAAAACTTTATTGATTTGTATTTTCCCAAACCAAAAATATCCACCCACTTTCACGCTGAATTATAGAATTTTATTACGATTACATAATTATAAAATAAGGTTTTACTATACTCAAATATGAACCATATAGAGCTTTGTTATAAGTTTTATGAAATTCATAAAATTTCTTTCCAATTTGTTGCCTTTTAATTTATTTAAAAGTGATATATTAAATAGCTTAGAAATGAATGCTATTTCAAAATCTCGATTGCAATTAAAAGCTGTTTAATATTTGACATTTCTTTTTTTAAAAAAAGAGTCGTTCCTTGTTTGGCAGAAAGACACTTCCTCCTGATTAGCTAACCACAAGAATTACAACTGAATTATCATAGCTTGTCTTTTTCCCATTTTAAATCTCCGAAATTCACACCAAACAAATGAGAAAAATGCATTTATAGAACAATGAAATGAAATGGTCTCTGATGGAAGTTCCACTTGAAAAGCAGAGAGAGTCAAATACCTCCTTCAGAAGAGGAGCCATGCTATTGGTAAGTGGTGGCAGGGGAGTGGCTGATTTGAGCAAAGTTGTTAGAAGTGGTGAAATACTTGAAGGAATAGTGGTTGGTGAAAGAAATACATCAATTTTTTTAGAGGAGTTTTCAGAGCTGCGAGACGAGGCTTCAATCTTAATATTCTAGAATAAGTGATTTGGAGGTGTAAAGGGAAAAAGCAATGCTTTGAAGAAGGAAATTTTACTGAAGCATGCAGATCAGCAAAGCAGGAATAAAGCAGAAAAGTTAGCAAGTTAAATATTTTTTAAAAAATAATATGAAAAAAAGCACTCATAAATATTAGCTTTAACCTATTTAAGAGTAATGTATGCAGAAAAAATACATAACATTCTTGATCATATCAAGTCAGGTAACAATAAAGAGTTAGGAGAAATCGCTCTAACAATTAGGAATCGTTCACAATAAAAATTTGGTCTATTAAAATACTTTTTAAAGTTTAAATTCGCAACACTGAAGTTATTTCATTTTAACACATATTTAATAATCTAACAAAACGTTTAGACATTAAAACTATCAATAATGCATTAAGTAGTTGTTCACATGAGAATAAGGGGAAACAAATACAAAGAGTAAAGATAAACGATAGGGATTAATAGGGAGAATAAGTTACAAAATATTAAAAAATCGAAAGAGAATGAGGTTAAAAAATAAACTAATTTTATATTTTTTAAAAAGTGAACATCAAATATAAAATTTCAAAAAAATTCAAAATACTTTTTTTTAACACAGAAATTGTTTTAATACAACTTTAACAAAACTTCAGTTTTAGTTAAATAACAATAGTGCAGATATAACTCATAAAAAATCTGCTGAAACAGATGTGGACATAAAATTAGAAACTGATCCAACGCAATTAATGATTTAACTGGATCATAAATTCAAAAAAGGATTGTTTCATTTATTATTATGTGTTTACACACGGGTATTATGCAAACATATATAAAAAAAACTTCTTATATTGTATATATTATATCTCTTGAGTCTTCTCATTCGTACCAATGCATATTTTTTGTGAATGTTTTTAACACAAATGAAAGAATATATATTTTAAAGAACTTCTATTGACTCCACAAATATTAAACCGTTGAATGTTGACTTTGAAGAGAAAGTTATTATTTATCCTGAGAATGTTTTTTTAGAATCTACCTCGAAATCTCAAAACACAAAGTCATTTTATCCAGATATTCACAGTGGATAATGTTTTGAAAACTAGTAAGCCTTTACTAATGCATGATTTACTAAGTACCAAATTAAATCTCCATAAATGTGATACAGCGCCTCATGTTCTTGATCTTTAAATAATAGGTACCCTGAATATAATGGTATATAGTGAAAGCTTGTTTTCTAATAACCAATTTAGTGCTGGTGTGCGACCTATTTACCCTCTTACTCTTCAATCAGAAGTTATTGAACAGCCTTTGATGGAGAGGTCTTGACAATACACATAGCTCGGGAACAATTAATTATTCAACGTGATAGATTTCAAAGGGGAGTGACATCATGAACAGCTGCCCCCCCCCCTCAAATTCTTTTCCCTCTGACATCTGGTGTCTCCCTTCAAAATTCTTAGAACTCTAAGCAGGTGTAGAAGGGGTAGAAAAACTGGAATTTTATAGAGGCTACATGGGTATTCAGAAAAGGCAGACGAGAAGCGGACCTTGTGCCGTTCTCGATTGAGAAAATAATTATTTGATGATTATTAATGTAGTGTTCGGGGGAAAGTGATAATTTTTCTTGAACTCTGGAAATGTATATATAATTGTATAAAGAGCTGTATACATAATTGTTATCTAGAAAATTCCATTAAAAAATTTATTTTAGATAAGAGTGGTAATTTTGGATCTCAAAACGTACCAAAATCTTAACAGGGCTATCCATTCAAAAGCTGCTGTCCAAGGGCCGGGATATCCTGGTTGGTAGGGCTCTCGGCCCATGTACAAGAGGTCGTGGGTTTGATTCCCACCAGTCAAATGGCGACTGATGCACACTAAATCTGTCGAGTCACAAAGTCCTCCGTGTTCCCATAACAAATCATACCTCTCGAGTGGGGATATTGATCCAGGAACTTCCTAGTTTTCTGGATTGGTTCAAAATTATAAGGGCGCGGAGTCTAACATCAGCAGTCATAAACCCAAAATTGGGCCAGCTATTCGATGACAGTTATAAAATAAAATAATAGCTGCTATCCAGTGCATTGGATTGATTGGATATCTTGGATTGGATATTTGGATCCATAAAAAAGTTGTATAAGACCTTTTTTTGTCAGCGGGTCACTGTGCTAATAAAAAAGCTGACAAAGAAGAGTACTAATGTTTTTCATATTATCAAAATTTTCTTTTCCTTTTGACATGAAGAGGTGACTAAATCAGTCATGAAAAGCTGGTCATTCGTAGAGAAACTTACTGGGGGCATTTGCCATGTCCCCACTCAAAATTGATGGATGGCCTAATGTATGGATGAACCACCATGGGAGGTCACTTGAGACAATGACTGTTCATTTATTTTCTAACTAGCTGAATACCCGTTCTCAATACAGGATGAAATCAATCAGTAAATCTGTACTATGCACAAAACTGAAAGACATACATCAACATAATGGATGAAGCTAAAATTATTCCAATTTTTTTTGGTTGTTATTATTTTTTGTTCTCACTGATGACTTTATGTTACTAGATTAAAAACACCTTTTTAGTAGTTCATCCCATCAAAATAACAAATAACCGTTTTCTGTATCATTTGCATCCACCCTCCAAATTTCAGGACAACAGTTCGGGAGAGACAAAAGAACCCTTGATTTTAGCATTGTAGATTGTTACTTCTTATGTTACTTTAGTTGTTACATTTTATCAAGTTCTCTACGATTGAAAATAAAAAAATCTTAAATATATATGTTTTTTCATCTATCTCTGTAAAATCATCATCACAATTGATTTTGCAGTAATTACTGTTTTAAATTTAGAAAAACAACTATAGAGAAGAAGAAAAATATAACTAAACTGAAGTTTTGGGACAACTTTGTGACACTTTAATACAATTTTCAAAACTGTATTATCTTTGTTAAATGCGTGGAATGTATAGAGATATGTAAAAAACAGAGTTGGCATGATTAAATCACTTGATTTAAATTCTTTGGCTTTTTTTTTAAAAAAAATTATTCAAACTATCATCAGTCAAAAATATTTCTTATATAGTTCAATTTATTAATATTTTTAAAATTGAGATTTCTTCAAGTCATTGATTATAGAAGATTTTATCCAGAAAAATAATGAGAAAGGAATGCATGAAAATTATTATTTGATGTTCAAAATAGACTATTAAATAAAATAAATAACTAATCTAAAAGTAACTAGTGTTATTTATTAAGTGATTAGTTTCTAAAAATTCAATATTAATTTAAAACATTTAAATTAGAAATATTAAGTATTTTTGTTATAATATTATTTTTGATTAAATATTAAGCATAATTAATATATTTAATCAGATCTTTGATGGGTAAATGTGTAAAAAAAAAAAATTATTACATCAAAAAAGAAAATCTGGAAGAAAAAAAAATGATTTTACCTACCTGGTAAAAGAAATATACAAGAGGTTCATTTGTTAAAAATTAAAATTTATAGATTTTCAATTAATAATTCTAAAAAAGCATATTTATTTTTAAAAAATGCTGCACACCTTCTTTTAAATTCAATATGATAGTCTGCAACATTATATACTACTTACAAAAGGATAAAAAAATAATCGATAGCTTTATAAATAAATATTTAATTATCCGAGAATATAATAAAAAATATTTGCACTAAAAAAAATAATAATAATATAAAGTTACGTCTTTAAGAGGAGAAGTGGATAATGGCGGCAACTGTGGTGAACTAGATGAAGTAATAGTACGCAACAGTGATGTCAAAAGGGGTGATGTTGGTGGAACAGAGGCTGGCATTGTCACTTTGCTGTCAAGAAGAGCATTCAAACTAATGTTGGTGTCCAGTTCACTTTTGATTTTAATATGTTTTGTTGATGCAGCTAATTCTTCTTCTTCAATCTAGAGATAAGTTTTTAAAAAATGAAATAACTCTTAATTATATAATTGCATTTACAAAATTCATGAGGTATCATGTAGGACATAAATATTAAACACTCTAAAATTACACTACATTTTAGCATTCATATCTCTGTATAACATGCAACATCAAATACATTTAATCTAAAAACAGAAATTGAATATTAAACACAAATAAAAAAAAGGTACTTTCGGGTAACTGGGTGCAAGAAAATTCAACATTTTTTTAAAAAACTTCTTTATGTAATTTTTTGTGAACATCCATTTGTTCAGTGCTTAAAAAAAAATAATTGGTGGAGGTTTACATTTTTTGTCGACTTTTTGCTTGCACCCAGCTAATTGAAAAGTACAGAAAAGAATGTTTATGGTTTAATTGTGAATTAGTATGAGCTAGAGATTTTAAACAATGAATTAATATATAAGACTCCTTAGAATCATTTTATATTGAATATATGCCTATATATTAAGAAAAGTATTTTGCAAATGTTCAAACAGTTAAAGCCCAAAAGTTGCTAATCTTTAAGAGAAAATTACTGCTGATGCAGACTTAATAGAATGAAGAGCTGTAAGAAACAATAAGCTTTCAGCAAAAAGGCATCACATTATGACTTAGGGAACAAAGAAAATTTTTAAAAAATTGATGTTTACATAGTAAAAAAATAAATAAAACATTTATTACATTAAAATAATTACACTATTCCAGGGGTAGCACCCACTTTGGAAAAAATTTCCTTGGTGACCATTTCACTCAAAAATAGAGACTTATAAGAAGAGCTTAAGAATGAAAAAAATATCACTTTTTCAATACTTTAACTTAAGAAGAAAAATGATACCATTTCATACAATAATACTAAAATATGAATTAGAGTTACAATTTACCTTAAGTAAAGAGATATTTAGTCTTTGTTCATAAAAATGGGCCTCATTTCATTTTTGTAAAATGTTTTTAACCATCAAACATAAGGTTTGATAAAATTCAATCATGGTTAGATGAATGGATAAAAATGGATTTGAAGTGAGCTTTTGTCTATCTTGCATAAATGAGGGATGGAATTGAAAAAAAGGTGATTAAAAGGATAATAGAAATTTTTTGTGTTTGAAAAATGGAAAATACAGGAGGGGGGGGGACAAAATAATGGAAACACTTCTATACTAATAAATTTTTTCATACTTCTGCAGAAATACTTAAAGAATCCTTTTATAACTTCAGATCATGCAATTTCTCATACGTATCAATGAAGTTTAAAGCCTTTAGAGGTTTGAAGGACCAATAACTTACAAATGGAAAATGTTTTTGAACACCCTATGCCAAAAAAATGCAGCAATAAATTTTTAATTTGTAACAATTATTTTAGTCATTGTATGCAACAATTGCACAATTTCGCAATTGCACATTGTATGCAAAATTTCGTTATCCTAGCTTAAATATTATAAATAAGCAGAAATAAGTATTATAAATAAGCCTAGCTTAAATATTATGGAAATTAGGACATTTTTATAAAAAACTAACTTTTATTGACTTCAGTTTTTTTTGTGCCATAACTTTTAAATTTTCAATAAAATCAAACAAAATTTTTAGACCAATTTAAAACTAATTACAAAATTTTTGCTCTAAAATTTGAAAACAATTTTTTGAAAACTGTGCGGAATATAAGTAATTAAAGTAGTTCTTTTATACACAGCATGTATAGAAAATTTTTTTTAAAAAATTTAGAAAATTTTGTAGTGAATCGTATTTAGCAACTAATGAAAAAAAATTTATTTGAATACCTTAAAAATTTAAAGTTTCAAACAATTTCCTGAGTAGTTTTTGCCTGTTTTAAAAGAAAGCTCAAAATAATAAAAGATTTCTTACAAATATTATATGGTATCATCAGACTAAATTAAATAACAAATAATAATACCTTACAATAAACGTTCATTCACCAAAATGTGATGGCATAATCAAAGAAAAGATACTTTTGGGGGGGATGATCCCTAACAATGTCGGTGTCATTTTTAATAAATCTTGTTTTAACAGTACGAAGCAACATTTGTGGAAAATCCCTTATTATTTTGAGTTTTCTTTCAAAAAGTATGAAAATTAATTAGAAAATTGCTTGAAACTTTTTTAATTTTTAAAATACTAAAATTGGAATTTTTTTTATTATTTGCCAAAACCGATTCATTACAGAATTAAGAAGAAAAAAAGCTTACATTTTTTCTACTCATGCACAGTATAAAAGAACTACTTTAATTAGTCCCATCTTGCACAGTTTTAAACAATTTTTCTCACATTTTAAAACAATAATTTGTAACTAAGTTTAAATCGCTCCAAAAATTTTATTTTTATTTAATACTTTTAAAGTTAAAACAAAAAAAAGTAGGACAAAAAAATTAGTTTTTTAAATGTGCATTTTTCCATAAATATTCAAGATAGGATTATGAAATTTTGTTCAATTATCACATATAATATCCAAAATAATTGTTAGAAGTTACAAATTTATTGCTAATTTTGTGGCATAGAGTGCTCAAAAAAACAATTTTCCGTTTGTAATTTATTGTTGGCCCTCAAATCTCTAAAAGCTTTAAACTTCATTGATAAGTATGACAATTTGCACAACCTAAACACTTCTAAATTTATAAAAGGATTCTCTAAGAATTATTTGAGAAAGATCAAAAAGTATGTTGATATCGAAGTGTTTCCATTATTTTGACCAATTCCTGTACATACATTTGCCAGCATTTTGTGCAGGGTTGGCTTTTTGGCGTCAGAAACTGGTTTTTGCCATGCCATTGGCAGAAACTGATTATAACCGGTAAAAACCGGCAAAACTGGCAGAAACTAAAAAAACATCGATATTAGTTCTAGTAATTGCTTAATCAGGGTGGCCACTCAAAACAGATTTCAAATTTCCCTGATTTTTCCAGGTTTTCCAGGCAAAATTCTTAAAATTTCCAGGTTTGTGTTTTTTTCCTTTTTTCTTATAAAGTGTAGGATGTGTACAAGAAAAGTGTCTGCATTAAAAAATATCTTATTCAAAATGTCATTTTTTTAAACATATCTTGAAAAATTTTTTATTTTTTTACAAGATATTTTTTTATTATTTTTTAATGTTCTGGTACAACATTAATTNTTTGAGAGAATCTTCTCCAATTTCTCTTTCGTTTCATAGCAAATTGAGAAATTGTTTAGGTTTAGAAACTGCATCAAAACTTATCCTTTGTTATACATTACTGCAGAGTGCAAACAATGTAATATTTGATTTTGAATGCTGATAATTTTGTAAATAAATTGTACTTTGTTTAACATTTAATTGTTTTTTTTATGAATTATCCATTGTATGTCAATCTCAGTACTTACTTTTATGTCATTTTCTGAATTTCTGCCAGTTTCGGCCACAAATGTGGCAGAAAAAGGTTTCTGCCATGCCAGTTTTAACCGGTTTCTACCAGTGGTTTTAACTACCTCGGCAGAAACTTGCCAAACAAATTTTTTCCTTGCCCAAATAAAAATCTCAAAATATAATTATTAAATAAAGAATATAAATAAGAACATATAATAATAAATAAATCTAATTTATAAAGAATATATAAATTAGAACAAAAATTATTTTACAGAATTTTCCTAAAATTAAGTTGGTTGATAATTTGATTTGGTAATAGATTTTATTTTATAATAATAGAATTGGAAGTTTTTAATAAAAACTGCAATAATCTAAAGAAAGCATATGCCTAAATGCAGATGGTATTGGGTACTAGAAGTTAAAAAGAAAAAATTTCTTACAAAATTTTTATTTCCTACTATAGTTCTTAATTTACTAAATGCATTTAGAAAGAAAATAATTTTTTTTTTTTTTTTTTAGTTGGAGATTGGGGTTGGCGACCCAANAAAAATTTTTTATTTTTTTTTTTGTCTTGTCTATAGTTTTTTTGAAGGTTTTTAACATTCCTTTCAAGTTCTGTTTCCTCTGACTTCCACGACTCAAAACCATACATCATAGCTTTCAGTTTTCTTCCAAATTATTTTTCGAAATTTCACTCTTTAACCTAACTTGCTTAAAGAAATAAGCTTTCCATGGTCTCGTTTTGTTATCGTTCCTTTATAGCTACTTTCTACTCCAGTTTTATATTTTCGATATCTGTTTTCATCTTCTTCACAATTTTATTATCTTCTGCGCTTCAGCGGCTCTTTAATTCTGTTTTTTTTTTAAATAATATTTCTTGCTTTTGTTTATCAGAGTACATGATGTAACTGTGTTTTGAGGAACCAATTTTGAGAGCTCTCAGGTACTTACAGGTGCACAAACAGGATCATTACAGAACATCTTTAAGACATCCACAATATTTAATCTACCATTCAAAGTCCTTTCATTCAATGAAACTCTTTCTTTAGTTAAAATTCCCTAAAGACAAAAAAAAAATCTTCTCTTGACACTAGCAATTGTATGATAAATACAAAGGCACACTTTTAATTTTTTTTTTTTTTTAACTGGGAAATTTTTCCTGTCCCATAAAATATTTCATTTTGAAACTCCGGAAATGGTATATTCTTGCTGCTGATGTTGTCTTAACATGTTCAAACCCTAACAACTTCCACTCATCTAGAAGGACATAGACAACAATTTCTTCTGGTAGTGCTGTAGCAATTTATGTGATATATTTTGAGCATTTTTTCTATAACTAATTTACAACATTTTACATTTTTTATAGCTAAAAGTTTTTTATTCACAATCAAAATTGCAAGAAGTTATTTCTTGTCACGCACATGTTGTCTTGCAGACACGATCCACCCATGTCCACATGAACGGGATTGGAGAAGATATATTGTACATCTTCTATAGAGGAAGCGGAAAAAAATCATCAGCTGACATAAAGAGCAGGCGATCCATCAGTGTTTAGGCATTCAAAGGAATTTTCTATTAGAATGTGAGTTTACTTACACAGGGTTGCCACAGAAAAAAATGAACAAAATAGTTGCTTTTAGTAGCCTAAAGCATGAAAATAGTAGCCAAAAACTAGGAAAATAGTTGCCTAACTAAGAACAAAAATTCATCAAAAATAGGACTAAAATTTTGTTAATGACTTAATTGTCATATACCATGATCCATTCAGTCAAGTTATGACAAATAGGATAATTTTTATATAAACGTTAATGTTTATATAAACGTTAATGTTTATATATATATATGAAAAGTGATTACTCCAATTCGAAATATTGTATTAAATTTATTTATTTATTTTAAATCATGCAGAATTTTGTAGCAATAATCATTGAAAAGGCGATCGATAAATAAAATAGACTTACAATGGAGTCTGTGCAGATTGAACGAATTAAAAAGTGAAGACTCAAATTTGCAATTCAAAATTTTCAACATTTTTTATTTTTTAGGGAAAAAAAAGTTCAGTGTGTTCCAAAACTATCTTGTGGGGTGCAGATTTTCCACCCAATTTATGCTTAAAGAAAAAACATCGCTAGGAGTACAGAAAAGTCTCCCAATAGTCTCCTTTTCCTGAAAATAGTTGCTTTTTTAGCCTTTTCAGGCAAAAAAAGTTGCCAAAGTCGCCTCATGCCAAAAATAGTTGCATTTAAGTTGTCTGTGGCAACCCTGCTTACACATCTTTTTTCATGGTTTCATCTGATTTATTGGTCTCATGCCAAATTCCACATGAGAAGAAATTCATTCCTATAAAAAAATTCAGTTTTGGGCAGAATGTCATCCAACGGCATTGAGCAGTGCATTTAGTGATTTTTTGGTGCTCGTAAAAAAACTCCAACTATTTCATAGAAAAAGTGACTTTTCTAATAAAATAGTGACCTTACTTAAAAAAAATTTCGTTGACTTTTAGTGGCCCAGTGCAACCACTGTTATTCTAATCATAAATTAAGAATTAAAAGGAAGAAAAAAAGACTGTGAAAAAGAAGAGTTCTTTAAAAATTTCCATCCAATTTGTTTTAGAATTTTCTTTTTAAGACAAGAAATTTTTAGTACAAAACATCAAAACTGTGCAGATCTACATACCTATGGAAACTTATGTTTCTGTGTCTTTTGTAAAAATAATATTAGTTACAGAAGATTTATTTAAAGCGAAAAATTCTTGGTAGTGGGTGACTCATATCGCTGATAACCAATTATAGAAAAAACAAAATTCCCTTATTTTTTAAACATCAACAAATAAATGAAAGTTTTATTTTATACATACATATTTCTATTTCAATTGATACTAAAAAAAATAGTGTTATAATAAATAAAAAGGAAAACAAATTGTAAGGAAAAAAGAAATAAAATTTTTTTGTGTGTGTGTCTGGAAAATCTACTAAAGTGACTGCAGCAATTTTCTTCTGATAAATTGAAATTAATAAATGTCATAAAATGTCAAGATATATATATTTAGGCAGAGTGATTAAAATAATATTGTTACTAATCAATGAATTCATTATTAAGATTTAAAAAAAAACTGTTGAAAAAAAATACCTAAAATCAAGAGAATAGTAAACTGACCTCTTTTTTTATATTCTTAACGACTTCAGCAACTGCAGCTTTACTGGGAGAATCTTCAGCTACTTCGGGAAACAAATGTTTCTTTTTGGAATCGAAAGCTTTCGATCCTTTACCTTTTGCCAGGCGACTCTTATTCAATTTTTTTGATGAATTTAATGTTTCTCGTTTTGAAATATATTCAGCATACTTCTGTTCTTCCCGTTTTTCCTTTCTAAATTATTAAAAAAGAACACCTTTGTAAGGAATAAAAATAACTAATTAAATATACTAAGGATAAATTATAATTATATTAATAATGTGACAATTTTCAATCATGTTTTAAAGAGTTTTTTTTTATCTTGTGCTAAATAAATTTTGGCATTGATCTTTTTTAAAAACTTGAAATTTCATACACAAAACCTTATGATTTTTTAATAAATTTAACTCATTTTAAAACTGCACAAAAACAATCATTTATTGAGAATATTTAGACAGTAAACTGTAGTAAAATGATATTGAAATTTTAATATTGCAATATTTTCTAGATTAAATTTATATCATTTAAATAAATATTAAAGTAAACTAGTTCTAGTTTATATTAAATAATAGCTTTATTACTAATGATGAAATTAATCAATATTTATGATACTGTATTTGATAGTTATGGATATAAATAGTACTCGGTTAAATTTTTGATAATTTTGTAGTCGATAATGATTACGTAACTATTATTACCAATAATACTCAATAGGAATATCAAAAATATTGATGTTTCCCATTTTATTGTCCAGTTCTAGTAAACTTCCAGTTATTAGCAGAATTAGACATCACAACAACAAACGATAACGAAGTTTTAAAATTAATCACCAAAGTGGATGAAAAAAATTGCAGAAATAACACTAACTTCATTGATGAGTGGACTATAAATACTAAATGCTGGAGCAAACATAACTAATATAAAGTTGTAAACATAAAAATGCAGGATATGCTTAGATTCTACTTAATATTTATGACTTACACATGCATAACTAATAAATGAATTAAATTGATAAAAAACAACACTAAAACTGAACAGAAATACATAAATAAAAAGGAAATTGAGGAAGTAAAACATTTTACATATCCCCGTATCAACATATTTGTGGGACTCATAAAGATGTTGCTTAAATAATAATTAAAAACACAATTAACGTTGAAGTCACTCAATAAAATATGGAGATTAGGCAACGTTCAAACAAAGCTAAAACTGAAAAACCGGGCAGAACTGGACCGGAAGGGATGGTATGCTTCGCTTGTGGCCTCATGTGCCACACGAACACAAGGAGAATTAAGTCACATCAAAAGTCATGTAATTCTCAACCCAAATGAGGGGGTGCCAACTACTCCGCTTTCTGAAAAAAGTTTTAATAAAGTGGTAACAAATGAAATTGTAAGCCTTGTAGAATAAGGATAATTACGCTTACTTTTTAAAAGTGTCGCCACATGATAACTGCAATAAAGTTACATTTCTTACGATACTTAGAATATTTGATATGTAGTGGTGGAAAAATTACTTAAAGTAAAAAATACTAAACTAAAAATAATTTAATTTCGCTACCACTAGAAAATATTTTTTTACAAAGCGGAGAAAGTTGGCATCTCTGCAAATGCAGAAAAGAAAAGAAAAAATAAATCTAAGCAACAACTGATACATAAAAAAAATCAAAATATTAAAATTTTCAAAAAAATCTATTACTAAAATTACTAATACACTATCAGATTAATCTGATTTTTGTGATCAAATTTTTGAAATAAAAGTTTTTTTTTTATTGATTTTTCTTTTCAATTTATGAAATTTTTTCCCCATATTGTACGATTACATTTCCCTAATAACACTGAACACACAACCATAAACAAAAACTGCAAAACGAAATAGTTACAAACAATTGCACACTCTACTGCTGGCCGAACCAGATCAGTGCCTTAATGTAACTTGGCACTGTTGCAAAAAAGTTCATCTTTTTGCTGAGAGTAAACCAAGGAGAGAGATGATTAGTAAAGTATAAAAAAATAATAATAACTTCCTAAAGCGATGTTGTTGTTTTTTCGATGGCTTAAAAAAAAATTAATTCCTGTATTATTATTTTTTTAATTTCTGTCATATTTTTATTAATTTACAAGACAGTACAGTAATCAAAGTAATAAGTCTTGTTTATTGGAGTAAAATATATTTTCTTTATTGGTGTTATGGTGTTATTAAAGGAAATTCTATGAATGCAAAGTATAAATTAATCATTAATTTAGGGGGGGGGGAAGATTGTAGCATATTCTATTAAACTGTCTTGGCACAGATTACAAACTAAATTGGTAGGAGGAAATGATTTTAGAAGAAAATATTGCAGTACAGTGGGATTGAGACCACACTTTAATTTTTACACCATAAAAAAAAAAAATTTACTCCTACAGCATTTTTAAAAAAGGGCTGCAATAGTGAAGATTTAAGGCAGAGAATAATTATAGCAAGAACAAGTTTAAAGAACTGCATAAATTCTGGAGAGGACCAAATATTGAAATAAAAGCAAAAGTTGTAGTTTACAAAGCAATTGTTTGAGAGATTTTACTTTATGGTTCATAAACATATTAACAGACAAAAATGGAAAATAAAAATTAGAAACACTTCAGAACAAATGTCTGGGATTTATTTTTAAATTTTTTTGGCCACACAATTTAAGAAAAAAAAATTTTTTTTTGAGAGAGAGAAAAAAAAAGCCAAAATAAAGACTATAGAAAAGGGAATTCTTACATTGAGATTAAGCTGGCTGGGTCACTTAACTAGTAATCCTAAAAAAATTAGCATCTATTGTTCTCACATAGGTCCCTGAAGGAAAAAGAACTAGAGGAAGACCTGAGCTTACTTTACAGTGCATGATGTTAAATGAGTTGAAGAACCCAGAGATTTCTGAATGCTGATTGATACTAAGTGCAAGATTAGATAGAGATATGCAGGAAAGCATGAAAAGGAGCAACAATTTGTGGCATGTGCAGTGGTTGACAAATAAAAATACTAAGTTTTAAGTGTTTTCTTAAGAATTTAAAATAGAATACATATTTTTGGGGTGATTGTTTTGGATATGTTAATAATTCTAGGAGTGGTCACTTTTTCTAATGGCTGATTTTTCATACAAAGGAGATTTTTGAATGTTTTCTAATCAATAACAGTAAACAAAAAATAAAAAATTTTAAAAATTGAAATTAGTGTTGCATTTTTTACACACAAGATTTTGTCCCAGAACCAGATAGTGATCTTTTGATAAGTGAAAAGTTAAACTAATTTCTTCACCTTGCAACCTTAATATACTGTGTGAAATACTTTTCATTTTTCTTTAAATTCATTTATGGAAGTAAAAAAAAGCTATTACCGTATTAAATATTTGTATGAATAAAGGAATTTTATATTTAAGCTTTAAAAAAACAAACCTCTTTTCAATGATTTAATGAGAAGAAACTATTACTACAGGCACAAGTAAAAACAAACATATAAAAACATTTTTTGATATTAATCTTTTATTAACTATATACTAAATAAATAAAATGAGAATGAATAGCAATTTCTTTGAAGCAGAAAGCAATTTCATTTATATCAATTACATTATAACTAAAAAATAACTTCATTTATATCAGTTACACATTGCTGAATAAATTTCTCAAAAAAAAAATAATTTATGCTTTGACTGCCTTTTTTCTTGTGTTAATACAAAACTATTTTTCAATGTAATGAATATTTGATAGAAAATATATTGTACAGAAATATATTAAATGAAAATATATTGTAAGTAGTCTTAATATCAACAACTAATTTTAATTAAAGTACACAAACTATTTATGCCTTGATAGTCATATTTAACAATTTTTTAAAAAAAATATCATTAAATTCAAGAATGTTATAACTTTGATAGGGTGACCCAGGGTAATTCATGATCAGTCTGTTTCTGGGGTAAATAATGATCACCTAAGTTTTATTTTAAAAAAATTATTTTTCTTTAAATTTGAGACATGGACAAGAATGCTTGTACACTTTACTACAATATAACTACATTTACTTAATAATAGTTTTTTGTTTAATGTAACAAAATGAGCATCTTTTAAACTGTTCTGTGTATTTTCCATTTCAAAGATGGGTTTCAAAATGTGCACTAAATAATAAATATTAAATCTAAATAATAAATATTTTGAGTTACTTTCTTTATCTTTGATATGAAAATAGTGTAAGCTTTTGTTTAATTGTTTCACATCTATTGTAAACATTATAATTTATTATAGGAAACTATATCAAATGTTGCCCCCTACAGATGGGGTAATTATTGATCACTGGGGTAATTCCTGATCATTGTCATTTCTTTTTATAAATAGTATTAAAAATAGCTAATAAATAGCTAGTTGTCTTTTCTTAAATGACAGTTCAAATTTATTAAGTGGAACAACTATAAAATATATTTTAGCTGTAATCACAAAATTTGTTTTTAACTGTATGCAAGACAAATGTGTTCTGATATGCACCATTTCTGGTTTATCTTACCTTGCTTCTACTTAATTTTATATGTGTACATTGTTAGAATAATTTTTAAGTTTATAAATTAACCTAATATAAGTATGGTGAGAAATTACGAGTCTGAAGAGGATACTAAGCTTCTAGAAAGCAAAATTAGTGAATTTCTTTTAATGATTGAAAATGAAAATTTCAGTGTGAGGGCTGATGTCCGAGCTGTTGACATACCTTACTAAACTTCACTTTCACTTAATGGAGATAAAAAAAAATCCAGCAAAAGAAGCCCATGTGGGAACTCTTTCTTATATTCCAGCAGAACATGAGAATGAGTTGGCTGCTTGCCTAAAATGTATGGCACGTTGCAAAGATTTTTGGAAAATTTAAAGTGTTAATCTTTATTCTTGCTTTTAAATAAATCGTTTTATTGGCTGCTTAAACATATCTTTTTGGTTTATTTATTTGATCTTGATGTCTTAATTGTTAATTACCATTGTTTAATTATTTTTAAACGGTCTCTTTACTATAAAAACTGGTTATCAGTAATTACCCCAGAAGTGATCAGGAAGTACCCCAGAAATGATCAAGAGAAGGGGTAATTCCTGATCACTAAAAATTTAAAATCTTTTAAATTGTAATTAGATTTTCAAACAAAAGAAGGTAACTTAGGACTCATCTCATATANAATTACCATTGTATAATTATTTTTAAACAGCCCCTTTACTATAAAAACTGGTGATCAGTAATTACCCCAGAAGTGATCAGGAATTACCCCAGAAATGATCAAGAGAAGGGATAATTCCTGATCACTAAAAATTTAAAATCTTTTAAATTGTAATTAGATTTTCAAACAAAAGAAGGTAACTTAGGACTCATCTCATATAGCCTCAAACTACCAGTAAATATTCAAATTCTATCTTGAATAGTTTTTTCACAAAATAGATGTTTGCATTTTTTTGATCAGGAATTACCCCAGGTCACCCTATATTTAAATAAATCAAGTTTTTAGCTACTAATTATGAAATAATAACACTTTTGCTTTAATTGAACTGATTTAATTGACAACTTTGTTTCAATTGACATGTACATATGATAAAACTGCAGATAACCAAGACCTTACAAAACATTAATAAGAGATACTTACTCTTCAAGATTTTGTAACATATCATCAAGCTGGTCATCAAATTCCCCATTTTCAACCATATCAATATATGATTTCAAAACACTAATATGAAATAAAGCATAAAATAATTAATATCTTTCAGTATAAGTATTTCAGAAAAAAACAACAAAAAAATTAACATATTTCTGCTATTAGATGCTTTAGGGTGATGTAAAAAGCTCGTCAATCTCTAATTCATGCGACCGCAGATCAATTGCTTATTGTTATCAAAATCACTGGATTCCGATACATTAAAGTTAACACTTTCGGTGATCATGTCTACCAGTGTTTCTGAAAATCCTCTAAACTTCTAAAGAATTATTCACCGTGTATTTAGAGGGATCTGCAACATTGTTTGAACCCTCTTTTAGCCTAGAGTGGTCATGCAATAACAGATAAATAGAAATGTCTTTATGTAAAGTGAGGTTTTATCTGAACCAAGAATGAGTGTGTTAACGATCCTGCTTGCTTTCATAGAGTTTGACGATAGCTGAAAGCAAACTGATTTAACATTAAAACAAAAAACTGATAAATTACGAAAAATAAGTCGAATCTCAGTTTCCACTTGGAAAAATTAATACATTTGTAAATTTATCTAATTTCTCAATTTGCTTATTGTTATCAATCAGTTAATGTTATCAAAATCCTTGTACACCAAAGCATTCAAAGGGGACTTCTGCATTTTAAAGTGTTTTTAAGACTTAAATACGTCAAAAATATTTTTACTTCGTTTATACAAAAATTTACAAATTAAAATTCAAAAATTAATAAATTGTTAATAATACAATTAAAATTATTAAAATTTTAAACAAGAAAAATTCAACACTTTTTGGAATCAGGTCAAGTTTTTCTGTAGTCAACACATTTGGCATTGAATTGAAAAGCATTTAAAAATGGAAACTAAAATGTAATAAAAAAAAGTTTTTTTCAGAATTTTCTTTCCATCACAGCAACTAAACTCTGTTTCCACATGATTACGATGCATACGAACGTAGGAGCTGGCTTTTGAAACCCCCAAATTTTGCGAAAATCAGGGAGTCGACCTACGTTCATTTAAGTCAGACATTTGTTGATTGTGAAATATCGATTCCTTATAAACAATGAAATAGATATGAATCAATTTACACCTTTCAAAAACTCATTTTAATAAGTTATATGCAAGTCATTTTGAATTCGCTTTTATCATATTTTCTGTACGCATTTAAGGGTTTTTTAGAAACACTTTAAATTACAATCAGAAAAAATTAAGAAAACTTGATATTAAGAGTATTTCAAAGTGTATAAGACAATGAAAACTTACAATAAACAAGGTATCTGCCACATTTTAGATTTTCAAATCCATGACTTTCTATGTTTAATTCCAAGAATTTTTCACGACTTAACAAAGTTAATATTTTCTCGGACAAAAACACAACAATAAATTTAAAAAGGCATTATAATAACATTAATTGAAATGATAGGTGTAACCAAAACTGTTATACTCTGCATCTTCATATTTATAGATTTTAAATTTAAAAAACAAAGTAAAGAAAGAGTTGAAGCAATAAAACAGTTGAAAAATACAAAAGCAAATAATTTTTTTACTTTTTTTTTCTGCAGAATTATATTCTAAAGATACTCTTCTTAGAAAGAAAAAAAAATATTCCTGACTTTTCCGTTCTCATTTCGGAATTTAAAAAAATTCGCCTACGACTGGCTTTTTTCAGCAAGAATTTTAAATTGATAAAATAAAAATTCTGAAATCACAGAAGTTTAGAAGATAATTCCCTCTAGAAGTGATGTTTTTTCTTTCATTTCATTTTTTGAAAGAACACCATAATTTTTAAAGAAAATGATAAAAACATTTCATATTTTAATAAAATATGACCGTGATGGGGATTTTTTTGCTAATTAAAATATTCGGAGCACCATGAATTTGGAGGGGGAGGGGGTAAATTCCATTTCAAATATTAGATTTTTCGGCTACCTTAATCCATGACTTTCCATGATTTTTCTTAAAAAAATAGTTAAAATCCTGACATTTCATGTCAAATTTTGTTCAATACCAAAATTCATGACTTTCCAGGTGTGCGGATACCCTGAATGAAAAACTCCAGAACATTATCTGTAATAGATTCAATAATGTTATGCATATTTATTTGAACAACCAGAGAGAAATTTGTGAAACACTTATATTTTGAAAAAATTTTGTAAATTTTTGTTTTTAATTTCAAAAATTTTAATCCTGTTTTTTTTTTAGCGATCCACCTATACACCCGACAAACCAGAAATTTGTTATCACATAAAAAAAAACAGGGGGTTGATTTATACTCCAATATGTTTAGTAAAAGTACTCTGGCAACAGTCAAAAGATCATGATTAAGGCATGATAGAGGTGAGTATTACACACAGGACGCCTTTACATTCCAACCTAGGTGGGTGGACTTCAAGCAGCCCCTGTTCTTCACAATCATAACCTTAAATACTCTGAACTAATCAGGAAATGTATATTGTAAAATAACAGTACCTTCGATGGTGGATAAAAATACTAAAAATTAATAATAACTTTGAACGTACATTTGTAATTATACTTTAGTTAAAACCTTCTTCCCTGATACCTCTAAAAAACAAGCATCTTTTTAAATAGGTCAGGAGAAGACCAATTTTTAATATATCTCTGGGGTTTTAAAAAATAATAATGAGGTTTAAAAAAAATGAGTACAATTTTCATTTTTTAAAAATGACTCACTTCTAAGAACAATTCTATTGAAAATCGGATCATGTCCAGATTAGGAGTTTACTTTTAATAGTTATGAAAAAGTAGTGGAAGACTTCATCATTTTCCTTCTTAGTTTATATAAAAATTAGAGGAAACAGTTTCTCAAACAGCATATAGCTTATTAATAACAATGTGAAACATTATTTTGAAACTGATTATATTACTTACTTTGCGGCAGATTTGGTTTGCTGATTTAACCATGCAAGCTCGCTTAATCGTTTGTCAGTTAGGTTTTTGACAAGCATAGCTTCTGAAGTTTCCCTCTCTGTTCTAGGTACAGATTTTTTTCTATGTCACCAGAAAAAAAAAATTTTATTGAATTTATTTAGACAATCTGTATTGAACCATTTTATTACAAAAATGTATGAACTCACTTAGAATCTTCATCAATTTCACTAAGTAATTTTGTGTACTGCAGAGCACAATTCTAAATCAGGAAACAAATAAAATCAACATTTTCAATTAATATTTTTAAAAAGAACATTCATTTATTCATAGCGATGAATTACATTGTTTATAAAAATATTCAATGAAAGAATTACATTTACTTTTCAAATTTATACATAAGAAGTTAAATAAAACATACTTTAGGTGTATAAAAATCTGAAGGACGTGTTTGTTCTCCATAAAGTTTCAGACCTCTGGCTACTGAGACCCTAAAATAACAAGGAAAGATGGATTTCAAAATAATGGAAATTTTGAGGTGATGAAGCTTTGTGACTGTTGACTTCTCTGGACCCACATCATAATACATAATTAGTGAATGATCTCAAAGTCAATAGCAAGGATTAAGGTACTGATCTATAAACGAAAGAAAGCGAGTAGGCCATTGGTTCGCCAGTGACAAAAACAATGGCACTTCACCAATGAAATTAACAAGAGAAATAGTAAAATTTTCTTTTGCTATTGGGGAAAAAAATTCTGGCAATGTTTAGCTTTTCTCCGCGAAAAACATTAAAAATTTGAAAGATTTTTCAGTTTGATTTCAGAGGGCAAAAAATTAAGCCTAAAAATCAAGAATCTCCTGCAAATTACAACTGAGTTACACATGAGAGTGTAAGAATCCTTCCCACCATATCCAGATTAGTATACGCACATGCGGACCTGCAAGTATTTTATCAAACATATCAAATGATTGGCACTTTCATATACTACGGACTGACGATACAGAGAAATGGATTGTGGTTGAATGAATTATGTAAACCACACTTTTTGCATAATTCGTGGCAGAAACCGACATAGTAAAGAAAAAGTATCGCATTTTGAAAAAAGGAATATTCAGCACTTTTTAAAAACATATAATGAAAAAAGTATAAGTGCTTTAATAAAAATAAAAATCTAAAATGAGCACCTTCAAGTGCTTTCTAAAAACACTATACATCCTGATTATCAGAATATAATACATTGACAAAAAGAATCTTACTAGACACAAAACTGTACTAGATAGACTAATCGCACTATGTCACTTTATTGTAATTTGTGTAAACAGCTAAAAGCCTTAAAAATAATTTTTAAAAAATAGATATAAAAATAAGTAAATAATCTCGTTTTGCACAAAATTAAAGCATAAAATGATCACGAGAGCATTATTTATTTAATAATTAATTTATAATATCCCAGTTAGAAATAAATCAAATGATTAAGAAGCTAAAATTTGTTAAAATAAACAATAATATAGAATAAATAAAGCAGTTTATGCATTCTTCTTTTATCCACGCACTAATTATGTTTCATCATTTTACTCGAACATCTCTAAATTTTGAAATCGTATGTTTCCAAGAGTAAAAATAAAGAAGTTGACTTTCAGCTGAAAGTGGAGACAAACTTGACTTTCAAGATAAATCATTTAAGCATTTCTAATGACTAGAATACTTTTCGGTCACTTTTTTTTTCTGCTTTACACCTGCAGCAGAAGAAAGGGGAAATAGTACATCTGTCGATCCCTGTAAGAGACTATTCTGAGTGATTGCGGGAGAGCTTCTTTGATTAAAACTTGCAAACTATCTTTCACCTGCATTGTAATTCTTTAAATTATTATTGATTATAAAAATAAACCACTGCAAAAGATAAAAAGATGAAGAGTAAAAATGAAGTTTTGGAGAATCAATTCAACAAAGTAGAATTTTCAAGCTCAAGTAGTAAAAAAAAAGCACCGGATGAGCTACCCCATTAGATACGCCACATATACCAAAATTTAATATTTTAAATTATAAATGCAGCGGCATATCTCTGCGAAATTACTGTACTGTAAAGTTACTTCGAACAACTACCAATTTAGTTAAGGCATGGAAGACATTTACGCGCTATAGCGCGTAAAATACGCAAAAAATTGAAATCGGACGCAAAAAAATGACCGCTACGCGGCCCGCGGGACGCGTAAATTTTTGAAGAAAGTTTATAAATTTCCCGACTTTTTAATCTTTGATATCGAAACATTTTAATAAAATCNTTTGTAGTTAAGTAACCAGTTAATTTTAATAAATGCTAGGAGTATAAAAATTACATTGCATTGGACAACTGGTTTTTGCCAGACTTGGAAAATATATTTTTATTGATTAGAACTGAATAATCTAGTCTTATTACAAATTAAAATATACATAACAAGATATTAAAAAATAATAGTAAAAATATAAAGCCACATAACATAACAGAACAAAAAGTTTTATTAAAAATAAATAAAAGGAAAATAAAATGTAAACATACCAATTCCTATCACTCCTTTGAACTGAAGATGCAAGAAATAAAAGTTCACCAGTATCCCAGTGGTCAATGAATTCACCAACTAGAAAAGAAAAAAAAAATCTTCATAACTGTCTGATGTCTTTATAATGAAGATATAAAATAGACATTTTATGATATGAATGTAATATTTAAAAACAAGACATTGATAATCAGCCACATTGGTTCTGTTATGGAAGTGTCCTTGTAATTTTGAGGAGAAAAAAGACATAGATTACAAAAAACTTTTTTTTTAGTTTGAAAAAAATTACATTCTTATCTACTTACTTCTCTCAGACATAGTATTAAAATAAAGCTTTCAAACATTAGAATATACTTGTTTCCCAAATTCCTTTTCCTTATCAATACATCTTTGCGGCAACTACTATCGTCAAAATATGTAGTGGTTTGAAAAAATTATAAATGTGATTAATAATATTTGGGGACAATTTATGTAGCAGTATTTACACCAAAAACTTACTGGCAATGCCTTAATAGAAACTTTAAAAAAAAAATCTTAAACAGAGTTTAACTTGAAGGGTTCAATTTATAGATACCCCAGGGCAAAAATATATAGATATATATTTATATATGTACATTTTGCAAGTTTAAAATAAACTTCTCTAGCACCTTGGGAATTGTAGTTGGCGTGTAGTTTGGTACCGACAAGGAAGCATCCCCCCAAAATTCATACAAGGTTTAAGCTGAGTCTAAAAATTCATTAGCAAAAAAGCTAAAATCTGAAAAAAAGTTTTAGCAAAATGCTAAAATGCCATTAGGCTTATAAAATTACTTTATATCAAACAAGTACTGTAAGTTATCTGACAAAGAATAGCTTAATGTACAAGAATATCAAAAAGAATACCTATAACAAAAAAAAAACACATTTATTATTTATCAAAATCTTGTGGTTAGTTTATTTTTCTTTTCTTCTCGGTGAAACTCATATATTCTAGCCATTTTTGTTGATCGCTATGGTTCATCTCGTTTGATCACGTTTTTTTCGTGAACGCTAGCGTCATGGTTCTTCTTGCGAAAGATATTTAGATTTTTTCTCCTTGTTTGATCAAGTTTTTTTCATGGATGTTAGCGTCATGGTTTTTCGCAGAAGCTTTTTTTAAATGGAATTTAGTAAAATCCTTTAGCAAAAATGCTTTGTTGAATTTTAGCATTTTTGAGGGGTCTTTTTGCATTTTGCGAAAAAAGCTAACGTAGCGGAAACCCTGAATTCATATAATATCCTTGAAAATATTAGAAATCATTGTTTTAATTACTTTTTATATAAAAAAAAAAACATTTACAAAATATTTTATTTCTTTAATTTGAATATTCCATTCTTTTTTCAAACAATTTCTAATCAAAATTCTTTTTGGAAGAAAATGCCACTCATTAAAAAAACATAATCTATAAGGTGATACACAGGTGATAGGGGTACCAGGAGCTGAGCTCTAAAAAAGCTGAGCTAATTTTAAAACAAAAAGTGAAGAGATTGAGAATTGGGAGTTAACTCTCTGCTTAAGATGTTACTGCTTGGAATAGTAAAAAGCCCTAATTTGAAATCAGTCTTTTCAGAACATCAGCAGTTCTTATAGTTTCTGGATGATGAATAATTCAAGATATTTTGGCATGGCAGGTTGTATATTAGTAGTCTTACATTTTTTTGCAGGGCAGCCTGAGAACTCACTAGATGTTCGTCAGCATAAGACAAGTAAATTTCTATCTTTAGAGCAGAGGTATCATGATTGAGGTCGAGCACAGCAAGATGATTAGCTGGAGCAATGTAATAGAGCATGGCGAAAACTCTGACATCAGTAACATTACAGTTGACTCCTCTGCTTAAGTATCGGAATCCAGTAACTTCTCGATGAAAAAATCCCCTTACTTTATTCAAATGAATTAAAAACATCAAGAATAGTCATCAGTTGCTGGTACATAAGTGCAGATTTGCGGTTGCTTATCTTCATCATAATGCACTTAAAAGGCTTGAAATTTCTTTTCAAGACAGCAAGCACTGATCTTCACTAAGGAAAGTGGCAACTCCCTTAGTTCTAAATCTGAATCTTAAATTTTCTGTTGTTTTCGGAGCTAGACTTAAATTTCCACAACCACTGGCTTGATATGTATTGGCTTGTCTGGAATTAGTTTCAGCCTTAGAAATAGCTGAATAATCATTACTGGACCTAAGTAGGTCCTTTTCCTAATTAGGGAGATTTCCATATCCTGATCTGGTGCAGAATAATCGCCAAGTCTTGGCAACTTCAGACCAGCGGCCTGTGAGAAACTAAAAAAACATCACAGAAAGGGACCAACTTGAATTGTATAACTCGTAGCCACCCCCGGGCAAACATCTACATGTTACTTTCTAAAAAATTTGCAAGTTTAAAATCCATTTGGCACCTTGGCGATTGTAGTTAGCGCAACAGATCAGGACACGGAAATATCCCCGAAAAAAGGTAAGCTTTGATAAAAATAAATTTTAAAAAATGCAAGCGCTTATAAGTTTCAATGATCACAACATAACTTATTAAGTTATGCGGACTCATCAATCTCCACTAAAAACTTTTATTTAACTATAAAATAAAATTTAATCGCAAACAGAAAAAGAAGTAGCTACACATTTTCTACAAATAAAAATTAATACCATCTTCGCCATCGACTTCCAATCTTGAAAAGTAGTCATTAGCTTTACTTGTCGAGCTATCTGCTAAAGACATAGTAATATACTAAGAAAATTTAAAGATTTTTTTCTTATTAATTTGTTTTAAAAATAATACTTAATTTCCCATTAAAATGTCCTTTTTGTTTACATTTTAAAATATTGAAAACATGAAAACAATTTTTTTTTTTTTACTTCTTTTCATTTCAATGGAGATCTGTTGCCAGAACCTTCTATTAATCTAAGTAAATATAAAAAAAAAAAATTTCCTTTTCAATAACTTTTTCATAGATTAAAGTTTTATTGCTAGTAAAAGAGTTTTAATCTTTATTTAAAAAAAGACTGCAAGACAATATATTCCAAATTAAAGGGTGAATTTTGTTTTGAATTTTAAGTAGGAAATGAATCTGCTATGACGTTTTAACCGTACCCACCCTTTCACGATTGTTATTGTACTTTTCTGAAGACGTAAGTGTCAAGCTGTTAGAAAGTAAATAATTGGTTGTATTTTTAAATTTCTACTTAAATATATTCTTCAGTTCGAAACTTCAAGTCCATTTACTTTCTTCCATATCATCATGATTAACTTAACACTTTGTTTTAATTCACGAATTCATTGACCCGATTCTATGATTCATTCAGAAGCGTCTATTTAAAGTTTAATAATGTGTGCTAGAACTGAAAATTCCTTGGATGATATGTGGGCAGACTTGAAATCTGGTATCGAACAAATTTATGCTAATGATATTTCAAAATCTGATTATTTACGACTATATACTTTAGTGTATGATTTCTGCACAAGTGCTACTTACGGATGTGCCCCATCCAACAACAATCAACTGCATAAGAAATTGACTAATTTTTTCCGCACTTATCTCCGATCTGTGTATGAGAAATGTGACGACTTTATTGACGAACCACTGCTGACGCACTATATGCAATTATGGCAAGACTATCGTTTCTCAAGCAAAGTTTTAAGTGGTGTCTGTGCTTATCTCAATAGACATTGGGTACGCCGTGAGAGAGAAAAGAGTCGAATCGAAGTGTTAGAGGTATATCATTTAGCTCTGGTTTCTTGGAGAGACTATCTGTTGGATCCGTTAAAAAGACGAATGTCTAGTGCTGTACTTAAACTCATTGAAAAGGAAAGAAATGGGGAAACTGTCAATACCAGGCTCATCAGTATTGCTTTAAACTCCTATATTGAAATGGGAATTAATTGCTCCGATCCATACTCTGAGCATCCTAGTTTATACTTGTATAAAGAGGCATTTGAAACAGCTTTCCTCGCTGAAACGGAAATTTTTTATGTTACTGAAAGTGCATCCATTGTTAGAAAGAATCCTGTCTCTGAGTTCATGAAAAAAATCGAAATCTGGTTTCTCGAAGAACAGCGGAGAGCACAGTTATATTTGCACGAGTCCACACTCGAAGCCCTCGTCCGCATTCTCGAGAATATTGTGATATCTAAATACATGGAAACTTTTCATTCTGAATTTCAAACACTGTTATCTTATAATAAAATAGATGACCTTAAGCGTATGTACCAACTTCTTTATAGGGTTTTAGGGGGACTCGATCAATTAAAGGTTCAATTTCAAGAATATGTTACACAGCAAGGACTCGAGGCCATCGAGAAATATAACGATTCGAACGATCCTAAAACATATATTAATTCTATTCTCGAAATACACCAAAGGTTCAATTCGATTGTCATCACTGCTTTTGAAAGTGAGGCTGGATTTGCCACTGCTTTGGATAAGGCTTGTGAGAGATTCATTAACAAAAATTCGGTTACGGAGAGCAGTGGATCATCTAGTAAATCAGCTGAACTTTTAGCAAAATACTGTGACTTATTATTGAAAAAGAAACCCCGTGATGCTGAAGAGATGGAGATTGTGGATAATTTGAACCAGGCTATGACTATATTTAAATACATTGAAGAAAAAGATATATTTCAGAGTTTTTATAGTAAAATGTTGGCTAAAAGACTCGTTCAGCAAATGAGTGTCTCTGGTAATGACGATGCCGAGACTATTATGATTGCAAAGCTACGGGAGGCGTGTGGATTCGAATATACCGCTAAATTGCAGCGAATGTTTCAAGATGTTTGTGTGAGCAGAGATTTGAATGAAAACTTTAAAAATTCTGGCCCACCCCTTGATGTTGACTTCAGCATTAATGTTATCAGTTCATCTTCATGGCCTTTTCATCAAACTCTCACTTTTTCACTTCCCCAGGAGCTCGAGCAAAGTGTTCAGCAGTTTACAAATTTTTACTGTACACGTTATAGTGGAAGGAAACTAACCTGGCTGCACGGCATGTCTCGAGGAGAATTAGTTTCTAAATGTTTTGATAAACCTTACACATTTCAGACTTCAACCTTTCAAATGGCCGTTCTGCTTCAGTTTAATTCTTCAGATTCTCTATCTGTTTCTCAGCTTGAAGAAAGCACAGGAATACGTTCAGACATTCTGCTGCAAGTACTACAGGCTCTCGTAAAGCTGAAATTGCTAAAAATTGAGGAAGGTAACACTGTAAACACGAGTTCTCAAGTTTCTCTGTCGCTTTCGTATCGAAACAAAAAACTCAAAGTGAACATCAACGTTCCGATAAAGTCTGAAACTAAATCAGAGCAAGAAACTGTTCACAGGCATGTTGAAGAGGACAGGAAGCTCTTGATTCAAGCTGCTATCGTCCGGATAGCGAAAATTCGAAAGGTCGTCAAACACCACATTCTGTTGTCGGAGGTCCTCAATCAGTTGTCCCAAAGATTTAATCCTAAAATTCCTGTTATAAAAAAATGCATTGATATATTGATTGAAAAAGAGTATTTGAAAAGAGTTGAAAAAGATTCCTATTGCTACGTAGCATAAATTTATTTCTGTTTGTTATGTAATTCAAAAGCTGTGTAAAAATGTATCTATAGCATATTGTGATTCATAACATCTATGTCTTTACAATCTGGTTGGTTATTCATGTCATGGAATGCTTTTATTTAAATGATCAGTGTGCAATGTTTATTCTTTGCGTGAATGACGCTCTTATATAAATTTTGTTTACTAACTGACATCTGTTCATTATAAATTAAAGTATCACATCGATCCTATTTATTTTCTACGATGTAAAATAGAAAAAAGTTGCTAGATTAATTTTTCCTTTATTCTGTATAAAGAATTGTTTGTCTTGAATCTTTTCATTTCATTATAAAATGGAATTGGGCATTTTCAAAATTATATTCCAGTTCTTGTACAGCTGATGACTTATATTAAGAAATAAAAATATATTAGTTTATAAATTATATGCTGTTTTTTATGTTATTTTTATAAATATTCTAGTTTTTCAGAATTATGGATTTCAAAGAATCTGGTTTATGTATATATATATATATATACTTTTCTATTCAGCTAATGAGAAATTTCCTTATGAGAAATTAGCTTAATGAGAAATTTCCCAAGAGTGACACTTCAGCTTGGTGATATACCAATAACAAGCAGGTATGATGTCCATATTGGCTGCCATTTAATTAACTCTATTTTCCTTTTTAATTTATTTTGTTATAAATAAATACCAGCTCTTGAAATTTCAGTTCTAAACGTACCGACTGGGCAAACATTTTGACTTGCCTCTATTTTCATGAAAAACACAAAGAGTTTTAAAAATATCAGATGTGTTCCCACCCTTATAATTCTTTATTAATGACCTTTTCAGCACTAAAATGTNAACTCGATATATAAGTTAATTTATTAATAAAAATTAGTAATTAATATGATTGCCTTGCTACTTTTAGTAAAGTTAAAAAAAAAAATCCTTTACTAATTGACAATGTTTTTTAATAGAACGTGTATAGCCCATATAAAGAAATTATTGCCTTTTTAGAATAATAATGCCCTTTTTTAAACTTCTGCACCCTGCCCTTTTTTCTGCCTAGAATGAGCTCTGCTTTTCTATTCAGCTAATGAGAAATTTCCAAGAGTGACACTTCAGCTTGGTGATATACCAATAACAAGCAGGTATGATATCCATATTGGCTGCCATTTAATTGACTCTATTTTCCTTTTTAATTTATTTTGTTATAAATAAATTTCAGTTCTAAAGGTACCGACTGGGCAAACATTTTGACTTGCCTCTATTTTCATGAAAAACACAAAGAGTTTTAAAAATATCAGATGTGTTCCCACCCTTATAATTCTTTATTAATGACCTTTTCAGCACTAAAATGTCTACAGGGTCTAACTCTGTTAAGGATACTTATTAAAATATATAGCAAATCATTAAGTGGTTCAGCCTATTGTGACATCTTGATATAGATAACGCAAACTCCAGAGAAAGCACGTTGGTGTGAGTTAAAACACTACATTTTATGAGACACTCCACAGACGTTACTAGTCGTTTATATTTGGGTTTTTTTCATTTACATCTGTTTGGGATGAACCTGTGGCTAGAGAGAGGGTTTGCATATATTATTAAATGTAATAGTAAAAGTTTACTTTTGTCATTTTGTATATTATTTGAAAGTTTAAATAACTTCCATGCTAATGTTTGTTTTCAGATTGTCTGAGATCACATGCCATCGTACTTATTTGCTTCGTGTCTTCCTCATCAATAAAGTAATTTTCCTGTGAGTTTGATTTGCATACAATTATGCAATGTAAACCTTGCACTCTCTTGATCCTACTCTATTTTCATGATTTTGGATCAAGAATGTTGCAAGTCAGAAAATTTAAGTGAAATAGGTGTGTTGCAAAACTTACTTGCTTACCCTTAAGTATTCGTTCGCAGAAGGCGAGATATTATAATATTTTAATGTGATACTATAATTAATGCAAGAACATAAAGCAAATATGCTACATTTTCTATGAAGATGTAGCATTTTGCAAATAGTTTTGACAACTTTTGCAAATTCTAAATATAAGAGATAAATTAGAAATTGCATCTTGGTATAAAGCTAGCTCTTGTAGGGGAGAGTTGGATAAAACGGGATACGCCGCCTAGAGACCAAACTATTGCAGCTATCTAGCGGACGACGACAGAAACTTGTTATTTGGCTGTGATTATATCATTTTCAGTGCGTCCCGTCTCGAGATCACTAGTTGATAGAAAGTTGTAGGTCTCAGAGCTTTTTTACTCCCATTTTCTACATTTATGTGCTTTGTTTTTCTGATTGTACTGCGTATGTAAATGGGGTTACAATTCCGGTGAGTATTACATTTGATGAGGCATTTATTAACGAGTATTCTCATGTCTAGTCAATCTAATTTTTCTTTCACGTTTAGGCAGCAGCCATGTTTGTTTTGAAAAGTGTTTGAGTTTGGCAAAACGGGACACTTATGAGTTGGATAAAACGGGATCGAGTTTTTTTATGTCCCGTTTTATCCACCTACTAATTTGTTGGCCTAAAACTTCTACTATAATATTATTACTATATTGAAAGAAAGGTAAAAAAGGCTCGTACAAATACATTGACCCCTGAATTGGCAGCAGTGAAAAAGTTGGACAGATATGAGACAGTATTCAATTCTGAACAAGAAAAAATGCATGAGCATCTATTGGCTCTAGAAGAGAGATTATTTGGTATAACTCTAATGGACATACGAATGCCAGCATTTGAATTAGCTGAGAGAAACAATATTAAGCATAATTTTAACACAGGAAAAAAAATGGCTGGAAAGTGTTGGTTGTAATCATTTCTTGGCAGACATAAAGAACTTAGCCTCCGAAATCCAGAACCCACGAGTATGGTCCGAGTAAAGGGGTTTAATCGCACTGCAGTTAAGCAGTTTTTTGAATTCTCTATTAAGTAAACATAAGATTACTCCAAATGATATTTATAATGTTGATGAAACAGGAATTCTAACAGTGCCAAACAACCTTCAAAAGTGTTGTCTACGAGGCAGAAAGCAAGTGGGTAGCTTGTCTTCAGCCGAATGAGGAGTTTTGGTTACTGTTGAAACATTCATCAGTGCAGCTGGGGTATTCGTCCCTCCTATTTTTGTATTTTGTGAAGGAAAACCCAAGACTCATGGATGATACTTTCCCAGGATCGTTTGAAATGCAGTACAAGACCGGCTGGATCACTAAAACCTTCATTGTTTGGTTTCAAAAGTTCGTAGAATTTTCCAACCCTAGGCATAAGAAACCAGTGCTGTTGCTGCTTGATGGACAAATCAACAGTCACACCAAAAGTTTGGAACTTGTAAATTTGGCAAGAGAAAATAATGTAATCATCTTAACCTTTCCCCCACATACAACTCATCGCCTTCAGCCCCTGGATGTCAGTTTCATGGTTCCACTGAGCACGTATTATGAACAAGAAGTTCGAAAATGGCTGTTCAACCATGCAGGTAAGTGCGTTACAATTTACGAGATTACAAAACTGTTCAACACAGTCTACTCACGAGCAGCCGTTGCAGAAACTATCATTAAAAGGTTTAGCAAAACTGGTATAAGTTAAGTCCTTACACTCTTAACGTCTTCCCAGATTTGCATTGCCTGTCATCACTGATCTAACAACAAGAACCTCCAGCCAGGCGTTGGACACCAGACTGATGTGTGCAGTTTTAGGATTATTACTCTCTTGTTATCGACCTAAGCTACCCTTTTCCATCCTTCCAAAGTGTGTTCTACCTGTACCTCAAGTAAAAGGACCGCTCCCAGAAAAAATGACCGATAAGAGAAAGAAGAAAACTAGTAATAACATCATCTCCATATAAAAGTGAATTACAAATGGAAGAAAAAGAAAGAGTGATTAAACTACAAGAATGAACAAAGAGAATTGAAGAAAGGACTGCTAAGAAATCCCTTTTAAGGCCGTTCGCTCGCTCGATCGGGAGAAAAGCAACTCCCATGTTATTCTATGGACAGTTCAGCCTTACATAAAATCGTCAATTTTCAAGATAATAACATTCTGTTTTTTTGGAAACGAAAGAAAATAAAAATATCTTAATTAATGTGGAGGAAATTAAATAAAAAAAATTTTTTACTATTTTTTAAATTCAAAAAACTTAATCCAACTTCAAACAATTTTTATCCATAGTAGTTTTTCTCTCATCGAATTTTTTAATCTCTGGAAATTAAGATTATATTCTTATCTTTCATTTAAAAAAAAAAAAAAAAACCGAAATATTTTGAAATTTGACGAAGAAAAATTGCGCCGAAACATCACGAAATTTGAACTTTAAATCTAAGCTATCTGAGTTATTGTGCTGCCACCTACAACGAAGGCGTCTATTTACCTAATTATGCGAAGTGAAAAAAAAGCAACCCCTTAGTCCCCTCGGAAAGAACTGGTAATTGATTGGTTTAAGGAATGGCGGTTCATTCGAAAGAAAGTAGCCAAAATTTAGCCTCTTCTTACTGGTGGAATAAGTAATTTTCCTTACTTGTAGAAATTTCTTAATGTTTTGCGAATTTTATTTTGGAAAAAGCTTTACGTCTTTGATCTTTCCTTCGATTCTTAAAGTTCAGGAGTGAAAGATAAGAATTAATATTACGGGTATGCAATGAAATCTGGTATTATGCAAATAGAAAGACACTATACTTTATTATTATTATTATTATTATTTAGTCAGCAGTTAGAAACCCCTCTCCGAGCCTCGATATCGAACTAGGCAGCGCGTCCGTCTCATAATCAACCCCCTTCCCCTGAATGAATGATTCTGTATTTCTTTCATTAAAATATAGAAATCTACAAATCGGAAAATTTGCAAAAGTTTTTAATAAATTATTTTTGAGTTATCGGTAAAAAAAAATTTCACAAATTTAAAAAAAATTTACTGTGAAATTTTCTGATTTACTCTCAATAAATTTTATTTAAATAGAGTTTACAAAATATACATTTGCTCATACATTAAAAACAGGAATTCAGAGGAAAAGTCATATGAAGCTTTATTTGCAATAAATTGATTCTGCGATTTTTACAACTTTCAGGTTATAAGCAAAATACAATTTTTTTTTATTTCAACAAATAGTAAACATTATTTTCTTCTGAAAAGTAAAAATATGTACTGTTATTAATTTTTTTATTATTCGCAATTTTTATAGCAAAACGGCAGTCTCAGAAAAAATACTCATTTTCTAATGGGAAATTGTGCTGATTATTTAATGGAAAAATCCAATTTCGATAGAATGAGATATTACATTATTTGATAATTCTAAATTAAACTTTTTGAAACTAGATACATGAATTTATATTCAGAAAATAACACATGATTTACCCCTTCAATAAATAATACATTTTCTTATAAATAATGCATTCAATAAATAATACATTTGTTACCGGGGTAAAGTATAAAACACCAG